TCTAACTTAACCTCCCCTTCTCTTCTGAGTTTCCACCTTTATAAGCTCCGAATACATTCACTTCCCTGTCGCACCTGCTGTGCGGCCTGCATCCGAGAATGTCACGAGGTGGTCGGGATAGATGACACAGAGACTAGTCGGTTGCTTTAAGAAAAACTTTGTGCTTCCCAAGTCAGCTTAGGAGGAGACTCCAAGTCCGCTTAGGAGAGAGAAGTCTCTCCAAGAAAAAACGCTTCCCTTTTTAAGGACTTCTGCCATCCATCTACATACAATTCTTTCCAGACTTCTCACCCTCCTGGCTGGTGGTTTAATCTCCGGCCCCAGAATTGGGGAGACACCACAGGGGGGACAGGAAGAATCATCTAGCCATAGGGGGTGTCAAAGTCATGGTGTTTCAGTGAGTGAGCCCTTATCTGAGCCCTATCAAGAGCTTTATAGCACTGAATTGTTTTCAGTAAACATTATCTCACAGCTGCCTGCTCCCAGGCCAAAGGGGAAGTGGGTTTCTGCTCAAGGTCTGGTGTCCCCACACTTCCCCTGCCATGAGAGGCCTCTGTCCCTCTTCTGTTACCTTCAGATTATACACATCCTTCAAAGATTTTGTGTTTCAGGCTGAAAAGTCATAGAAAGAGTGAGACCCACAAGCCACAGAGATAGTCCCACCATTTTTTTTAACACAAGCAAGCTTAATGTTTAGTCATCCTATCTCTTACACCATTATTACTTAATCCCTTATACTCCCATGTCTTCAGTGACATTGAGCTGATGTCAAGACTGGCTTGTTCAACCTTGTGCCCCCACCAAGTCCCCTGACACAGATGTGAAATGCAGAAGCCATCAATAATTCTCAAATGAGGGAATGAATGGCATGGTAAACTTTGGGCTGTAGGCTGAAACTGGAGCTTGATGTGACGATCATATGAAGGGAGCTACAGCATTTAATAACAAAAAGACAATGTTCTCTCCAGTGCATCTGGACCAGGTTTCCTACGAGATGCTTGCAGGCACCCACGCATGCACGTGGGCAGTTATTATTGCGTACTGTTGGGCCCCAAGCCCAGTGTCTCAGAGATGACTTCATAGCCCACATCCCTAGAGCCGCCCTGCTCTTTCTCTAGGTAGCGGCAGCCAGTGAGGTCCTCCTGCCTCTGCAGAGACCACACTTGGGTAGCAAAGTCTCTGTGGAAAAATGTGAAAGTCAGGCTGACTTGGAGTTGGTTTAGAAGATACTCGCCCAGATCTTGGAGCAGATGTTCCTTTTTTCTTCCTGGTTGTCATGACACCACCACCCAGACTCCTTTGGTTATTGGAGCTTATCCAGGATTCAGAAGCTGTATTACTCTGGAGTATAGATTCTATCCTCTTCAGAGTCTGCTTAGCCTTGACTTGCCATCCCCATCTGGGCTGGGAACAGTTCCGAGGCCACTGCTTCCTCTTTTGTGCTTTCTTCTCCTGTCTGTGCCTTGTGAGCTCAGAGATGGGACCAGTAGTGACAGACATGGTCTCTCATCATCCCCCGTATCATCAGCTCACAAGGGCTCTGGAGTTAACAGGCAGAGAGAGAGAGAGAGAGAGAGAGAGAGAGAGAGAGAGAGAGAGAGAGAGAGAGAGAGAGAGAGAGTGGGGGAGGGAGGGAGATAGACTACCTTCACTTCCCCTCTGTCTTGTCTGAGCCAGCCCCTCCCTCGGCTGTCCTAGCTGTAACTTGCACCCAGGCCTTCCTTTTCCAACAAGCTGAAACTCTAACAGCGGCGCTTCCAACAGCATGCCCTCTTCCTCCAGGTCCTGGCGCGGGACCTTGTTGTAAGTGGAGCACGGCTGGCCCCGCAGTATCTGATATTGTTGTTTGAATGTAAAGTGTCCCCTGCAGGCTCACGTGTCTGCACACTTGTTTGGGAAGGCATGCATGGAACCCTTAGGAGACCAAGTTTCACTGGAAGAAGTGGAATGAGGGAGGTAGGCCTTGAAGATTTATAGCCCAACCCCACTTCTCTTGAGACTTCCATGACCGGCCAGGCTTCTGCTCCTGCCTCTGTGACTCCATGGGTCTGAAGCCATGTCTTCCATGATGGAATGGCACCCTACTCGTTGTAAGCCAGAGTAAACTCTTTGTCCCTTAAGTTGCTTTTGTGGAGGTGTCTATCATAGCAACTGAAAAAGAAACTATGGTGATGATTAAGGGATGGAATTCAGTCCAGCATAGCTGGGTATGGTTTCTAGATGCTGCAGGAACCCACACAGGTGCAGGTTCTGCTGCATGCTGCTTGGCCACAGCTCTCTGCTTCCCTGTTCAGACATACTCAGCAACTACGTATAGCACGAAACTGAAGGCATCCACTGTGCAGTTGGGCACTGGCATTCGGTTCACGCAGCCTTGGGCCAGAGCCGTGCATGTTTGCACAAAGAAACATTCTGGACCTTGGGACAGGGTACCGTTTCATAACAGCAACACTGTTCCTCTGCATCCTTTTCTTCATTACCATGCCAAGGGAGGAAGGGTCCACCACATCTAAGTCAGGCCATCTCCAAAGACCTCCTGCTGGTCTAAGGGTCCTCTTTCTGATCTTCCATTGTTGGGTGATATGGTTTGAAGCTGAAATGACCCCACAGGTCCATATTTTGAGCTCTTGCTCCCCAGCTAGTAGAACCTCTAGGAAGTGGAGCAGAAGGGTGGGACTGGGAAGGGTGTACTCAGCCCTTGGTCCTTGTCTTGCGCTTGCTTCCTGCCTACCAGAGTGTACAAAGCACCCCCACCTCCTCGCACTAAGTTGCTGTGCCATGCCTGCCCTGGCTGCTATGACAGGGCGAACCCCCCTGCAATCATGATTCAAACAGGTATTTACTCCCATAAGTCATTTATGTCGAGTATTTTGGGCACGGCTATGCAAAGGTAACTGCTACATGGAGTTTTCTATTCTTTGCATCTCTGGATCACCAGGGTTTTATATTCCATACTGATGCCTCTTTAGAAACAGACCAGATTCTGAAAACAGGATCTAGATTTTTTTCTTGGCTATCTGATTGAATTTAGTTTTAATTTTACAAGGCTAGAAGCCTTCTGATAGTGAAAGCCAGTTGTGTATGTGTAAGGTGTGTGTGTGTAGGTTGTATGTGAAGGGTGTGTATGTAGAATATGTGTGTGTAGGGTGTGTGTGTGTAGGATAGGTATGTGTGTGTAGGGTGTGTGTATATAGGATATATATATATGTGTGTGTAGGATGTGTGTATATAGGATATGTATGTGTGTAGATTATATGTATGTGTGCATGTGAGAGGGGGGCGGGGTCCATAACTTATCCAGCTTCTCTGGCCTATCCCTCATCCCTTTTCAAAGTTTCTGATGCCCTGTACTAGAGCGATTGCTTCTAGCAGAACATTTATGAACTCTGCCTGCGTGGTTCTAGATGTGGCTTCCACTTCACATTAGATTGACCGAGGTGTAGTTTTAAGACAGTGTCTGCAATGTTAGACCACGAGGCTGTGAGCTAGCCGGGCCTGAAGAGCTCACCTGACACTGGGCTTGTCAACAGGCCTTAGTGGTGATGCTGGCTTCACCTTTTCAGGTGTGCTGGGTGCAAACGGGGGCTTGTGCTCCCCTAGGCCAGGGTTAAGCAGGAATCATCACAGAGACACATCAGTGTGTGCAAGGCACTGTCCTGAGGCTCTCATACATTATTTCATGTCGCAATCCATTTCCACAGAAGGGGAAAAAGCCCCCTGCAGAGTGAGCTGTAGCAGAGAACTGGAGCTCAAAGCTGCTTGCCTCCAAGTTCTCACTATTAATAACAAGAACCTTTCTGTGGTTACAAGCAGGTATTTGATCAAAAGCAGCTGATCTCACTTAGGTATGGACAAGGGACTGAGACATAGCTCACCCTCTTCCCCTGTCCCCTGCGTGGTGAGTCCCTCGGAGTTCTCATCCCCTCTGGTCCACCTTTCTTGCTCATCCCACGCATCAGTTGCATTTTCTGTGAATGACAAATCAGCGTCCATGGGGCTCAGACCCTCATGGTCCATCGCTTCTGGTCTTGCCCCGGATGTCTCCTCTTGCCGTCTGTTTCCCATGGCCACTTCCTGTCCTACTCACTGATTCCTCTTTCCCTGACCTCCACAGGGTCTGAGATCCATCAGGGACTCTTCTCTTTCTCTTCTTCCCCATCTCGAGGAAGGTTTGTGTCCCAGAAACTTCCACTCAAAATACTTTTAGAAACCGTTTCCCACCCCAGACCCCTCTTTCTGAAGCTAGCTCCTGACCTGGCAAGTCTTCTCTTCAGCTCCAGCCTGCTCACAGCCAGCCACATCCTCTCCTCTCAGACACCCCTTCATCATGCAGTGCCTCGCAGGAGCTGCAGCACTGGAATTTGATTGCTACAGAGCAGCAAGCATTCAGCAATTTGTAAAGATAACTCATTTCATGCGGCCTGGGTTAGAACCCCAGCCAGTCTGCCTTTGGTGCAGAGTTCTTAGCCACTGTGCTCTGGTGAATGCCACAGGGGCCAGCCCTTCCTGGCACAACTGAGCCCTCACCTGACTTGACAGACCTGAGGTTTGACATTCTCTACTTGGACTCCAGTTCCAGTGACACTGAACATATGCTTTCTGAACATGCAGGTGGTGTCCCTGCTGTGTTTCTTCTGTCTGAAACACCAACACTACAGCATTTAAGATCAGCCCAGGTTTTTACCTCCCCCAGGGAAACTGGGGACTCTTCTGGACCGGACCTCATATGTACTGTTTCCATTTCTACTGTGGGTTTTGGGGGAGTGGTGTTATACATTTTCGTCACAGGCCATCCATGGTGGCATCTTAACCTGCTTTCTGCTGGTAGTCTTTTCTAGATCACAGCATATCCCTTTCTGTGGGCATCAGCAAGCGCACTCAGACACTGTGTCTGTGGTATTGGTTTCTTGCAGAGACTGTTCTATCACGAGGCAGGGAGGCCTTTTAGAATCGTGCATAGAGCAATGATGTGGAGTTTTGTTTCCTTTATTCCTGTACAGGTGCAAGCCTAGAATCGCAGGGCAGCAGTGTGACAGATGTGCTCCTGGCTTCTATCAGTTCCCTGAGTGTGTTCCCTGCAATTGTAGCAGAGCTGGGGCTGAGCCTGAAGTGTGTGACCCAGAGACTGGGGCTTGCATGTGCAAGGTAAGGCATGTCCTGTGGCGCCTGGGAGCTCTTCAGGGGACCTGACATAGGACGACTTCTGTAATGTGTGGTGCATTTTGTGCTTCCCATCCCCCTTCATAGGCATAATTGAAGGAAGGGTCTTTCTCATCTTTTAGAAAGGCTACGGCTGCTTTTCCCCTTCCCATGACAATCTGTTGGTAAGGACAACTCCTTTCCAGAAAAACAGTGTGAGCTTTTCTACAGTATCAAGGGGTCCACAGCTTCCTTGTGATTTGTTCTTGGTTGAGGACCCAAGGTCATCTTCCCTGCCACAGGCCCCACCAGGTCATAGATGGGGTTCACATCCTAGCAGATGGTCCAGGAGGACCAATCGTCCTCCTCCCGCCGTCAGACCTGCAGCGCTGTTTCCGTGCCTCTCAGTGCTGGAGAGTTCTTACAGGGTCATTCTTCATGTTCTGTTTCAACAGGAGAACGTCAAAGGCCCAGAATGCCAAGTGTGTCGTGAAGGAGCTTTCTACCTAGACTCTGCCAATCCAAAGGGTTGCACCAGGTGTTTCTGTTTTGGAGTGGATACTGTCTGCCAAAGTTCACATAAGCAAAGAGCTAAGGTGTGTTGAGGTGTTTGTGCTCACGGTCGGTCTTCCTCACGGAGATGAAAAGGGGACTTGGCATGAGCCGTGATGTGTCCCGTGCATGGATGATTCACAGAGCCAGAATTGCCCTCACTGCTCCTTGGCCTGCAGCACTGTCGCCATAGATGCCATCATGATTGTGTCTCAGATTATTCAGGTCTTTGATCCAGTGTCACATGCTTAGAATACTTTCTCCCACCATCCTGGTCGTTATCTGTCTTGTTGCCCTTGACTTCTCCACAGCATTTAACACTTTGTAACATAGAATGCCTTTAACTTCAGAAATGGTTCTTTCCTTCCTCCATCAATAGAATTATCACCTTAACATATACCAGGGCCTAAGATGGGATTTGGGACGTAAAAGATGCCCAGAAAATACGCATTCAATGAACGGAATGTGTTGTATTGTAAAGGATGTGATAAAGTATTCAGACAGATATCTGGATAGACAAACCTACAGGGTGAGGGTTAGAAGAAGGTCCATAAGCACACTAGCTTCTGTCACCACAAAGTTAGGACATACCACTTCCTTGAGCCCTTCCAACACTGAGGAGTTCTCCAAAAGTACCATTTACTGTCATCATAGAGCTCCCATTACAGATATGGTAGATTAGATCATTAGCTATGGTAATTAACATAACTGGTAATTGACCTATGGGAAGGTTAGGAATCGGCTGAAAGTTCTGCCCCTCTACACACCTGCTGGCCTGGGCCCAGTAATCAGCATCTCACAAGCATACAGAGTGTGTGTTTGCACGTGCCTGGGCTCATAGGTGTGTTCGGATGTGCTTGGACTTTTGTGCATGTGCAGGCCAGTGGCTTGTGTTGGATATCTTCCTTGATCATGATTCACCATGCATACTGAGGTGGGCTCTCTCTGACACTGGAGCTTGGTAGCTCAGCTGCTCGAACCTTCCTCTGGGACCGTCGTGTCTCTGCCTCCTATGGGTTGGGATTGCAGGTGAGCTGCCCTGCTGTCTCAGAATTTACATAGTTTCTGGGGTTCAAAGTCTGGTGTTTGTGAATGTGTAGCCAGCACTTGAGTCTCTGCTATCCCTCCAGCCCTGCAAAAATTACTTTTATAATGGTAAAAGCACATTCTCTCCTTATAATCTTCCTCTTTTAGTTTCTCAAATGGGTTACCACATCTTGAATTTGCCTAGTTTGTGTTGTGTATATGTTCATAAAAGGGCCTTTGCGTGTTGAAGCCAGAGGTAAATGTCAAGTGTCTTCCTCCATTGTCCTCCACCCCAGTCTCTGAGGTAACCCCTCACTCAACCTGGATCTTGACTTGGCTAGACTGGCTGGCATCCCTCTGCCCAAGTCCTGAGACTACATGTCTATGCCACGCCACCTAGCTTTTCTCGTGGTTTCTCATGCTCACGAGACAAGTGCTTCACCAACCAAGCTATCTCCCTGGCCCTCTATGTCTACTTCGAAAATTCACTTTATAAAACTAAGATTTTTATCAGCTTCATTATTCCATGACACAACACCATCATGCATACTGTTTGTGTAATATTGCTTGATATATTTTACTGATTTCTGGGTGGAGGGGCAGGCTTGTAAGGGGAAGAAAAGTTAGTTTGTAGATCTGCTCTGTAGTCTCCTCTTCTTACCCCTCACGGCATACTCCTAAGCTAGTCCCTGTCCATTCTTTGTTTTTCCTCCCCTCTAAATGGAGCTGGCTTCATTGGTAACAAAGGAAATACTTTATTTTGGCTACTGTATTCCACAACACACTTTTTAAATGTCAAAAACATTTTAAAAATTAAGTTGATTTTTTGATAATTTCATGCATATACAGGATTAATTCTGATTATCCCTCTCTCTTTTGTCTCCCTCCCCCTCTTGTCTCCCTCCCGCCCCTCCCAACCCCTTCCTTCCTGTCCCTTTCCCAGATCAATGATCCTTGGTTTTGTTTTGTTACCCATTTAGTTTACTAGGGTAATCTGTGTGATCATTGAATTGTAGTTCCCCATTGGAGCCCGATGGAGTCACCAATGGTTATACAACTGAAGGCAATGACCCTCCCCCACCCTTATCATGAATCTATTCACAAGAAATAGTTGATCCATGATGGGGAGGTTCCCTGAATTCCTTCTATATCCTTCTTTATGTGGATCTCATCTTTTTAAAGATTTATTTATTATCTATATATGTGTGTATGTACCTGTATGTATGTGTGTACATTGTATGAGTGCAGGTACCCTCTGATACCCAGAACTAAATTTAGAGATGCTTATAAGATGCTCAGTGTTGGTGTTAGGAGCCAAACTTGGTCCTCTGCAAGGATAGCAATGGTCTTATTCACTGAGCCTTCTCTCCAGCTTTGGACTTCACTCATTAAAGATGCTCACAGCCAAGTTATTATTCATATACTTACCTTTTGATTATTTGAGCATCCAGTAGATAACTGTAGTGAGATATCCACCCCGCCTGCACCTGTAGTGCTGACCACGCCCACTCGGGCATGGTCACAGGTGCGGACTTGACAGAGAGTGAGTTTAGGTCTGGTGTTCGGATAGAAAACTCTCTCTTGCTTCTGGTTTTGAGTGACAGACAGCAGCCTGTGCGGATCCTTAGAGCAGCAACCTGAGGTGGTCATCTTTTTCTTGTGTAAGTGTCTTCTCCCTGGATAAAATATATTTAACCTATATTGAGCCTAGTTCCATGAATCATGATCTGTGCATCCACAGATAACTACTACAAGTCAAGAACCAAGGTTCTTGGGTCACATGTCCTCTGGGTCAGAAGGGAGCAGAATTAGGTGACAGCTCTGTTATGTCCAGTGAGGGCAGACTCCAGGTGAGATGATGGGGTATGACTCAGTGGCAAACTCCACACTAACATTAAAAAAAGACACAAAAAGGAAAGTTTCAAAGCTAGGTGGTCATTGGTCATTGTATCTCTCAGTGATGATGATGTAGCCACCACTCTAAAAGCCACAATCATATGCTCTAGTTTGTAGACATGATGGGCTGGCGTCTAGAGACAGCAGATGGAGTTGATGTCCCTGTGTCCTTCAACCCAGGCAGCAACAGCATGGTTGCAGATCTGCAGGAGCTGCCATCATCGGTTCACAGTGCATCCTGGGTGTCACCTTCATCCTACCTAGGTGACAAGGTAATGATGGCCTGATGTTCTGAGTCCTCTGTGGTCTCAGCTATAGCTGCATAATTATCATTTCCTAGAGGTCTGGGAGAAAGCACCTGCAAGTACAGGTAATTAATGTTGAGCAAATTAGGCAATACCCTGCTCTTGCCACACGGAGGATTGCAAAAGTGTGTGTGTGTGTGTGTGTGTGTGTGTGTGTGTGTGTGTGTGTGTGTGTGTGTGTGTGTGTGTCCCACTTACATGAGTTCCCAGGAAAGGAAGGGAAGCCCTGAGTGCTGCTCCTCTTGATTTGTGCCTCCTGCCAAGGGATTCTCCTCTAGGGAAATATAAAACCATTTAAATAATAGCTATTGCAAATGGGCCAGGTGCTCTTAAGCGCTCTGCTGAGAATTCTTTGTTTTAAAGCAGAAAGCCTCCTTGTCAGAATAAAGGCTGAAAAGTGACTCACAGGGTTATTAAAAGAAGCACAGCGTCCATGACAGTATGACGCTCACAAGCAGGATCACGTGTGTTTGATGACACTCCCCCAGGGTCTTATAAGTGAGCCGCATACATTACCGTGGCAGAGGCTGGCCATGATATGAGTACAGTTCAGGCACTGTGTAGAAACTCTATCAGGTAGATTAGGCTTCAAGTTAGACATAATAGAAGACATTAGAAAGGGTGGATTTCACAGGACCCAGTTCATGGGCGGTCATAATTTCATATTGTACGTGGCTTAAATAAATATCAGGGTGTTACAGGGGTTCCATTATGTATTCAAAATTCATGAAACTGTCAGTCATTGGGGGAATTAACTCAGTGTTTGTGAGTTAACACAGTGTTGGCTCCATCTCAAATTCTGGACAAAGAACAATGAACTCTGGCATTTTCATGAGCAAAGAATTGCTTCTGCCACATGGCCCACTCCACCATCTACTAAGCCTCCTCTCCTCTCATTGGTTAGCCCAGGCATTGGTCATCCATGGCCCCTTCTCCATCACCTCCTAACCCTCCTTCTCCTCTCATTGGTTAGCCCATGTGTTGGTCATCTGTCACTGTGCAGCAGCTTAAGGTGACAAGTAAGTGTGCAGTTTCTGTGGACTGGGATCCAGGAGTCAATGGCCCAGAGTTTCCTCTGGAGTTGTGGTCAAGATGTAAGCCAGGTCTAGTCATCTTGGAACCAGAAGATCCAATTGCTAAGGCTCCTGCCATGGTTGCCTCTGTACCTTGCTATATCTGGCTGGAAGCTTTGGATCCTCATCATGTGAGATCTTCCTGGACTATTTATTCAAGGAGCCTTGTGGCATGGTGGCTGGTGTCTGCAAAGTAACTGAGGAAGATGAATGAGATGGTGAGGATTAATGAAAGAACTCAAGACTGAAGTCATGACTTAGCTTTGGGAAAGAAATCTCATTCCTGTTTTATGCTGCTCATTAACTTATGAGAAATGAGTTACTGTGTTGAGCTCACACTCAAGGAGAGGGCAGTAACACCTCCCTTCTGTGTTAGCTACTTTTCTGTTACTGCAATAAAACACCAGGACCAAAAGCAACATCTAGAAGAGTTTATTTTTGGAGGCATGGCAGCAGGTGGTTAGAGCAGGAGATCGTATCTCCAACCACACAGAGAAAGCAGAGAGTAGGACATGAGTAGGGCAGGGTAAAAGCTCTCAAAGCCATCCGTAGTGATATGGTTTCTGCAGCAAAACTATACTTCTTAAAAGTTCCATAACCACCCCCCCAACAGTGCCACAATAGCGAACCAAGTGTCCCAGTAACTGAACCCATGAGGGACATTTCTAGTTCATGCCACTACAACTCTAGAGAGGGTTATCAGGATTTATGCACATATTTTAAAAGCCACTCTAGCCTGTCAAAAAGACAGTGCTTAAAATCAATTCTATGATCCTAAGTGTCCCTTGGAAATGCTTTTAGACCCTGAGAACACAGCTCTGGGAAGCTTGGTCAGGTTGCAGGTCCTAGGAGAAGCCTCCAGGACTAGGACCCCGGAGAAGCTCTCCTGCTGTCACTTGGAGCGGGGTTTTGCTCTCAGCTGAGGTGATGTTGCTGCTGACACACTCTTATCACTTCCTCATTCCAGCTGATTTTAAAGGTGGGCATAACCAGGAATGGAGGTGAAATAGTTGACAGAAAACTGACCAGTCACTGCCACAGCGCCACCAAGATCATACTGTACCTCCCAATCTGTGTCCCTGAGGTAGCAGTTGATCATGGCTTCTCTCTCCAACAAAATTTATAACAACATAGGGAATAGTCACAATCTGCTTTCAAGGGATTTTTTAAATTTAGTTTTGGAGGTTTTTGCAACTGATAGACCCATTTCTCCCAGTTCCAGAATGGATCTCTTAGAATTTCTTTGAATTAAGCAAACTTTTTATTTAGTCATCATGGAAGGAAGGAAGAAAAATATCTTTTTTAACAGTATGGTTGTTATTTTTAAAATAAAAGTACATTCCTACTTACTAAAAACATGTTTGTGTTACTTACTGGTCTTCAGGAATCTGAAAACTGACATAAGGCAGGAGACGAAGGCAGCATTAGTCCCACCCCCTTGAGAGCACCTTTGTCGACTGGGTCCATGTTCATCTTTCCAGACACCCTGGTGAATATTAGCCTGGCCATTTCCAATGCTGTGGATACTGTTTGTTTGATTTCAGGTTTCCTCATATGGCGGCTACCTCACCTACCAAGCCAAGTCCTTTGGCTTACCCGGAGACATGGTTCCTCTGGAAAAGCAGCCAGATGTGCAGCTCACTGTAGGTATTAGGGTGTGGGCCAAGCAGAGGGAAACAGTACCGGTAACTGGGGCTGTGCCGAATGTTAGATTGTTTGTGATTTGAAGGCTCGACACAGAACTTTAGAGAGCATGGTACTCTGCCCAGAGGGTTCACCTTCCCCTCCCGGTGTAGCTGTTTTTCAGCTTTGAAACTGCCTTATTATGGCTTTATCTTTCAGTTTAGTCTCAAAAATGATTTTGAGGCCATTCTTCACAGCACTCCAGCAGTATAGGACAAAATCCCTGCAATATGGGTTAGGGGGTCCTAGCCTGAAGCTAACTCTGTTTGGAAGGGGGCTTCTGGAGACGTAATCCAGTGCCTCACTCCTGCTGTGCAAGCACCGCCATTTCTGCCAGATGTTGTGATGGGCGCTGGAAACTCCTGCTTCCTGGAAGGCTTCTTTGCACCATGCTCTGTCATGGGGGCTAGGAACCCTCCCACGCATCTTTACAGCCCGTGTGCTTGGTAGATCTTTGTGTTCAAGCATTGCTGAGCCATAGTTTGCTTTGACTAGTAAACAAACGCATTGAATCGTGGTAAAAACTCAAAGGAACCTTAGCAGAGCATACTGAAAATTAAGCGACAAAGATTCCATCGTTACCTAAGGAAAATCGCTAAGTGATGAAAGCCCTGTCCCAGCAGGCTGTGTTTCTCCTGTGTTCTGCAGCACATCTCATAGCTGAAGCTATTGCTGCGTGTAGCTTTTACTCTGAGGATTTAATTGCACGTACTCTTGGACTGCACTGGGAGGTAATGACCAAGACTTCCCCTTTATTTTACATTCAGACGTGTAAAATCATTTAGGCTCACAAAAAATGTTCTTTGTTGCTTTATTTTAAACCGCTGTAATTAAGAGCCTTTGGGGCATGTTCCTCAGATTAAGGTTTGAAGTGATCTGTAATCCCAGATAATGTTCTGCCCTTAAGAATGGACAGCCTCCAGGTTTGAGCTGGCACAGAACAGCTGGGCTGTGGTGTGTGACTTGAGGTGGCGTTGCTAAGGCAAGACATGGACATGCCCATGCGGGCCTCTGAAAGCCCCCAAGAGGAACCGACTGGGGTGGGGCAGAGGCTGAGAGCAGGTGGCCTGTCCCACAGCAGCGCCAGAGTCCTGGGCCCACATCTTCATCCATACACTCTTCTTCTGTGTGCTGAGCAACCAGCTGCAGAGTCAGGCTCTGTTAACCCTTCCTCCACCCCGGCCCTCTCCAGCGATCTGCCACCAAAGCATGGTCCTGTCGGTAGCCATGAAATGCACTTTCCACATTTACTACAAGGAATGATTGTATGAACACTTTTCTCCATTTTAAAAACACGTTTAACATGTGTGAGTGTTTCATCTGCGTGCCTGCCTGTGCTCAGGACAGAGCATCAGACCCCCTGGGACTGGGTTATAGACAGTTGTGAACCTCCAAGAGGATGCTGGGAATTGAACTCGGGTCCTCTGGAAGAGCAGCCAGTGCTCTTAATCACTGAGCCGTCTCTCCAGATCTTATTCCTTCTTCATATTTTAAAATCACTTTGGACCAAGGTAGTTTCCATATGTGTGAAAATGTAGCATACTAGCCGCTGTGCACATGTGTCCCTGTCGCTAACCCAGTCAGTTCTGAACTGTTTAGGACCAGGTGTTTCATGTAATGCAGACACACACAGAAATCTGTCCTAACATCAACATAACCCTCAAAACATCCTAACTAAGGCACTAATGCATTCCTGCTTCTCTTCAAACAGGGTCGGCACATGTCTGTCATCCATAAGAAATCCAGTGACCCACGGCCAGACAGGCTGCATCATGGGATAGTGCAAATAGTTGAGGTAAAGGCCCAGAAGATGTCTTTGGTGGTCTTTTCGTTCTGTGATTTAGTTCTTTAATCAAGATTTTCACTTATTTAAGAACATTTTAATACAGATTGTGTGTGTGTGTGTAGAGAGAGAGAGAGGGAGAAATCACACACATCCACACACACACAGAGGGGGAGGAGGGAGAGAGGGAGGGAGGGAGGGTGTGGGAGTGGTCTGGTTTTAAAAAAACACAAAAATTGAACAGACACCAGTGAGGTAGCTGCTAAGGGACTATATATAGCTTTTTGTCTAAGACAAGCTTTCTCATTGGCGTGAAACTTGCCAGGTAGGCTGACCAGTGAGCCCAAGGGATCCTCCCATCTTCATATATTGCTCACTGAGCCATCTCTCATGCCCGGAGAAACCAGAGAGCTCAAGTGCTTTAGTGTTAGAGAGACTGTTCCATGGTTAAGAACATTGCTGCTTTTGCAGCGGACCTGAGTTTGGTTGCCGATACTAAGACTGGGTGGCTTACAGCTTCATGTAACTCCTGCTGTGGGGGATTAAGTGCCCTCCTCTGCTCTCCATAAACACCTCCATGCATGTACATGCACATGCAGACTACATATACACTTAGGTGAATAGTTAAAAAATAAACCTACATGCAAAAGGCACCTCAGAGAAGTTGCTTTCTTTTCATCGTGTGAAGACATGATGACAATGGTCATCCACAAATCGGGAAGAGCATCTCACCAGGAGGCCAAGCAGCCAGCAGCGTGATGTGGGACTTGGAGCTTCCAGGACCATGACAAACTATGTTGAGTAAGCCAGTTACTACATGGCATTTTGTTACGACAAAAGCACAAGCCCCCACTACATAATCTAGAATATAATATAATACAGGGTGTTTGGTGCTTACATGGTTTTGTTTATATCCTCTTTTGGAGGCACATGGGAGCTTGCAGGAGCTCAAGTGTACCAATGTATATAATGGAGATGCCAGAAAGAGAAAGCAGTCACTTCCCTCAAAATGATGAGAATCACTATCAGCACCAAACCCCCAAGCTCGGAATGGGATAGATGGAAGAGGTTCACGCAAACATATCGTAAATCACATACAGACAGATGAAGGCAGAGAGCTATCAAAGCACCGATCATCACATGCTAGCAGCCGTAGTAACATGAATGCTGGTGGTCCACGGGTAGTGTATGAGCTATTCAAACTACTGGAAGATGGTTGGAAAGATGGCACAACAGGTAAAGGGATCTGCCAGCAAGCCTGAGGACCCCAGTTCAGTTCCCAGAGAGGACTGACTCCTGCATGCTGTCCTCTGAGCTCCACATGGACTCTGACATGTATGCACTCATACGTGTATGCTACATAGAGTGGAAAAAAACTACAAAGCAAAAGGAACACAGTGCAACAAAAGAATTACACACAAAAAATCTAATGCAGTGGTCTGAGCTATGAGCAGAAAATTCTTTGCTAAATAACTTCTTGATAAGAAGTACCCAGTCACAAAAATCATACAGGATGTGAGTCCACTGATATGAAGTCCCTAAGATAGTTCAACTCTTAGAAAGTAGGGTGTGGTTTCCCATGGCTAGAGGGGGTCTGCCTAGAGTTTCTGTTTCCAACCATGAACAAGTTTTTCAAACTTGTGTTAATATTGTGCTCAGAGTTCAAACCACTATGTTACAGAATCAGCAAATAAAATGGATATGGTGGTGTATTTCATGTCATATTTTTTAACAATAAAATTACATATGGTGGCTCATGCCCTTTATCCCAGCTCTCAGGAGCCAGAGGCAGGTGGGTCTCCAGGTTCAAGGCCAGCCTGGTCTACATAGTGAGTTCCAAGGCAGCCAGAGCTAGAAAAACAAAACAAGAATTACATATGTCTATTACAGATAAAAACTGATATGAGGATTCATGGAGTGTCTCACACTGGTAATCTCAGCACTTGGGAGGCGAAGGGAGAAGGATTGTGAGTGCCAGGCCAGCCGAGGCTTCTTAGCTGGGCTCTGTCTCAAAAGAAAACAAAACCGAAAGAACCCAAAACAACAACAAAAACCCGACCAAGCGCACAAATGGAGCAGCACATAAATCAATAAGACAAATCCGTTTACAGGAAGAGACTTGCTGTCCTAATTAAGCACATTTGCTAACATTACCTGGGCAGCCACTTTTTCTCCCTGCACCTTCATCACCGACTTCATATTTTCCCAGATTAAAATACATTTACAAAGGCTTGGCACTGGTCATGGAGGTCCCCTTCCCTGGAGTAGCCTGGAGTGACTGTGTGCCGGGAAGGACTTCCCCTTCTTCCTTTCTTTGACTCTTTTCCCTTATACATTCTTCAGTTTGACCCATTCCATGGTCTTTCTCTCTGGAAGTGACCTTGCCTAAGGAAATCTCCAATTGCTGTGCAGGGAAACTTCCGACATGCAGGCAACAGTGCCCCAGTGTCCCGGGAAGAGCTGATGACTGTGCTGTCCGCACTAGAAGGGCTGTATATCCGGGGCCTCTACTTCACTGAGACACAGCGGCTCACCCTGGGCGAGGTAGGGCTGGAGGAGGCCTCCGACAAGGGAAGTGGACCCAGAGCTCATCTTGTGGAGATGTGTGCCTGTCCCCCTGACTACACAGGTGACTCATGCCAGGTAGGAAACTCTCCCAGCCACTGTTATTCCTCACTTCCTGGGGCCCCATCTGTGTCTGGCTTTTTCTGGCTGCTTTCCATCAATGCAGCACAGTTAGAGCTCTCTCTCTATCATCCAAGTGTGCTGGGCCAGGTCTAGTATCTTCTCTAGGCGACCTTTAGGGATTCAAAATATGCCAAAGACATCATGCTGCCTTACCATTCACAGGAGACCATGGGCGCTTTGTCATAGACGAAGAAATCATTTGTAGAAGCTCGGTGTTTGTCCTTTCCTATAAGCTGGGCCAGAGCCTCCTTCTGCCACCACAGTGCAGTTAAATCCCAAGAAGTCCCTATATGCAAGAGGGAAAACCTCACTGCCATTTTCCACCTCTTAGAAGGTCTGAGTTGGTTAAGGTTACCCTCACATGATTAAACTGTACTACGGAATGAAACTGCTTCCCATCTCAACCCGTACATCAGTACATCTTGTTCTAACTAGAATCAGTGTGGGAGATAGCAATGGTGTTGTTCTGTGTACCCCGTGCCCCAAATGTACGTATGCTAGCAAATGTCTTCACATTCCTGTGTTTAAGCCAGAAACTACCTCCCTTGCCTTAGCATCCTGGAGACTCCTTTTCTTGTGAGTTGGGTAACAGGTTTCCTCCATTTAGCTCAATGCTGCCCGTCTCTTTTCTAACTGATTTAAAATATAAAATAGATAGCCCAAGGAGAAGAGGAGCCTGTGGATTAGCACCCTTGTGGTCAGGGTGTGGGCTTTTGTGTTGACTCAGCCTGTGATTTACAGCTGCTCTGATGTCTGGCCCTGTCTGCTGAGCCAGGTGGGTAGAAGGTGATGTCCGCCCCACCTCGCAGGAATTACCGAGGGCTGCACTTACCTGTGGAACTGTTACGCGCTTTCTCTCCCTGTGTAGGCTGAGTCATGTGTGAAGTTTAAAGGTGGGGCCCCCTGGCGCAGACAGCCTTCTTTCCCTGAGTCAGGCAGGCCCGGGCACTGAGCAGGAAGGGCATATAAGAGGAAGAGTGCAGAGCTTTGCCTGCAGCCAGGCAGGACACCCAGGGAACAGGATGCCCCCTGCAGTGAGGTGGTCAGCCTGGAGCACAGGATGGCTGTGGATCTTTGGGGCAGCCCTGGGCCAGTGCCTGGGGTATGGCTCAGAGCAGCAAAGGGTAGCATTTCTTCAGCGTCCAGGTCAAAATCATCTGCAAACAAGTTATGTGGAGCTCAGACCCAGTCAGGTAATACCCATTTTAAACTTCGTTTGGGGTGGGAAAATGTATCCAGCTTGGTGTTAAGTTAGGGTTGTTACAGAGTCGATGGGTAGGATGGGGGAAGGGCAGGTGGCCTCCGGGGTTGCGGGTGAGTGGCAGGGTTTATTGCAGGGCTGGGCAGATTGCTCTCTCCAGAGCTATTAACCACAAGCCCCATAAACATCAGCCCACTGTGGAATGCCCAGAAAGTTGAGAGCTTGGGTGCTTGTGGGATATTGGTCTATTATGAACTCTTGAGGGACTAGCTCAAGCCTTGGGCAAGCTTCTACTGCCTCTAGGCTTGCAAGTTTCACTTGAAGAAAATTTACTCACAAAGTAAAACATGAGGAACAATAGCTAAGAAAAGCGATCAAAGTTTGTATAGTGTCTCACGGACATGCTGTGATTTGCCAGGCATGAAATACTCATGAATTCTGTTCACTCCTTACGCGCCCTGGCGGCTACGTGTATACTTACAGAGAAATACAGCCTGTGGCTTATGAAAATGACCTGGAAAGTGGATAGGACATGATTTTATCAGCTATAATATAAAACGTTACTGGAAATTTTATCCTTGAAAACATGGCTTTGTGAAACTTCACCCCTCCTAAGTCTCCCTGTTGAAGTGTGGGACACATTCATTCCTGTCTGGAGGAAATCTTCAGTAGGCTTGGAATACTTCTGCGAAAGGTGTTTGCTTGCTTCGTGGAGGCATGAAATGGTTACAAGCGAGTCACATGACCTGGAACTTGGGCAGAGCGTTTTTCCTGCTTGTAATTAAAAGTACATTAAGGTGGATGATTTTGTTTTGATCATGATAGACGGTTCTTCCCAAAGCAGGCTTAATTAAGGCTTTCTCCAAGCCTGGGGCCTTCCACTCATGAGACCTCTTCGTTCATTTGAATAATTTGTCCTTTACCAAATATAATTATTTTGAGCAAGTGCCATGATGTAAGACGCCGGCAGTTAGCACTGCAGCTGGCTTGTTGTGGACAGTATCACTGATGTGTCCCCACTGGATTCCATTCAGGCGTGTCTCCCCGCTGAGCCACCAGCACAGAGCTTCCCTTGCAGGCTTTATTTCTCCTTTAGACGAGGCTGTTCAGATCCAGTCTTAAAGTTAAAAAAAATTGCAGCATATCCCTTTGCCTAAGCGTGATCCCTAATCAGGAAAAGGAGCATTGTATTGGAAACTATGCTCTGCTATTTGTATTATCTGTTACCCATTGGTCATTTGGGAAAGAGAGCCTGGCTGGAGTTGAGAGGCCCCACCCTGGATGGCTCAGGATCCCACACTCCTTCCAGTGCAGGATCCTTTGTGGACATGGGCGGGGAGACTGGCCTGTTGATTGCAGGGTTTGCCTTGACTGCCATTTTATGGATGTATCTGCTGTTTAAGACCATCCATCAGATGGGTTGAGAGATTAATTCTTCCTGGTGCTTTAAAGATGGGAATCTGGGGGACCAGAGCCACAGACAGGGGGAAATTTCCCGTGTTGAGTTGTGCGTGGATTGGCTCTGCCAAGATAAAGAGCGCATCTGCCTATAATCTTTTTTAAAGGCAGGAAGAACTCCACATGACTTCAGTGAGTGCCACAGGAATCAAATCACTTCTACAGTCCTCTGTTGGAACTTTTTGTTTTGTTTTTGAGACAGGGTTTTACTCTGTAGCACTGGCTGGCCTGGAATTCATAGAGATCCTCTTGTCTCTCTTCCAAAGGCTGGGATTAAGGACCTGTTGGAAAGTTCTTAACAGAATCTTTTAAACAAGGCATAAATCCATGGGAAAAAATTAATTCTTGCTCGACAGAGGTAGCACACACCTTTAATCCCAGCACTCAGAGGCAGAGGCAGACTCTCTCGGGCCGGGTCTCTGTAATCACAACGGGCCACCTTCTTGTGAACAGTGTTTTATGTGAGAACTCCACACCTGCCTTCTACCCAGGCTCCCTGCTGACCGCTGGTTAGTGAGAGTCATGGAAATGATTCCAGTAATTGTGCAATTATTGAGCGGTCTCCACCCCTCCCGCTAGCCTGAACCCATACCTGGGGAGGGTGAGCTATCAGGACACTGTTGAACTCGGGTTTGGCTTAGCCCAGTAGGGACTGGAGTCCTGATCCTCTGTCCCTCCACCCTTCCATCTGTTCAGACCCCAGCAAACAACTGGTGTGAGAGGGACTCATGGCCACTTCTCCTTCTCTGTTAGTCTCCAGTCCCACCATCACAAAGACACGGCACGATCTCACTAAACAGCAACCGAGCTGGCTGGTGGTGGATACACAGCACCTGGGGAGAGGTTCTAAAACCCCGACTTTTTCCGTCAGAACTGCGATGGACTTTGGGAAATAACTTCTCTCTTTTCTTTGTATTGATGAGACATTTTTGTTTGGAAAACAGGGTTGTCACCCTGGATACTATCGGGACAACAAAAGCGTACCGGCTGGAAGGTGTGTTCCCTGCAATTGCAATGGACATTCAAATCGCTGTCAGGACGGCTCGGGGATGTGCATTGTGAGTACATGGTAGTTTGCTGCTGTTGGCAGAAAGCCTGCTCCTCCCCTGTCCCCTGAGATGTCAGTGTTCCCCTTCTCACTGAACCCGAGACAGAGGTTGCTGTGGCCACGGAGGAGGCTGAACCATCGGGCTAGATTGGGTGTTTTACACCTGACTTCTGCCTCCATTTAGCATGCACCCTCAGGAGAGAGCACCTGACTGAACAGTTCTGAGAGGCTTTTCCATTATCTCTGTGTCATTACGTTATCACAACAGGTGGGTCATGGGGCTTAACGCTTGCCTGGATATAAGAAGTCTGAGCTGTTACTTTGGGCCTCAGTTTTGTGGGGCAACATGGGTTTCAAGAGGGACTCCTGTGGCTGTCAGAGGAGCAGTAACTATTACAGGGGCCTGAGGGTGGGACTTGGTAGGCAGAACGACAGTACCCTTGACCTGCCTCCACAGCTCCCATAAACCAGGCTGTAATCCCAGGTGCTGGAGGCAGGAAGATCCCAAATTGTCTTGGTCAGTGTTCTACTGCTGTGAAGAGACACCATGGCCACGGCAACTCTTACAAGAGAAAGCATTTAACTGGGGCTGGCTTGCAGTTTCAGAGGCTTAGTCCCTTATCTTCATGGTGGGGAACATGGCGATGTGCAGGCAGGCGAGGGAGCAGCAGCTGACCCTTCTTCATCCTGAGCCGTAAGCAGGCAGAGAGCAACACTGGACCTGGTGTGGCCTTGTGAAACCTCAAAGCCTACCCACAGTGACGCTCCTCCTCCAGCAAGGCCACGCCTCCTCAACAAGGCCACGCCTCCTCAGCAAGGCCACGCCTCCTCCAGCAAGGCCACGCCTCCTAACCCATCTTTAATAGTGCCACTCCCTGATGAGGAAGCATTCAATACATGGGCCTGTTGGGGCCATACTTATTCAAACCGCCAGTTTAAGGCCATCCTGAGACACATGAGAAAAAAAAGTCTTGGAAGGAAGAGAGTTGGGCATAAGTGATAGAAGGAGAAGAAGGAGGATAAAAACAAGAAAAAATAGAGAGAAGGAGGGGATACTGAGAATGGATTATGACTCACACCTAGTCAGTCAAATATGAACACCCCATGGCTACTAAGATAGAGTGGGGCTACAGGAGAGGTGGGTGAGGGCACTGCACCAAGGAGGTGTGGTCTCCCAGCGCCATCTGTACACGGGCCCCAGGCCTGCCAGCTACTTTTTTCTCGTTCTTTGTTTCTCTTTTCCTTGTTTGTTTGTATTTCTGTCTGTCTGTCTTGATGTCTATAGCTTGGATACTAGAAAAGGGTCTTACTTTGGGATGTTGTATCAATAAATTTATTCTCTCAGTAAAATTAGCTTGTTTCTAGGCATGGTAGCCCAAGCCTTTAATCTCAGCCCTTGGGAAGCAGAGGCAGGCAGAGCTCTGTGAGTTGAAGGCCAGCCTGATCTCCATAGCAGCTTCCTAGTTAAGAAGGCTGTACAGTGAGACCCCATCTCAAAAATAAGTTTAGAAAAGTTTGTTAAGTAATTTTCATCCTGAAAGAGCCTTTAAGTTCATTTCTTTATTTTTACTGTGCTTCTTTCTTTTGATCCTTTTGAGTTATTCCCATTTGGTAGCCAGGGCCTCCCCCAGGGAGGCAGGGACCTGTGGAGATTCCCTCTGCTGCCATGGCTTAGTGTGCGGCGTGGCTAACTAGCAGCTGTGGAGTCCCTGGCCTGTACTGAGCCTGTCTCGGGCATCTGCTTCCTCTGCAAGCTGGGGCAGGCCAGTGCAGGAACGTGCAGGAGGGAGGGGCCGCCGATGGAATATTTTGTTGGATTCTAACCTTATAAGTTCAAAAAGAGTAAAAGGCACCAATGGGTCGTCTTCCAACCCATGAGTAAGCCTGAACAAAGGCCTCCGTTTGATACGGCCTGGTGTGTGTGACACAGGTGCTGACCTCATCGACAGTGAATGTTTATCTTATCACAGAACCGCTGCTAGATGCCATCTACGTAATAAAAGCCCCCAGAGAACAAAGGGAATTTTCTCTAGATTCTATATACTGCAGGAAGGATAACGTGTGGGAGTCATACATCATCTTTCAGTCAAAACGTTGCATTCCATTTTCAGTCTCTGTAGTTCTGTCTTTGCTTGTCTGTAAGGCCACTGTGGCTCCTCGAGGCAGAGCACTCATCAGGAAACCTAGACATTGCTGTGGTCCTGAGACCCCTGGTGGGCTCAGAGCCACCAGACACAACTCTTCTTCTCAAGAACATGCTTTACACATGTTTACACCCATGCGACCACGCATGTGTGCACACCTACACCCACGCTATCACACATGTGTGCACACCTACACCCATGCTATCACACATGTGTGCACACCTATACCCATGCTATCACACATGTGTGCACACCTACACCCATGCTACCACACATATGTGCACATCTACACCCATGCTATCACACGTGTGCACACCTACACCCACCCTACCACACATATGTGCACACCTACACCCACCCTACCACACATGTGTGCACACCTACACCCACCCTACCACACATGTGTGCACACCTACACCCACCCTACCACACATGTGAACACAGCCACCTTATTACTCATCTGGACACAGCCACCCTACTATACATGTGGACACAACCTCCATACCATGCATGTGGACACACCCATACCCACCCTACCATAGGTGTGTACATACCCAAACCCACCCTACCCATCCACATATAGGGGCAACAACCATGAGGCAGAGAGAGCTAACTGAACATGGCATGGGCTATTCAAACCCTTAAGTCCACCCCAAGTAACACACCTCCTTCAACAAGGCCACACCTCCTAATCCTTCCCAAACATGTCCACCAACTGGGGACCATGTATTCAAATACATGGACCTATGGGGGCATCTCATTCAAACCACCATGCTACCTATGTTTTATGTAAGTTTAGTTCCTTAATGATTCATAAAGGATGGATTTGTTTCATTGGGACTCTTATCTATTGGAGACAAGCCTTGTATTTTATTTTTCCTAATGTAGCTTCAGGATTTATTTACATCTTCACATTCATTATCAAACACCATGGTGACATATAGAAGTTAAAAAAAAAAACGTATGAGCACTTCTCAGAGCATAACCTCATTCCAGGTCATTTCTTTAACACAAGGAATCTCTTAGTTGCCAAATGTCTGTAGCACAGGGAACTTCCTTCAGTGTGTGTGTGTGTGTGTGTGTGTGTGTGTGTGTGTGTGTATCTGTGTTTGTGTGTATGTGTCTGTGTGTGTCTATGTCTGTGTGTGTCTGTATCTGTGTGTGTGTGTCTATGTCTGTGTGTGTATCTGTATCTGTATGTGTGTGTCTATGTCTGTGTGTGTATCTGTATCTGTATGTGTGTGTCTATGTCTGTGTGTGTCTGTGTCTGTGTGTGTCTGTATCTGTGTGTGTGTGTCTATGTCTGTGTGTGTCTGTGTCTGTGTGTGTGTGTATCTGTGTGTGTGTGTATGTGTCTGTGTGTGTCTATGTCTGTGTGTGTGTATCTGTGTGTGTGTGTCTATGTCTGTGTGTGTCTGTGTCTGTGTGTGTGTGTATCTGTGTGTGTGTGTATGTGTCTGTGTGTGTCTATGTCTGTGTGTGTGTGTATCTGTGTGTGTGTGTCTATGTCTGTGTGTGTCTATGTCTGTGTGTGTCTGTATCTGTGTGTGTGTGTCTATGTCTGTGTGTGTCTGTATCTGTGTGTGTGTGTATGTGTCTGTGTGTGTCTATGTCTGTGTGTGTCTGTATCTGTATGTGTGTGTCTATGTCTGTGTGTGTCTGTGTCTGTGTGTGTGTTTGTAGCTGGAGGAAAACATTAGTGTCCTTCCTAAGTACCCCCCACTTCTTTTTTCTTTCTTTTTTTTGTTTGTTTGTTTTTGAGGCAGGGTCTCTCACTGGTCTGGAGCTTGCCAAATGGGTTAGTTAGTAAGCCACAGAGATCTTCCCATCGCCATCCCCCCAACCCTGGGATTACAAGAATGCCTCACCAGCTTGTAAAACATGGCTTAGCAAACTCGGGTCCTTGTGCATGCAAGGCAAGTAATTTACACAGGCTGAGCTATCATTCCCCCTTGCAGTACTTTTGTGTGGCACCAACAGCAACTAGATAGGATCCAATATGTCATGCAGCCAGAGGACTTACGTTATGATGGTGAGGTTAGGCGAGAGATGGAGTTCAGTTCTGCCGAGCTCACTGAGGTACGTGAAGCTCCAGGTTTGATCACCAGCACTGGAAAAGACGCACACCCTGATAACGACCATCGCAGTGATCCATGCAGCAGACAGCTGACTCGTTGTCCCGCTCATCTGTCCCCAGAACTGTCAGCATAACACAGCTGGGAAGCACTGTGAGCTCTGCAAGGAAGGCCACTATGGGAACGCCGTCCGTGGATCCTGTAGGGTGTGTCCCTGCCCTCACACCAACAGGTACGGCAGATGCTGACAGGTGACAGTCCTAACCTGGCAGCTGTACAGAACTGAGAGTGGGTGTGGAGACAGCTACGACTGTGTCACTTAAGGACCCTATGACACTTGACCTTGAAGACTGTAGCCAAGCGTCTGGGTTTACTCCTTGTGATGGAAGCCTTGGGGGAGTCCTGAGCCCTTAAGTGACACAGCCGTAGCTGTCATTCAGGCCCAGCTGATAGATGGCATGTAGAACAGTCTCCATTTCTTCTCCTGTTCTTTGGGTCTGACACATTGTTGCATTCTTGTTCACCGTGAGGTGTTCACCATGGACTCCAAGGAAAGGGTGATGTAACGGCTAACTAAGTAAAATAGTAGTGGGCTTGAGAATCTAGAAACTGTACCTACACGACACAGGCTCAGAAGTAAGGGCAGAATGCAGAGCCGATGATAGCCCAGGGTCAGATGATCCCCCTGTCTCAAACGCCTGCCTTGCTGATGGAAGTTTCTGTCCTGCCTGCCCGTCTACACTGCCTTGCTTTCCTATCCGTGCGTTTGATTCCCATTCAGCCTGCCCTGTCCTGCAGCGTTATTTGTGCAGCGATCTATCACTCCATGCCTGCCCAGACTTGCACAGACAGAGACGGGCAGAAGAAGAAAACGGCAAGATTGCCATCAGTGCGCTCAGGAGATTTTCGTCTGGGGTTAAAGCCTATAGCTATCAGCAAATCCAGCTCCCAGCACATGGGGCTGGAATGCACATAGACCTCCAGGATTACCATTACAGCTGCTCTGTACTCTTCCTCCATCAGTAGAAACACCCCCGGGGAGACTGCATCTGGTCCCTTAGGAGGGATGTTCTACATCCATCCCGCCCAACAAGGGATGTTTCCCGAGCATAGCTTCTCCTGCGAGACCATCCAGAGGGGATGATTGTCAGTCAGAGTAAGGCTCCAAATACGGACACTTTGCCAGTCCACATGGCTTCTTTGTTTGGGAGCAAAAAAAAATAATGTCTCAAATATGTCAGTTTAGAGCTAAAAGAACAGGAATTGAAATTTCAGGACTTGATTAGAAAACAAGGTAATGTTACCAGCAAGGGTACACATAAGTGCCCGAGGGGCTGGGGGAGACTTGTACTTCTCTCTGGGCCTTCAAAGGCCTGGCCTGTCTGCCAGGAGCAGGCTCTGGGAAGAAGAAACTGAAATAAACAAGGGGACAAGATTTTGAAGAGAATCTAGGCTTGCTTGTCTCTTTCCTGCCTGGGCTTGCAGCCCTCCCTTGTTATTCCTGGGGAAATGTTGTCATCATCTCTTCCAGACTGAGTTACTGCGTCTGTCTCCAGGGAAAGAATGCATTTATCTAAGCCAGAAACAAAAAGCATGTCTGCATTCACCCCCTTGTTCAGTGTCAGCTAAAGCTAAACTTGCTCCCCACACAACTTTCTTCACTCAAAATCTTCCTCACAGTGGGTTTCCATTTTTGCTTTGTGGAAGCTGGTCTTTGTGACAGGAAAGCGATGAGCCCATGGGGTTCTGTTTAAACCGAGCCTTTTTCCTGTCTTCCTCTAAGTTTCGCCACTGGCTGTACCGTGGATGGAGGAACTGTGAGGTGTGCCTGCAAACCTGGATACACGGGAGCACAGTGTGAGAGGTAGGTTTCTCCCTGCCCCGTGTGCCCTCGGCCCTCGACCCTCCTTTCCCAAAATCCGCAGGCAGGGTGTGTGGGACAGGCGGTGTGGGGCTGGTATCCCACTGAGGGCTGGAACGGTCTTGGGTAAAATACAAGACTTGTCCCTCAGCAAAAAATAACATCCTCTCTCTCTTGCTCATCTTTAGAAATCTGGGGGATGAGGTGCACACGCCACATAAGCACATGTACACACAGACTTGTGTTCTCCCACACAAGCATGCACACAGACTTGTTTTCTCCCACACAAGCACACAGACACACAGACTCATGTTCTCACACACACATAAACACACACACAGACTCGTGTTCTCACACACAAGCATGTACACAGACTCGTGTTCACCCACACACACACATAGAGACTCCTGTTCTCCCACACATGCACACACACATAGATCTATGTTCTCCCACACAAACACACATGTTCACAGACTCATGTTCTCGCACACAAACACACACACACACAGACTCGTGTTCTCACACACACACACATAGACTTGTGTTCTCACACACAAACACACACACACAGACTCGTGTTCTCACACACAAACACACATGTTCACAGACTTGTGTTCTCACACACAAACACACATGTTCACAGACTCATGTTCTCACATACAAACACACACACAGACTCATGTTCTCACACACACACACAGACTCATGTTCTCACACACATACACACACACAGACTCGTGTTCTCACATACACACACGTGCACACAGACTCGTGTTCTCACACACAAACACACACACACAGACTCATGTTCTCACACACACACAGACTTGTGTTCTCACCCACATGCACGCACACACACAGACTGTTGTTCTCCCACACATGCACACACATACACACAGACTCGTATATTTTGAGCACTCAGGAAAGCCTGTTCATTTCCCAATCCCTGGTGCCTATCATGACACTGCTCATATTCGTTGTGTTTAGCAGTGTTCATGAAGCAAAAATACAATAACAATAAGGGTTGTTGGAGGGAAAATATCCTAGAGATGTATTTCAGGTATTCATGGGTAGATTGTCTTCAGTAGCTTCTAGTGCTGTGTAGGTTGAATAAGGCAAAAGTTGACCCATGTTCTAATAACCTAACATTTCACCTCTCAATTATCCAAGGGCCATGTTGTATGAAAAGCACAAAGTATTTGGTTCCCCTCCAGATCTATACTAGTGTGAAGTGTAGATGCCAGGGTGTACATGGGACACTAGTCACAAAAACCAGTGGGGAGGAGTTGGATTGTATGTGAAGGGCCAACCAACCAGCCTCGGACAGCAAGGGATGGCAGAGTCAGCTATGTGGAGATGGGAAGGATGTGTAGGCCAGAGAAGGAGGGCTGGGAAAGTATTCCAGGTTTTGTGACTTTAAAGTTTGGAGTGCACATCTGGGAGAGGCTTTTCCTGATTTTAGCCTCCGTGTGGTTCTGTACAAACAGCAGAGTCAAAGACAGCAACAGACTTGATGAGGTGTCTGTTTACTTAGCAACTGATTTGAAGAGACATTTTTTAATTAACAATGCTTCTTTCAGCATATGCTTCTCTTGGTGCCTCAAAACAAGTCATTGTTTCTTAATTAAAAACATCTTTTCACAAGTGCCAGGCTGATGGCACACATAGGTGTCATTCATGCCACTGTTTGTTAAGTCTGGAACGACAAATAAGAAAGTCAAGGGTGAGAAGTAGGAATATACTATATAGGGGCATCTAGTTGAACTTGGGATGGGTGGTCTGCCTACAGTGGGTGCGGAAAGGCTTCTGACTCCTCCCATGCTCCCCTCTGTCTCCCTCAGCCACACAGAGTCATGGGCAGATCTGTTCTCTGCTTTTAATTTCTGTACTAATGTCATCTGGGAAAGCAAGAAGCATGTGCTTAGCTATGAAAGGAAAGTAAGAGAGGCAATTATTTCTTGTAGACATAATGTATACTTTGTAAGAATAGGGAATAACTAAATGCCCCAGTTCTTTGTATAACCTTATAAAGGGTATGTTGTACTTTTGGTCTTTTCTCCAGAAACTTTACATATAGGTGAGAAATGAGAATGAAGTACTTTAGAGCATAGATCTCCTGCTATAGATGAGCATGGCTCTAGTCAGTATGTAACGGCTCAGTCCTATCATTTTACCTCCCTGCTTAGTAGGTTTGGATAAGCCACCTCAGCCTTATTACTAGGGAAGAGTATGTAAGTGTCTGCCTTCCTGCTTATTTCTGAAATGTAGTAATTACCAATGATACTGATTATAAAATGAATGTTGAACCCCACCTTATAATCATGGGTACATTTTAGTGAGTGACTATGTGAAGGCTGATGAATCCTTTACTAACATCATTTATATCCATTGAGCAAGGTGGGTGTTATTAGTCTTTCATTGATCCGTCCATCCACCCACTCATCCATCCATCCATCCATCCATCCATCCATCCATCCATCCATCCATCCCATAACCTACTTGGTTCCTAGTATGTGTCAGCAGCAGCATTATGGGTCCTAGAGATATAGCAATGAGCAAACCCTCAATGTCTTTATGAAACTTAACATTTTCCTGAGAATATCTGATGGACAACAGGAACTCAAAGGTCTATGACAGCCCAAGACTGTCATAGCATAAATGGTACAAGCAGGTCCAGACAGCTGTTTCTGACCCAGTATCTATATTCCCTGCAGACATCACCAGGGTAGCTTTGAGAACATATGCTGAAAATGGCTGGAGTATTATTATTAGTAGTAGTAATAGTAGTATTATATAGATTTAAACTTTGAAGAAATGGTTACCATATTTCCTCAAGTCTATCATCTCTATTATATTAACATACCATATATCAATTTACTGAAAATTCAGGCTTTATGTGGGAGATGGAACTGAAAATTCAGGCTTCCTCATATGGGGAAATGTTGATAAATAAAAATATTTCAATTGACTCCCTAATATTAGAAATTTAACATGTTTTATTTTTCTTACTTACTGAATTTAAGCTTCAAGGAATACGACCTTTAAACTCTGAGGCTTGGGCGTGGCTTCTTACTATGTTACCTAGACTAACAGTGGCTCCTGGCCAGAGGAAGCTCTCTGACTCCTGTCAGTAACGTCACTTTCTTATATGCCCCACTGCTGTGACTAGTGTAAATATAGGTTCATGGCCTTGAAATCTCATGGCAGGGAATACAGAACTCCCTCCATGTAAAGCTTTGAAACTCCTGGATTTATTTCACAGTGTCTACGTGACGTCTTCAGGAGCATAACTCAATAAAATCCAGCCCACTCTGACTTCTGTGTTGATCAAACCATTTATTCCTCTGCCACTCAGCTACTGAGCATTCAGTAGCAGGGGCAGACGGCAGATGAAGGAGCAATCCCTATTTGTCTCTTACCCTTAGTAACCTTGTTTATGGGACAAAGTAAACATGCCCTTTGAGAAGTGTTAATTCTTGCCAGCCAGGATCACCTTTCCTATTACCCAGCTATGGTATCTCAAATAGGAAAATATGGTGGATAAATGACAGTTATTTGGGTGTTTCTTAGCCTTTCCATGTTCTGTGCAGGTGTGCACCAGGCTATTTTGGGAATCCTCAGAAATTTGGAGGTAGCTGCCAACCATGCAATTGTAACAGTAATGGCCAGTTAGGCACTTGTGACCCCCTAACTGGAGGTAAGTTCAATGCACATCCCCGCTGACCTCAATCTTAAAGCTTCTGTGAGACAACAGTCTAACATGCATAGCATAGAACTCTAGCTCACAATTTCCTTCCCTTGACAGTCCTGAGAATGCTTGGGTAATAGTTGTGGCTTTGAGGAACAATTACTTCAATTAGTTGTTTTTTTTTTTTAAGTAAATTGTTTTAAACCCCAATGAGTTGTAGATCAGAAAACCTTAGACGCACTTTGGTGGTTTTACTAGATATTCCTGGACACTGTTGTTGTTTTGAGCAACTTTATTTTAAAGTTATGTGCATGTGTCTGTCTGAGAGTGTTATACGTGAGTGTCAGTGTCAGTGGGAGCTGGGACTCCTGGAGTTACAGTTAGGACACCTGATGTGGGTGCTGGGATTTGAACTTGGGTCCTTGACAAAAGTAGCTTTTCACCACTGAGCGCTCTCTCTACCCCCACTCTATAGTTACTTTTACACCAGCTCTCTCTCTCTCTCTCTCTCTCTCTCTCTCTCTCTCTCTCTCTCTCTCTCTCTCTCTCTCTCTCTCTTTCTGTCAACATGAAGAAATTAAAGTGTTCTTTCTTTCTTATCAATACAAGTTCTGGAATGTGTTCAAGTCAGAGGTGTAGATATAATATACTGTGTGAAAGATAATTTGTCACAGTTTTTATTGATTCGTTCAGAAAAACTTGGAACAAAAAGAAGAATATTCTCTTCTTCCACAGAAAATGCTGAAAAGCTGTGTTAGTAAGGTGTCAACTTAGGTGAACTCTGTCATCTTATAGTTGCGGGCAAGTTGAAAAGCTAAACCTGGAATGTGCAGATTCATCCCATCAAACATCAAAATAAGACATAACAAATGGGCTAACACCAGTTTTTAGATTGGGGCAGTCACTCAGAAGTTCAAGTCTGGCCTGGGCAGCTTAGAGAGACAAGGGACTGGAGATGTCTCAGTGGTTAAGAGTGCTTGCTGCTCTTCCAATGGATTTGGGTTCAGTTACAACCTTGCATATCAGAAAGCTCAGTTGTAACTCTAGCTTTAGGGGATCCAGTGCCTTCTTCTGGCATTTACAGGTATCTGCATCAATGAGGCCTGGTGTGCGTACGTGCACACAGACAGACAGACAGACAGACAGACAGACAGACACACACACACACACACACACACACACACACATACAATAAAAACAAATCCTAAAAAAGAGAAGTAGCTAGCGTGACAAGAGAACTGAAGATGTTGCCGAGTGGTAGACTGTTTGTCTGGCATATGTGAGATCCCCAGTTGAAGAAGGAAGATATGCCGTTCCTGAGAAACGCCCTTCTTAGAAAAGAAATAGTCATATGTGGTGAAGGAAGCCACCAAGGAAGTTCATGCTCGTGGCAATGGCATGGTGAAAGTGGAAAGGGGGGACAGTGATGCTTTTGTGACAGGGTGACTAAAACCCTCCAGAATGGGCTCTTCTGAAACCAAGTTAGAGGGCAGATGAAGAACAAGTTAAATACAAATGTCTTTTTTTCCTCCCGATTTTAGACTGTGTAAGCCAAGAACCCAGAGATAGCAGTCCTGCAGAAGAATGCGATGGTGAGAAAAGAAAGTCCCTCCCTGCCCTTTCCAAGCTGTGTCTCATTTAAGACGCGTGAGTGCCGTGCTGGGACAAGCACTTTATAGTCAGGAAAACCAAAGTAAGAGAACAGGGAAGGACAATGTTGGCTCAAATCCTGCCCCTGTCAACTCTTAGCTGTCTACCACCTACAGGCCGCCTCACGTCTCCAAGTCTCAGCTCACAGATAGAGTGGACACAGAATGCCTACCTCATACAACTTCTGGGGACTTCTCTTCAGATGTCACATTACTTATCATAGTGTCTAATCATCTGTGTGTAGTGGCACATGTCTGTCATCTCATCTCTTGAGATGGTGAGGCATGAGGATCACTGATTTGAGGTAGCTTGGGATACTTAATGAAACCCATTCTCAAAAGCAGTCAACAAAAATAGTCATTAGCGGACACCCCATGACCACATGGTAATCACTATTATTTCCCCCCACACACAAAATAAGCAACGAGCTGCTAAGAGTCACGACTTCTAGCAAAAGTGCTCTCGCACATCCAGTTCTTTCTTCTTCGGAGTGCACATCCCTCCCTGAGTTGTCTAGGGCTGTGACTTCTACCTGTGATAATCTGTGTTTGAGGGGACAGGCTACATAGGCCTAGTGCTCTCTGTGTCTTTTCTGGGCTCTAGCCTACAGCATATTCAACTTTCACTGTGGTCCTGCAGACTGTGACAGCTGTGTGATGACCCTCTTGAAAGACTTGGCCACCATGGGTGAGGAACTCCGCCTCATGAAGTCAAAGCTGCAGGGCCTGAGTGTGAGCGCTGGTGTTCTAGAACAGATCCGGCACATGGAGACGCAGGCCAAGGACCTGAGGGTAAGCCTTTGGTGGGGACCCAGACCGGCTGCTTAGTGAGTGTGGCTGTGCCTTGCTCTCTATTGGGGAATCAGTTCTCTATGGAAAACCAAGCCTGCAGAGTCTCACATCCCTAATACAACATGGTCCCATGCTTTCTTACGACCTAGCCCTCTGACTTGTAAACTTTCCATCATCTCTAGCTTACTTATAATGATAATCAAGTATAAATTCCATCCAAAAAACCATTCTGCTTCATAGTTTAAGGAATAATGAGAAAAAAATCACTACAAGTTCAGTATACATTTTTTTTCTAAAATCTTTGGACCAGTGGAATCCATGGACATAGAACCATGGAAGCAGAGAGCTGTCTGTAGATTGTATATAAATGGCTGCTTCTTGAGTGGAAGTCGGGGTACAGGTGACTCCAGGTGACTCCACTTACAGCTCAAGGGGTTTTTATCCCCATGATACAAAAGAAGAGTCCATTTTCAGCAGTGAGAGGTACTCACCAACACACAGGTCTGACTCTGGTGAATGCGAATTCATTACTCACGGAACACTCCTAACTTTACCTTTCTCTTAAAGTGCTCAGCTCCACAGCTTACATTCAGAAGACCCGAACATGGGCTTCCTCAAAGCTAATATAAGTCCTCTCTTAGAATGGTTGCTAGAATTTTCTAGAGAAGTTATGTGAGCCTAGGTGGTCCTTGGATGGTTCTTTTAACAATCAGTGTTTTGAATTTGTACAATAGGTAGTAGAGTCATTTGCTCATTTATTCTTCACGAGTAAGAGTTGGTTGTGGGCCTCTTTCAGATAATGGGTTGCTTTCACCTAAATGACCAAATGTACTCACTCCAAATATTTCACAAGTCCTTTCCTGCTCCCTTAAGATCTCTGAAGTCTACAATGTACCCCTTTGCCATTCCCAGTGTTGGTATTTTTCACCTTATCTCTTTTTCTTGATTATCAACTTTGTTAATTTTTTCCTACTTCATTGATTTTTCTGTTTTCAATTTTTCTGATTTTTACTTTTTATCATTCAATGCATTGATATTTATTATTATTAATTTTGATATTTTAGTAATTATTTATTAATTTCTTACAGTATATTTTGATCACATTCATTCTCTTAACTTCTCTCAGGTCATCCCCCCTTGCTATGTCCCATAACTTCACATCCTTTTTTGTTAAAAAAACAGCCAACCAGTTTATTTCAATATGTGTTACTTCTGAATGTGGGGCCACCACTCATGGTAAACCTACTAGGAGCCACATCCTCAAATAAAATAGACTCTCCCTAATCCAGAAGTCATTGACTGTCAATATTTCCTCAGATGTGGGTGGAGCTCATGAATCATTTGCTACTCCATGCTAGAATATTGACTGGCTTAATCTTGTACAGGTCTTGTGCAGATGGCCACCGCTGTGAGGTCATGACCTAAAGAATGTTCAGTTTTATCCTCCCTGACTCTGGTCCAGACTTGGGGGAGTGGATACAGGGGGAGTGGAGGGATACAGGCATCCCATTTGTGTTGAGCACTCAGCTGATACTTATTCTCTGTACTGTGACCAGTTCTGAGTTTCTGTGTTAACCACCAAACACCGCAAAAGAAACTTCTCTGTTGAGCGGGGAACTGTACTAATCTTTGCTTTGAGAGATTCAAATTTTGCTCAGGATATGGAGAAATCACGGGTAGTGACCAGGAAGCTTCCTTCTTGCTGAGTGACTCTCATAGTACTGGAAGGTTTTCTGCAGTATACTGTGGAGAAAAAAGTCATCAACAGTCCTAGCCAGCTCTGAACCTTGAAAACTACAATAATGACCACCATGGCAAGATGTCCATGGGTGCAATAGTGGCACGAACATCATGGGGGTGACCAACTAAGGAAGCATATAGCTGGTATAATAAACCAGATTGGGGACTTCAAGGGTGCTACTACTGTTAGGCCTCAAGGGTGCTACTATTATTCTGCTAAATGGGCATAGTATCAAACTTAACTGATTTCTGCTCTTACCCACATATTTCATTTCTTCTTTCTACAGTCTGTGGAATGATTTGCTATTCATTTTCTAGTTTCTTATGATCAAAGTTTGCTTTACTGACTTAAAATTTTCTTGTTACTAACATCAGCATTCAATGTTGTAAAGAAATGCTTCTCTTAAATACTACCTTTGTTGTGCCCCCCCAGACTTCACAGTATTATGTTTTCTTGTTCATTCAATTCAAAACCTTCTTCTGTTTTCTGGTGATGTGTGAATTACCCATGGGTAATGTAGTATTATATTATTTAATCCTAGATCTGGGATTTTTTTCTGATGACTTTCTAGTGTTGATTTATAATTTGATCCTTTTGTGGTCAGAGGCAAACCATTTAAGATTTCAATGCCTTTGAACATATTGAGGTTTGCTCCAAAGCTGGGATATAGTTCTTCTGGGTCGGTGCTCTCACTCTTCTTGGAAATAAGGAGATTATGAGGAGATTATGAGATGTGATGGGGCCACAGGGCCTGAGTCGAGCTCTCTCTGAAACTGTCTGATACTCCTCGTTGGCAAAAGGAGAAAAGAGGCAGGCCATGGGAGTCCTAGTCTTCTGACCAGCATCCACACAAGCCCAGAAACCTGGATCCATGCTGGACAATGGCATTCTCAACATCATCACAGTGAAGCCTGGATTCATGCTGGATAATAACATCCCCAACATCATCATAGTGAATCCTGGATCTGTGCAGGACTGCAACATGCCCAACATCATCACCGTGAAGCCTGGATCTATGCTGGACAATGACATCCTCGACATCATCACCGTGAAGCCTGGATCTGTGCTAGAAAATGATATCCCCAACATCATAGTGTGTGTGTCTTGAACTGTCAATGTGTGGCCTGGCCTTAGACTCAGGACAGGGCTTCATGGTGGGGGCTGTGACAGCTATTGTCACTAGAGATGATTGAGGGAATGTGGAGGGAGGAGAAACCCCCAATGATTGATTGTGTCTGCAAATGTTCAACAGGCACATTAACCAGAAATGCAACTCAAAAGAGATGAGGGTACTTGAAAGAAATGAAAATAATAGGACAACCTGAAAATTTCTTAAAAGAATAGCATCCATTAGAAGAAATGAGATGGAGAAAATCTCACCTGAAATCAAGTAAGAAGTAGAGATGAAAAGACCCAAGTGAAAATCATGGAAACGAAAAAAACATGCTTATTGAGGTATGAGAATTGATGAGGTAAACCCAAGACTAGACACAGTGAAAGAGGCTTTGGGTGAAGTTTAAGGGATGCTTTTGGGATGAGAACTGATTCCAGTGGCTCCATCTCAAAGAATTTTCCAAAAATGGTTCCTTTTCATTCCCTAAGGAATTCAACTCTGTGGTTTATAGGTTTAATATAGAGAAGCAAGCACAGCCCTTTCTGTTGGGAGACAGAAGGAAGCTCTGTGAGTCAGTTGCTCTGATTATTTGGTGTCTCTGCATGGATGTTGTATGCCAGGCTCTTTGATCTTAGGGTCTCACTCACGTCTTACAAGATCTCTTGGAGAAAAAGTGTTTTCATTTACCCAACACGTAGAAGCCAAGCAAGAACAAAGCGTGTTCACACAGTTGGAATTCAAATCAAGACCAAAGTCTAAAGATCACACCTTGCTCTCCACCTTCTCTCATGGTCCCATTCCCTCATGCTTTTTATTTTAATTTTAAATAGTTTGTTTTACATGTCAATCCCAGTACCCTCTCCCTCCCCTCCTCCCGCACCCCCCACCATCGCCCCCATCCTCCCACCCTATTGCCAATTCCTTCCACATAGGGGATATCTAGAGTCTATCAATTCATTCAGGGTAGGGTCCAGGCACTCCCCTAAGAGTCCAGGCAGAGAGAGCATCCCTCTTTGTGTTATGGAAACACGATGTCTGTTTGTATTCGAGGGATAAACACTGATCCACTGCTCAGGACCCCATAGGTAGCCCAGGCCTCCTCACTGACTCTCACATTCAGGGGGTCTGGATCAGTCCCATGCTGGTCTCCCAGCTGTGGGTCTGGGGTCCAAGAGCTCTCCCCTGTTCGGATCAGCTGCCTCTGCTGTTTTTGCCAGCCCATTCTTTGCCAATTTGCTCATCGCTCCTCTCTCTGTTGCTGGGTTCCTTGGGTTCAGTTCAGTGTTTAACTTCCATCAGTCACTGGATGAAGGCTCCCAGATGGTTGTAGACATCAAGTATATTATCAGGAATGGGCATTCGGGGTGGTCTCTACACTATTGCTTAGCTTGCCAATTGGTGTCATCCCTTTAGATCACTAGAGGTCACAATGGTGCCTGATCTGTCTTCTAACCTATGATTCCCTCTTCCCCCTACCCTATCCCCCCCCAGTCAACCTTCCTGTTCCTCCATGACCTACTCTCTCTTCCTCTTCTCCCCCTCTCTATTTCCAAGCTCCCCCTTCCCCCCACCTCTCGAGGTGTTCCACATGTGTTCAGAGGATTTTGCCTCATTTCTCTTCTCTTGGGTACCATGCATATCTTTTATGTTCTTTCCTGTTTCCCAGACTCTCTGTCAGTGGAAGTGCAGACTGGCACTCTCCTGATCCATGTCTAAAATCCATATATGAGTGAATACATACCATGTTTGTCTTTTTGTGACTGGGTTACCTCACTCAGGATGGTTTCTTCCAGTGCTATCCATTTACCTGCGAATTTCAAGATTCCATTGTTTTTTTCTGCTGAGTAATACTCCATTGTGTAAATGTACCACATTTTCTCTATCTACTGTTCAGTTGAGGGGCATCTAGGTTGCTTCCAGGTTCTGGCTATTACAAATAATGCTGCTATGAACATAGTGGAGCAGATGCCCTTGTTGTATGAATTTGCCTCTTTTGGATATATGCCTAAGAGTGGAATTGCTGGGTCTTGTGGTAGATTGATTCCCATCTTCCTGAGGAATCTCCATACTGATTTCCAAAGTGGCTGTACAAGTTGGCACTCCCACCAGCAGTGGAGGAGTGTTCCCCTCTCTCCACATCCTCTCCAGCATAAATTGTCTTCGGTGTTTTTGATTTTAGCCATTCTGACAGGAGTAAGATGGTATCTCAAAGTTGTTTTGATTTGTATTTCCCTGATGGCTAAGGATGTTGAACACTTTCTTAAGTATCTCTTGGCCATTTTAGCCTCCTCTATTAAGAATTCTCTGTTTAGTTCTGTACCCCACCTTTTAATTGGATCCTTTGGTGTTTTGGAGACTTGCTTCTTGAGTTCTTTGTATATTTTGGAGATTTGCCCTCTGTCAGATGTGGGGTCAGTGAATATCTTTTCCCATTCTGTGGACTGCCTTTCTGCCTTGTTGACAGTGTCCTTTGCCTTACAGAAGCTTTTTAGTTTCATGAGGTCCCATTTGTTAGTTGTCGATCTCAGTGTCTGTGCCACTGGTGTTATGTTCAGGAAGTGGTCTCCTGTACCAACTCATTGAAGAGTATCTCCCACTTTCTCTTCTAAAAGTTTCAGTGTGGCTGGATTTATGTTGAGATCTTTGATCCATTTGGACTTAAGTTTTGTACAAGGCGATAAACATGGATTTATCTGCAGTCTTCTGCATACCAGTACCCAGTTATGCCAGCACCATTTGTTGAAGATGCTTTCTTTCCTCCATTGTATAGTTTTAGCTTCTTTGTCAAAAATCAAGTGTTCATAGGTGTGTGGGTTAAAATCAGGGTTTTCAATTCGGTTCCATTGGTCAACCTGCCTATTTTTGTGCCAATACTCATGCTTTCTTTGTTCACACCTTCTCTCAGGGCTGCTCAGTGACCCATGCTGTGTTCACACCTTCTCTCAGGGCTGCTCAGTGACGCTCCCATGCTGTGTTCACACCTTCTCTCAGGGCTGCTCAGTGAAGCTCCTATGCTGTGTCCACACCTTCTCTCAGGGCTGCTCAGTGAAGCTCCTATGCTGTGTCCACACCTTCTCTCAGGGCTGCTCAGTGACACTCCTGTGCTGTGTCCACACCTTCTCTCAGGGCTGCTCAGTGAAGCTCCTATGCTGTGTCCACACCTTCTCTCACAGCTGCTCAGTGACACTCCTATGCTGTGTTCACACCTTCTCTCAGGGCTGCTCAGTGACGCTCCCATGCTGTGTTCACACCTTCTCTCAGGGCTGCTCAGTGACGCTCCCATGCTGTGTTCACACCTTCTCTCAGGGCTCAATGCTCCCACGATTTGCTCACCCCCTTCATTCATGGCCATTCAGTGATGCTTGGCTTTCCCTCTATAAAGTTACAATGATCTGTCTTACTGCTCTGTCACACAAACTCTGAGAGCTCAATAAAAGTGAACTAACGTTTGTGGGTGCTCATGAGTACGTACATATACCCAGTAGTTTAGTATATCCTCCCTGTAGTGTCTGGCTCACCTACTCCACTGCAGACCTGGGGTTTGGTTTACTCCGCATTGTCTCTGACATACAAATAAGGCAACAGAATCAATTTTTTTCACCTCTCATTCAAGGCATTACATCCCTACTCTAAAAATTAAAAATAATCCCTATTCTAAATATGTGTGGCAATGTCTCCTTTAAAGTAATGAGGCAATCCAGCAATTAATAATAATAATAATGAATAGGAATCTGGATTGTGACACAATGCAATTAGCCATCAGCTGTGCTGCCTCGGACACATCATCCAATGTCGTAAAAAATCCCAGCTTCTTGTTTGCCTTTGAGGGCATCCAACTATCCTCACTCAGAATTCCCCTGCAGTGAATCAAATATAGGATTCCTTCAGTGCAAATAACTATATTGCTGTTTTTTTGTATCAGGATAACTGGAGTTTTTTTTTAAGATTATACTTTATAATCTGGAAATTAATACCCTTGATACGTAGTATTATTTTCTTTTATAAGGAAAGTAAAAAAAAAAAACTCTTGTCTTTTGGATTTGCTGTGGTTTGGGCCCTTAATACACCTCCCCCAATGCCCAGGCTCTGAAGGTCTATTCCAAATGTAAGAGATTGCGGTAGAGTTTTTAGGATTGGGTGCATGCTCTCAAGGGGGCTTTGTCAGACCCCAGCTCCCCCCTCCCTAAGTTTCATTCCCTTGCTTTGAGCTAAAAGAAGCGTTTTGTTTGTCAGTTGATTATCTCTTATTTATAATAATTTATCAAATCGATTGTGGTGGTGGAAAAAGGGCCAGCACATTTGCTCTAATTCTCAGCCATGTCACAATTGGCATCAGAAAGTAGATTCATTTTGTAAGTTATTTTAAAGGGCCTCATGCCCCTCGTCAAATAAAGGCAGTGCTGAGCTTGTTGAAGGGAACATAGTGGTCTGGGCAGTGTCTGCCCCCAAGCAGACTCTAGCATTGTGTTTGCTTTCAGAGCCAGCTACTTGGCCTCCGTTCTGCCATCTCAAGTCACGGGTCCAAAGTGGACGGCCTGGAGAAAGAACTGAGCCATCTGGGCCGTGAATTCGAAACTTTGCAAGAAAAGGTGATGTACTGAGTTCATTGCCTGGACCTTCTCCTCCTTTGGGGATAGCCTCAGTTTCTCTTTCACTCTAATCCACTGACCATGAGTATATTTTTCACGTAGGCACAAGTCAATTCCAGAAAAGCGCAAACATTATATAGCAACGTTGATCAGACAATTCAACGCGCCAAGGAATTGGACACGAAGGTTAAAAACGTCATCCAGAATGTGCACAGTAAGAAAAGTTACCTGGCCCAAGTAAAGCTTATTGCATAACCTTTGCTGTATACTGAATAGGGAGTTTATTTTTGATAGCCCAGCATTATGACAGATCCCACAGTGGTACTTAAAGATGGATGGGACCTTCCATAAAGCTTCTAGAACCCCCTGTTCAGTAAACTACTTGATGTTTTCCAGTTCTCCTGAAGCGGATCACTAGGCCAGGCAGCGAAGGAATGGACGTGGCGGTGGGCGACTGGTCCAGGGAGCTGGCAGAAGCCCAGCGCATGATGCGGGAGCTCCGGGGCCGAGACTTCAGAAAGCATCTCAGAGAAGCAGAGGCCGAGAAAGCAGAAGCCCAGCGTTGTAAGGCAGCCCCAGTTCCTGTGCCCACCCTAATCGACTCAAAACACTATATTCTAAGTGCAGTCTTGAGCTCTGGGCTGTGGGAGGAAGGAAGGTCTCGTCTCAGCAGTAGGAATGGGGTGCCCCTTCAGCCCTGGAGTCTTTTCTCCAAGTTTTCAAGAGGCCTCTTCCCCCATGCCACACACACTTTTTCTCTTTAAGGCAAAGTCTCACTCATTAGCCCATGCTGGCCGAAACCCCTGGTCATCCTCTAGCTCTGGCCCTCCAGCTTCAGGCCTCCAGGGGCTGGTACTGCAGCCAGGAGCCACCGAGAGTGGCTCCCTCATCTGCACACACCTCCTTGGGGGACACTTCCTCTTTTCTCACAGATACCATTCCCGCCCTCCTTTTGTAGATAGTGTCGTACTCTGCAGTCTGAAATGGCTTTGAATGTACAATCCTGCTATCTCAGCCTCGAAAGCGGTGGCGTTACTGGCACGAGCCACCAAGTTTAGCTTCATTAAACCATTTAAAAAGAGTTATTACTTCACCACTGCTGAATTTTTAAAGCACGACTTAGCTTTGCCACTGTTGCTATAAAACAAAGTCCCAAACCAAATATCTGAGTGATTGGCTAGTTACATGTAAATGTTGTAAGTAGAGAAAATGCATCACTGGGTCGAATGGCTATTTATTCTCTGTTAGAATGATGTATCTAGGGCACGTGTGCAGATTGTAGTTGACACGTAGCGTTTGTGCTAATCAGCATCACTATTTGATTTTAGCAGTGACAGAATCGAGGCTCACGTCCTGCATCTGAGGCCGTTTATCCTCGAGTCTGACTTCTCATCAGCACCATGAGAAGGACAGCCACTGTACTCATGCCGGTCATGGCAGCCACACAGGGCAGTGCGCGAATGCACACGACAGGGTCTATATGTGGTCTTAGTCTTCCTGTTCCCTCCAAGGCTGTGGTAACATCCGTCGTGGAGTGAGCAGGAAGCTGGCTCTCTTCTTGTAGCTTTGGCACCTCGCTCCAGTAAACTCATCTCTCAGGTAAAAAAAAAAAATCATGAATTATGTGTTGCAGTGCTGAACCGGGTCAGGACCTGGCTGGAAAGCCACCAGGTGGAGAACAACGGACTGCTAAAAACTATTCGGGATTCATTAAACGATTATGAAGCCAAACTTCAGGACCTGCGGGCTGTCCTCCAGGAGGCAGCTGCCCAGGCAAAGCAGGCCACTGGCCTCAACCATGAGAATGAGGAGGTTCTAGGAGCCGTGCAGGTGAGCCACAGGCAGAAACCTGTGCTTTCATTAATGTTGGGCTGAAGGGAGCAGGGGGCTGGCAGGCACCTGTCTGGTTTTGCTCCTCAGACCCTGATCACACAGGAGTGAGGCAATAAATGTAAGAGTAGTCTTTTCACTTCCCTGCCACTAGAAGATTCCGAAACCATGGACAGAGCCTCACAAACTGCCGCAGCCTGCCCACGGCTGGAAGGTGTCAGAGGAATCATGTTCCTGACTGGATGAGAAATTTATCACGTCATATCCAGTGTCTTTTCAGTAACATTCTTGCTAGGTATTATGATAATCACCAACACAGGCATCTGAAATAATTACCTACCTGTGTATAGGAAAGAGGCAGAGCATATATAGGCCACTTGACATTATAATGACAGATTTTGGAGATTAAGGTTTTGACATACACACACATACACGTACATACAAGAGACAGACACTCATACACATACACACACACACACACAAGATAGAGACAGATACATTTGCATACAAACACACAGTCACTCCTACACAGTTACACACATGATAGATGATAGATAGATAGATAGATAGATAGATAGATAGATAGATAGATAGATAGATAGATAGATAGCAGGCAGAGACTTTCTTCTTTTTGGCAGTATTTGGAATCAGACCCAAGGCCCCATGTTAGGCAATTGTTTTAACATCAAGCCCACACCTCCAGCCCTATAGCTTATGTTTTTGATGGTGATTATTCTACACCAAAACAACAGCACATGGAGGGTTGGCACATGGTGAATGAGTAATGTGGATCGGCACCCAGAGAGGAGGAAGCTGATAAACACTAACCAGTATCACTGTAAACACTAACCAGTATCACCATAGTAGGTGACGCGCTTAGCTAAGTGCGGTCCTGGATAGCAGTGTCTCTGTTTGCATTTCTGGTTGTGCCAGGGAAGAGGGCAGGCTCCAGCAGTGTGGGTCCCAGCCTCTAAGCCTTCTGGCCTGGCACATTCTTGCCCTGTGCCATCCCTCATCCAGGTACCCGCTACGTGCTCACTGGGACTGGTGTGCAGAGGCGATTGGCCCTGGTTCGTTTATTTAGTTAAAATGTTATGTTCTGTCCTCCCACCTCACCGGTAGAACTGCCCAGTGTGTGAGGTTTCTTCAGCCATGGGAGCAGACGACACCATGACAACACAGCAACATGCAATGGGGATCCAGGCCCCGTCACTTGAAGCAGGCTAGGCTGCTGTCAGCTTCAAGAAAACATTTGACCCCAACTTATTTGCTGTTGTCCCATAAATATGTCTGTGCTTTCTGCTAATGTGTTATGGAGTGTGTGCACACGGGCTCTTTTATTCTCTCCAGAGACAAATGAAGGAAATGAATTCCCTGAAGAACGACTTTGCCAAGTACCTGGCCACGGCAGACGCTTCCTTGCTGCAGACCAACAATCTACTGCAGCAGATGGACAAAAGCCAGAAGGTAGTGAAGGACACTGGTCCTCTAGAAAACCCAAGCTAGTCAAATGCCGTTGACAGGAGATGATGAAATAGACAAACCTGTTGACTTTTAATTTGAATATTTCCCTTTTAGCCAGAACTGCGTGCCCCCAAATAGTAACAGCAACTCTCTGCTGGGACAGGGGCATGAATGCTGGAGTTGCCTTAAATCTATCAATGTGAAGATCACTTTTGTGATAACAAAAAACTAACCATCGTGATGCTATTTTAAAAATATCAAACATGCCATTCTTGATGGAAGACATCAAAGACTTGATAAAAGCCTGGCAGACTTTTTAGGGGCCTTATGGGCATTTTGAAAGAAATTTTCCCATGTCTGTTTCTGTATCATAAGAGGCCCTTCCATTTAGCATAGCATCTCCTTAATGAAACGTTATAAAGACGGTGCCCATCAGAAAGAAGATATTCAAGATGGTATCAAACTTGGATTACAGCCACTGCCACTGTCTGAACTAAGGATAAGCCAATATGATAAAAATGACTTAGAAAATATAAATTCTCATTAGAAGCATCATTTATGAGGGAGATTGAGGAAATGGCATACATGTTCATTGCTTTAATTTATATTGTTTGCTTATTTGGAAAAATAGGAATATGAAAGCTTAGCTGCAGCTTTAAATGGAGCAAGACAGGAACTAGGCAACAAGGCACAAGAACTCTCCAGATCTGCCAGCAAAACATCCCTGGTGGTGGAGGCCGAGAAGCATGCTCAGTCTTTACAGGAGCTGGCAAAGCAGCTGGAAGAGTGAGTGGCTGGCTGCAGAGGTCCAAATGTCATGGGTTGGTTGAGCATTAAGCAAGGTCTTCACTGGGCTGGCTAGGACTCAGCAGCAGGGGGGAGGGAAGGATCAAGGCCAAAGCCCCATCTAGAACCCAGGGACCAAGTCAAAATCAGACTTGCAATGAGATCGGTCCCTCGGTTGTGTCCTGGGGCCAGAATGGCAAGTGCACAGCTATTTTGTGCAGTCGTTGGGAGGATGGCAGCCCCAGGCAGAGAAAGGATGCTGGTAGCCTGACCCCACCCTGTATCATCTTCCAGGATAAAGAGAAACACCAGTGGGGATGAGCTGGTGCGTTGTGCTGTGGATGCTGCCACCGCCTATGAGAACATCCTCAATGCCATCAAAGCAGCAGAGGATGCAGCCAACAAGGCCACCAGCGCTTCGGAGTCTGCCCTCCAGGTGGGTACCAGGAGCAGCACTGGCTTGCTGGACAGGCTCTGGAGGCAGCTCATTTGCTTACTCTCCCGTGCATGGAGCAATATTAAAAAATAATGTTTACTCAAAGTGAGGGCTTGCTATATGTAACAGACTTGAGCTTGTTCTTGGCATGTATCTCTGCATTTGCTGACTATTTGGCATCAGGGGTGTGATTTAAAATGTATTTGTACAGTCAGATAGAAAACATACTAATGTTAATAGGTGTTCTATGCTTTAATTAATAAGTGATATTTACTAAAAGAAAGATTTTTGGAATTAACTGGCTTGCCTTTTTGGTGACTTGGTCTTAAATATGTTCTTGTCTGAAGAGGCCTACAGGATCTTTGATGCACTGTATAATATCCCCATTTCCAAGATATAAAGGATAGAACACTAAATATTAGAGTTGGGAAGTTGGGCTTTGAAAGATTGAAGACTTTTAGGTTCCAAAGTTTGAAAGCCTCAAGGCAACTAAGTGATTGCAGGGTTTGTTTTTTTTTATGGGCTTAGCCATCTGTCACTCAAGATTGGTCCAGCACAGCAAGCCACAGGTACACATCTATCTAGAGCCCTAACCACATCGTTAGGCAACAGTGTGTAATTCATCTCCTTCAAAATCTTATTCTTTAAAGATTAAAGATAAGGGATTTGGGGCTAAGGTGAAAAATGTTACTCTGTGTTTGTTAAGGTGCTCACAGGTGATAAATGTTTTGCTTTCAGACACTGATAAAGGAAGATCTTCCAAGACAAGCTAAGACCCTGAGTTCTGACAGTGATGAACTGTTAAATGAAGCCAAGATGACACAGAAAAAGCTGCAACAAGGTATTAGAAGGGTGGACAGCAGGGGCCACGGAGGGCTTTAATCCAACCTGCAGGAATGTGAGGGAGGTCCAATCCCACCGTCAATGCAAAGGATACTTCTGCCTCATGATTATGTTATTGGCATCATGCATTAACCAAGAGTCCTAAACAGCCCCTATCCATCACGCAGACGAAGAAGTCTTGAGAATGATAGCCTTCCTTGGCCTGACTTTGGGGGTGCTCTGATCCTGGCAGTGGGAAGCCACATATGAAGGTCATTCATTCCAGATTATTATAGCAACTGCTTAGTCCTAAAACCTTAGCAACTGAAGTATGAAAAAATAATCACTGCCGACATGGAGCACAAGAAAATTTTAAGCATCAATTTTATCTTTGGTAATTTTTCATCTTATGTACTTAAGACAATAATTAAATTGTCTTAACATGGAGGTGTAGTTCAGGGGTAGAAGTCATCTGAAACTCAACAATCCCAAGCTTTGGAAATGCTGCCTCTTGGAAGTTTATGGTCTTTCCCAGGAAGCCATGGCCAGGCAGGTGTCTAGACTTTCAGTCCTCACTCAGCTACTCAGTCCATTCTGAAGGAACAGATGAAGATGCTGTCAATTTATTTACTGAATATTTTTGAAAAATCAAATGCTCAGAAAGTAAAACCCCAGAAAAAGTATGTTCTAATATGCAGTCATTAATCAACATTAAGATTTTATGGATTTATGTCTGCCCTCTTTCTAGCACTGAGATTAGAGGGATTGGTTTGGTGCTTTTGGGGTTGTTTGCTGGTGTATTTGTTTTTCATGGTGCTGTGGATCGCACTCAGGGTCTTGAGCATAGTAAGCATGCCCTCTATCAATCCTCCTATCCCTGCCTCTTCAGTGCTAGGATGACATGGCTGTGGCCGAGATAGGTGTTGAAAGTAGGTTGGAATATTGACTGTTCTACTAACTAAAGCAGTGCTAGACTCATAAGGAGCCATGTGTCACCAGCATGGTGTTAACACACTAGCTAGTCACTTTCTATATCCTCTGATGGCTGTGTTGCTAGCTAGGGATGCAGATTTTTAGCATTATGTTCATCAGTTTATATTTGATGTGTCACTTCGAGCATCTCTGGGGAGAGCCCCAAGGGCACGTCTTTTCATTGTTCTGCAGAAGCAGAAACAAACGTCCACATAGTGTTCTTTGCATGAGGCTCTGTCATCGACAGTCCTGTCTTGGCTGCAAGTTATCCTTTTTGCTTAATTCATTCACGCAAGCATTCACTCATTGACATTAAGGCCAGACAGTGCCGGCCACACACTGTATGTTGGGACACCCCTCAGCAAACTTCCTCTGCTCAGGTCAGAGTAGAAGTCCAGCTGTCCCCTGAGTTATTTAGCGTCTTCCCTCTTTGTGTGTCCTTTCAAGAAGTCGGCCATCAGAAGGCTCTGGTAAACTGCTCTTCTGGCCTCTGACCCCAGAGACCCCACAGCTAGGTACTGTGGTGGCATCTGTGAGGTGATGACTTAGGTACACACCCATACTCAATGGTCTGAAAACACTGCCCACCTCAGAGGCCACAAATGCCCACAGAAAATCCATGAAATGATTGCCTTTTTGTATTTTCTTTCTTCCTTCCTTCCTTTAGAAGTCAGTCCAGCCCTCAACAGCCTACAGCAAACTCTGAGCACTGTGTCAGTTCAGAAGGACCTGCTGGATACCAACCTCACTGCGGTCCGTGACAGTCTTTATGGGTTACAGAGAGGTAATCGTCACCCTAGACTCCTGGCCAGAGTTTCTTGGGAGAATGTTTTAGGTCCTTAGGCTTTCTCCCTATTCGTGTGTGCACTAGGTGATATTGATGGTGCCATCCGTGGTGCAAAGAGCATGGTCAGGAAGGCCAATGGTATAACAAGCGAGATTCTCGATGGGATCAACCCCATCCAGACGGATTTGGGAAGAATTAAAGACAGCTATGGGAGCACACGGCGTGAGGACTTCAGCAAGGCTCTGACCGACGCCAATAATTCAGGTACAGGCATGCTCAGGTCAGGATGTCTTAGCTAGTGTTCTCCATGGCTAAGACCTTGATCCATTTCAGTTCCTTTCTGGTAAGGTCTGACCTCTAATAAGAATTCCATGCTCTATTCAAATAGCAAGATGTTGTGTTAGAGAGACGGGGAGGATGTCTCTTTCCCTCTTTGTGTGTGTGTGTGTGTGTGTGTGTGATGTATGTGTTTATTTGAGCATTCATGAGTGTATGCAGGTGAGTGGTCAGCAGAAGTTCATGCTAAGTATATATCTCCTTGTCTTCTCTCTCTCTCTCTCTCTCTCTCTCTCTCTCTCTCTCTCTCTCTCTCTCTCTCTCTCTCTCTCTCTCCTGAGACAAGGTCTCAGTGTATATCCCATATATCCACAACTCTCCTGGGCATATGTATATTAGGCTGCCTCTTGAACTTAAAGATCTGCCAGTCAATGATTCCTCAGTGATAGGATTAAAGATGTGGGCCACCATGCCCTGTGTACTTACTGTCTCTTAAATGTATGTGTGTGTGCACATATAGGCATGTTTATGCCATAGTGTGTTGAGGTAAGAGGAATGTTTTGTTTTGGTGTTTTTGTCTAGCCCCAACTGTCCCTGAAGTCACTTTGACACCAGTCTAGCCTGAAACTCAGAGATCCACCTATCTCTGGCTCCCAAGTGCTGGGTAAGGCATGTGCCACCATGCCAGCCAGAGGACAGTTTTGAGTGTTGGTCCTTGCCTTCCACTTTGTTTTGAGACAGGGTCTCTTGTTCACTCTATGTGTGCCACACTAGTGGGCCTGTGAGCTTCTGGAGAGCCTCTTGTCTCTCTCCCACCTTCTAGGAGCAATGATGTATGGTGGACTCATGTACCACCTTCAGTGTTTTGGTGGGTTCTGGGGATTCAAACTCAGGTCCTCATTCTTGAACAGCAGCTGATTTACCCATTAGGCTGTCTACCCAACCCTTCTACTTTATTTTCTGAGACAGGGTCTCTCATTGAAGCTGGAGCTCACACCTGAAGATGATGTAGACTAGCTGGCCAGCATTTTCACCAATCCTCCTGTCTCAAACTTTTCAGCGCTAGGCACATGCTACTGTGCCCAGCTTCTTACATGGGTCTGGGGATTCAAACTCATGTCCTTATGCTTGCACAACAGTTACTTTACCAACTAAGCCATCTCTGCAGCCCAGTGTGTCCTATAGATTTCTCTTTTCTTTCTCTCTCTCTTTCTTCCTTCCTTCCTTTTTTTTGGTAGAGTAAGAGTTATTAATCATGATGTATTAACTTACGATTACTATTAAAGGATAAGAAAAGAAATGCTTTCCATATTAACCAAGGGAAATAATTTGATACTGATATCATTACAGAAATCTATAATGAATTTAGAAGAGCCTTGCCTGATTATAATCAATCTTGTTCCCAGGATTGCCAGAACAAATATTCCCATCATGAACATCTGCGTTTAACCTTTTTTCAATGTACTGGGTAAAATTTCCATTTTCTCATTTCACCAACAGTAAAGAAATTAACCAAGAAGTTGCCTGATCTTTTTATCAAGATTGAAAGTATCAACCAACAATTGCTGCCCCTGGGAAACATCTCTGACAATGTGGACCGAATCCGAGAACTCATTCAGCAGGCCAGAGACGCTGCCAACAAGGTGGGTGTCCTGAGCTGCCATAGGTGGGTGTCCTGAGCTGCTAGTAAGTTCCTTACCACACTCGTCAGGACATCAGAGACTTTCATTTATACAAGAACTGGCTGTCTGTCTTCTCTTAATTCTGATTTTAAATGAAGTTTAGCTTCCTTTTGTCACCTTTCAAAATGTACCTGACCTTAGTCACCTAAATTCTGTGCTGAAACAGTTTCCGTGCATTGAGTTCACACAGGCAGAAAGGAGTTTCTCTCGGGTCTCACTTTTTAAACTATAATTTCAAGGTCAAGTGAAAGTTCTGGGGTTAGGACCTAGTCTCCTACAGTTTGGAAGGGTTGGAACCCATCTTTGTTGAGGTTGGAGGACAGAGGAGCACTGTCAGGGTGGAGACAGGAAGGTCACTGGGACTTGATGGATGCCAGCCTAGCTCCAAGCTCCAAGAAAGACCCTTTCTCAAGAAATAAGACAGGCTCTATAGAGCAGGACATCTGACCTCCTCCTCTGGCCTCTACTTACACCAGGGCATGTGTTTCTGCACACGCACACGTACACACACACACACACACACACACACACACACACACACACGCACACACACACATACTCACAGACACCCTATACAAGGGATGCTTGTTGCAATACACTTTATATAATCATGATTTTTTTTAAAGAAAAAAGCCACCTGTTTACAGTACTAAATGCTCATGAGCTGGACTCATGAATATCACCCAGATCAACCTACAAAGAAAGCAAATTATAAAAGTATGGTCATATGCTGTTTACATGAAAGCATTTAAATGTGAAAAGTAAAGCAGTAATAGCTGACAGGTCAGTAGACACATCTGTAGTCATAGATGAATTCTATTGCAGGAAAACCAGTAAGACCTGCGTGCTCATTTGCGTAAGATTCCAGCTCCAGGGTGGTGGTGGCTGTGAGTGGAGAGGAGGCTGCAGGAACAGTGCTGTCAGATACGTTTCCTTTCTTAGGGTGGGGATACAGACACAGGTATCTTCTTAATTTAGAAGGCAAAGATGAGTTCACCCGGGAGCAGAAGGGTTTGCCAGGAGGAAACTAAGCAGTGTGGTTGGGTCTCCTGGAGGGCAGGTGGTGAGTGGAAGAGAGAACCTTAATGTGAGCTCACAAAGTGGGTGAGAGGACCCTGGCCGCACCATCACTTGCCCAAGATGCCAGGAAACACTCCGATGCTTGACATAAAGCATGTGTTAGCATCCTATGAGTATCATTCCAACATGGCTGTTCTTTACATTGCTACAAGATGTTTGTTTTCTGTGGTTTAGACTGGACCTCCCCAGTCGTGGTCCACAGACCTGTGCTAATTGGATGACGCTTGTTGACAGTTCATAACATCTAAGTGTGATGTTGTTAAGCAATAATGTCTGGGAAGTTTTAATGCTTTGGATTGTATGTAGTTGGTGGATTTCCATTTCATATAGCTTGCTCATTTCCCTTTTCTAGTAATTGTAATGTTACAGACGTGTTGGTTTGTGACAGATTGGAGCGGGGAGAGCAGGACTTTCATCACAGAGTATCTAAGATGCATGGTGTGAAGTTATATTACCTGTGCCTGCCCACCAGTGTGTACAGGGGCCAGAGGTCTTTGCCATTGCTGCCTGTAGTATGTTTTGAGACAGTCTCTCACAGAAGCTGGGGCGTGCTAACTCATTTAGACTGTCTGGCCAGGAAACCCAGGGCTCCCTCACTGCACTGGGATTATAAGCACACATCACTGCACCGTTTTTTTTTATGTTGATACTGGGATCTAGACTTGGGTTCTCATGTTTGCATGGCAAACCCCTTTACTAACTGAGCTCTGCCAAATGCATGCATGTTTACAGTCTGAATGTCTCAATTAATGCAGGCATAGTGTGTAACAAACTCATTGGCAGCCAATTCCTTTAACAAGCTTTAAAGAGCTGGGTGTTGTGAGTCATGCCTGTGACTGCAGCACTTAGGGGGTGATGGCAGGGGAATCACAAATTCAAAGCTATTCTGAAATGTATAGTGAGCCTGAGGCCAGCCTGGACCACATAAATCCTATCTCAAAAAAATCCCATTTAAAATATTTTCATGTATTGTATTTTAACCATACGCAACCACAGTACTCAGTGGTTCTGTGAGCATTAACTGTAGGGTAGGAATTCCTATCGCTGTCATCATCATTATCATCACCGTCATCATTGCACAGAAGGCTAAGTTGACCCTCAGCCAATTCATATTGAGAATAGATGGGTCTGCAGACAGCTTCATAAATTTATAACCTGGGTCCAAGCTGGGTATGGTGACACCATCTTTAATCCCAGTACTCAGGAGACAGAGGGAGGCAGGTTGATCTCTGTGAGTTTAAGGCCAGCCAGGTCTGCAGAGTAAGACCTTGTATTAAACGTGAGACATTACCCCTGTCCGATATTTGTCACAACAGTTTGGGTCCTGCTGGTGTGTCACTAAGAAGATGCCTACAGCTCCCTCGCTGCACAGCAATCCTCTTTTTATCCATGTTACTCTTCCTCACAGGTCGCAGTTCCCATGAGGTTCAATGGCAAATCTGGTGTCGAAGTCCGGCTGCCAAATGACCTAGAAGACTTAAAAGGATACACGTCTCTGTCTCTGTTTCTCCAAAGACCTGACTTAAGAGAGAATGGGGGCACTGAGGACATGTTCGTGATGTACCTGGGAAATAAGGATGTACGTATTGTTCAGGCATTCCTCTTATGTCACTAACAGAGTGAATGGTTTTGGAGGTGCCACCTTGAGACTTGTGACTTAACTGTCACCGCTGCTTATTTGCTTGTGGTTAGAATCTGTCAAAGACAGCAGCAGATCCCACTCCCCCACCCTCCATTCTGAATTTGTGATCCCTTTGCTATCAGCTCCTACGTGCTGTGGTGGTGCCTGTGAAACAACTCTTGTTCATCATGGATGACAGCCACTGGCACACGTGTGTACACATGAGCATTTGCATGCATAGGGTCAATGCTTTCTCTCCAGGAAACAGCATCAAGGCTCCATGGAGACTAAGAGGGACTGTTCCATCCTCTTCCTGGGAAGGCCCAGCCACAGATGCCTTCCCAGGTCCGAGGGAAGGGACCATATATAAGTGGGACCTTCAGCGAACAAACTCTAACCTGTCTATTGCCCATTCCTCACCCTACACTCATCAAACCGCCACCACCATAGGCATTTTCAACAGATGACTTCAGTGTGCAGTCCTCTCTTTCTAAATAAGTTCTTCAATGTAAGGGAAAGTTAAGTCCCGACTGTGTTGAAATAAAAATATCTAAAATATAGTTCTTGGGCTGATGGCATACACATGCTGGTAAATAAATATATAATGTAATAAAAATATAAAAGATGGTTCTTAGAAATTCTACCTGGTTAGAAAATTCTTAGTTATCAGTAGTAGTGGACAGTATATTGAAATAGTGTTAAACCCAATACCATTGTTAATTATAACTGCCTTCCATGCTTTACGGTGTTAGTTTTTATTTGTAGCTTCTTTAAACAGTGAGTTTTGTTTTGTTCTGTGGTAATGTAGACAGCTTTATGCCTTAAACACTCTGATGCCACTTAGAATCAGACATCTGTAGTCTCAGATTCCGCATTAGGGACTCAAACAACTATGGGGTGGGTATATTCAGAGCAGCGTCTGGTAGCTGAGCTCACACTGCTTGCCTAGCGTGTGCAAAGCTCTAACACAGCATAAACTTGGCCAGTGGCACACACTGGTAATCCCAGCACTCTGTAGGGCAGAAGCAGGAGGGGCAGAAGTTCCAAGGGCCTCCTCGGGCTATGTAGGGAGTTGTAGGCTAGCCTAGGTTACATGAGACCCTATCTCAAACAAAGTGAGAAAAGTCTTGCATTGTGAGGGTCCTAAGTCGTTCAGGATAGCAAGTATTTGTATCACATTCCCATTAAATGGGTGTGATAAATAACCTACCAGAGTATGTGCACAGATTACATGCGAGTGCGTCACCATTTTATATAAACGACTGCAAGACTAAGTGTCCCCATGGGTTCTGAGCCAGTCCCCTAGTTGATGTAGGTGGACAACTGTCCTAATTATGTGCCACAGTTGATATTTATGATAAACTAAAACCTAAGTGACCTGAATGTCAACATACGCTTTAAAAGGTCAAAATTGACAGTGTTAGTATCTGTCTGTCTTTCTATTATCCATCCATCTATCTACCTATCCATCCATCCATCTATCTATCTATCTATCTATCTATCCATTATCATGTATATTTCTATAGATGTTTCTTCCTTAATGTTCTCCTATTCTAATAGAGAAGAAAGACACACACACACACATACACACACTGACTATGACAATGTCATAGCAGAGCTGGCACCCAGAGAAGAGATGTGGTTTATCTCCCTTACTGATGAACTCTAATGGGCAGCTAAGTATGCTGGCTCTGTAGTGGGTGCTGGTAAATTATTAGAGATTGAAAAATGGGGGAATCAGTAACCCAGTCCACTAAAACACTAGGTGACAGCCCCAGCATTATTACTTAAGTGTGAAAGGATATACCGTATGTATTCTATCTTCCCAGAGCTTATGACATAAAACCCATTATTTTATGCAACAAAACATTTAGGAACCTGTTGATATGGAAAATGAGAGTTTGTAGTGTTTGAAGGGTTCTTCGTTGTCACACCCATGCTCCAGGATGACATCTGTCTGTCTTTTGGACTGCGTCACTGTCTTGACCCTTATGTGTAAACTCTGTTTTAAAATATCTTTAAGAAACCCAATGCTGTTTCATTTTGAACAAAAGGAGTTCTGATGTAGCCTTTGTGTCTCCAGACCTCCAAGGACTACATCGGCATGGCGGTTGTAGACGGTCAGCTGACGTGTGTCTACAATCTGGGGGATCGAGAGGCTGAAGTCCAGGTAGACCAGGTGCTGACGGAGAGTGAGAATCAGGAGGCAGTTATGGACCGAGTGAAGTTCCAGAGGTACGCTGTTTCTACTGCCTCGCTGTCTGTGAGCTTGACCAGTCCCCTCACCAAACTCTTCCATTAGTGTTGATCGGCTGTGCTCTTAGCGTGTTGGCTTTGAATTCTTTCATTTTCCCTACAACTTTATTATCTAATTTTCAACAGAATATATCAGCTTGCAATACTTAATTACACCAAAGAAGCCACATCCAACAAACCCAAAGCACCCGAAGCCTATGACATAGAGGGAGACAGCAGCAACACACTCCTTAATTTAGATCCAGAAACTGCTGTGTTTTATGTCGGAGGTTACCCACCCGATTTTCAAGTAAGTATCAGTGTTACTCATTGGTGAAGTGCTGACATTTTGATGTGGTGTGATGGCTTCATGTCTCTGCTTTAACTAATTCCATACAAAATGAATTAACCACATGCTCTTAAAGCACTCCTAATGAGAACAGCTAAGATGTGCTTTCTTTGTCCACTGATTTAAGCTTAAGACATTCATTTATTGTACTGTATTTATAAATATTAATATCATCCCATTTTATGGATGAGGACACTCATGTGGGGAGATAAACAACTGGCCTGGGTTTAGACAGCTCTGAAATGGCCAAGTCCTGGACTACATTCTTCTCCCCTAAGTTGTGGCCACTGTTAAAAGTCTTAGCACTGCATGGCCACCATCCCTTCCTATCCAACTCACTGAAAGTTGGTCTTGTTTCTCTCGCAGCTGCCGAGCAGACTGAGGTTCCCGCCATACAAAGGCTGTATCGAACTAGATGACCTCAATGAAAATGTTCTGAGCTTGTACAACTTCAAGACAACTTTCAATCTCAACACAACTGAAGTGGAGCCTTGTAGGAGGTAAACGGGGCCTGGAGGCCTTTGTCCCTAGGCTTTGTCCCCGGCTGGTGGGCAGCACCTACCAGTGGAGGGCAGGCAAGGTTGCTGATGTTGCAATTCATTGCTTGGGGCCAGAACTGCTTACCCTATGTTTGTAGACAGCACCCACCGCACCACACCCCTCAGATCTAAGGACAGCTGTGTTGCCCTCGTTTACATATGGCCTCAGGTTAGTTTTCTCTGTTTTTAGAAGTATGACTCTTTAGCAACTGTGAGATGCATGTGCTGTGCAAGCTAATGAACTGGGTTTGATCCCTGAATCCATGAAGAAATGAACTTCCTAAAGTTGTCCTCCGATCTCCACATGTACCACAGAGCACACTTACTCACATACATGACACACATACATGACACACATACATGGCAATAACAAATACATTTTTAAAAAGTAATCTTCAATTTTTGGTGCCTTCTACTACAAAAGCTACTCAATATTAGATTATTTAGACACATAATTATGTAATTAAAATTTAAACAACAGTAGTCTACAAAGTGAGTGACTTTCTATGTACTTTACCTTCTGAGCCTATTTGGAAATTGCTCTGTCTTAATCAATGCTCTGTTGCTGTAAAGAGACACCAGGACCACAGCAACTCGTATAAAGAAAGCACTTAATTGGGGTTGGCTTCCATTCAGAGAGCTAGCCCATTATTGTTATGATGGGAAGTATGATGTCACCCAGGCAGACATGGTGTCACCCGGGCAGACATGGTGGTGTCACACAGGCAGACATGGTGGTGTCACTAGAGAGGAAGCTGAAAGTCCTACATCCAGAACCACACGCAGTAGAAAAAGAGACAGACAGCCACTGGACCTGGAAAGCTCCACCCTCAGTGACACACCCCTCCAACAAGACCACACCCCCTAATAGTACCACCCTAATGACTGAACATTCAAATATTTGGACCTATAGAAGCCATTCTTATTCAAGCCGCCACACGCTCTTGCGAGCTCCTAGCCATCCCTACAATGTAAAGGATCTGAGATATTCCTATCTGAGAAGAGCAGTCATGTATTATTTAGAAGGTGACACTGAATATTAATAATTTTTTACATTTAAAATATTTTCAGCTAGTTGACCACTTTCTCCTAAATAGACATCTCTAGAAGACGTTCTCTGTCTCTCTGTGTCTCTATCTCTCTTCTGGGTTCACATGATACACACACACACACACACACACACACACACACACACACACACACACACACACACACACATATATATGTGTGTGTATGTCCAGGTATATTCATTCATGTGTGTGCATGTTGGGGACAAGAGGTAGACATCATTTCTTTTTCCAATCTAACTCCCAACCTTATTTTTGAGACAGGGTCTCTCTCTGAACCTAGAGTTTACATTTTGACTAAACTAGCTACCCAGTAGGCCCCTATGTCCACCTGCCTCTACCCCCTCCAAACCTACACCCATACTAGGGTTCCAGATGTGTGCTGCCAGGCTCAGCTTTGATATGGGTTCTGAACATGAAAACCTAGGTCTTCGTTCTCATACGTCTGTACACTTTACCCGGGGAGCAGCCTCTTCAGCACAGGTATTAAGAGCACACAGGGAAGGAAGGCTGGCTGACATGTTATCAGGGTTTCCCGTCTACCTGCCCAGTTGTGACCCCCAGACTGTGAATTCCTTGTTCTGTTGTTTAACCACCAACATCTCATGTTAGAAAGCACACCTGCAAGGTGGCCTTTTATGACTAACATCTAACATCCTGTTGATGCTGACAGGCGAAAGGAAGAGTCTGACAGAAACTACTTTGAAGGTACAGGCTACGCCCGAATTCCCACTCAAGCAAACGCTCCCTTCCCAAGCTTCACACAGACCATCCAGACGACCGTGGATAGAGGTTTGCTGTTCTTTGCAGAAAACCAGGTAATTTACACCAAGCATCCAAAATGAGTTGAATATCCACTATATCTAGCTATCTCAGGGTAGCTGGGCTCTTATAAATAGCCCATCAAGCTTGGTAGTACAGCCTTGACCAGTCTTGTTTTCTTTCTGTTGGGGTGAATTTTAACAAGGACAAAGAATCAGGAATTGAGCAATTGCCACCAAAACGATGCAGAATTCTCATCCTGGCTTATTTTCCTATCAGTTTCAGACTTTTAAAATGGTGGCTTGCCTACTAATGTCTCATTCTGCTTTAAGACAGATAAAGATCTTCTGAGGTCCCCCAGTCTAGGCAGCTGGACTCCCTGAAGCTGTGGCCTTGCTCTGGCTGATGGCAGGCTGTGGGGATTGTGTCCTTATGAGTCTCTGGCTTGACTTCCTGTAGGGCGGAAGCTTCTGTACTTTGAAGCAGCCTAGGTCAGAAGGACACCCTTTATTTTTAATATTTTGTCTTTATTCTTGAGGACCTCATACTCTGTCCAATAAAATATAATCATATTCACACCCCCATTTTCCTCTCAAACTTCTAAATTCCTCAAATCCCCCTGACATGGTCCCTTTCAAACTTCATGTTTTTTTTTCTTGGTAACTCACAAAGTCCAACTAGTGCTGTCTATATGTGTGGGGCCATTTAGCGTGCTATGGGAAATCTACCAGTGGCCACACGTTCAACAGGAAAGTGGTTTTCCTTCCCCTGCCAGCCATCAGCTGCCAATATCTACTCGTCAAGGTGTGGGGCTGGAGAGTGCCTCCCCCATCCACACTGCAAACCTGCCATAGATGATCCTGGAGCCTCCAGAGCAGCTAGGGGGAAGGTGGGAAAGATGTTCCACTTAGGGCTGAGCACTTAGCTCTTGTTCTTAACACTTTGACCAGTTACTCATCTCAACATTGGCAAGAAGGACCATCTCTGACCAAGGCTGAGAGCATCCTAAGTCTATGGGTCTAAACATAAATATTTGGAAGGCAGTTTGACTGTCTTTAGTAGAATAATATACTCTGTTGAAAATTATAGACTAAAGTTCTAAGAAAAAATAAGTTAGAAAGTTAACCTCCCAAGCCATGGGCTTTTGATCAGGATTATCCATAGCCATCAGGAAGATCAGGGTTATAACTACAGTAGTTCATCTCCTCCCAGTCAACTGCAAGTGACAGCAGATGCCACTGTGGATGTGGCAAAAGGGAACCCCTAATGTACTGTCACTGGAAGTGTCAACTTGTGCAGCCAACTTTGAAAATCAGTGAACTGAACAAAGAACTGCCATGCTCCCCAGCTGTCCCAGAGGACCATTCTCATATGTCTTAGGTTAGGCGCATACAAGGTGGTAGTTCACTCATGATGTGAGTGCCCTCTCCTGGCTCAAGGAGAGTGGGCATGGTGTTTGCACTGGTTCGGCTGCACCAGGTGTCCTATAGGATCCACCTCCAGGACAAATCTTGTATAGTTGCTCTCACAAGCAGAGTTTCAAAAGAGGGCACACTGGGACACCAGTCTGAGAAGGTGCTGGCGATACACAGCTTGAGATTTTCCCAAATTCTTCTGCCTGCCAGATAGGAACAAAGATTTGTCTCCAATCTTCCTTCTGAAGTTGGTTTGGTCCCTTAGTTCTGAGGTTTGAGAGGGCCCCAGTCTAAAAGGGAGAGAATGTTCTAGGCAGTCACCTAGCATCTCCAGGCTAAGGCACTTTATTCCAAAACAAGGTCTCCTTTGTTCAACTGGGGGATCTCTTCTCTCCAAAATGCTTAGGATGAATAGTGTTCCACATTTTGGAATGTTTTTCATTTTAGAATATTTGCATCTACATAATGAGAAATCATGAGGATGCTTAGTGCTCAGCTCTCTTTCTCTACCCTTACACACCCCAGGGCCCAGTACCAGGGAATTGTGCTGCCCAGGCTCAGCAAAGGCCAATCCAATGCAGACAGTCAGTTCCTCACTGAGATGCCCTTCCTCGGCTACTCTAGGTTGCGATGAATTGAAATAGAGCTAACCCAAGTGTAACATGAGCTCCATGCATGCTTCATAAACACACATTGTGTGCATGGAGACCAAAGGTAATTTTATGCAATATGTTTTTTAACAGTTTTGTGCATGGACCAAAGTTTGTGTAACATAACCTATCAGAACTGTGGTGTTCTGCTGATAATCAAACAAAATGTTTCGACTTTGAAGCGTTACTTATTTTGAACTTGGGGATCGTGGATGCACAGCTTGTTTTACGTTGTGAAGTTCTTGGAGACTAAGAACCAGAAATAGTGTTTAGACTGGAGGAGACGTACACAACCGCATTGCATAAGAATCCTTGGTGCCTCCGCTAGGGGGACAGTTATCGCTCAGGGAGCCCCTGCTACCTGGCTCAAGTTGATGGCTCTCCAGGGCAAAGTTTTAATATCCACACTAGAAGCTTTTAGATGGAGACTCACAGGTAAGACTTCTCATCGTAGGGAACTGGTAAGAGCAGTGCCTTCAAGCCTAAGTTAGATACCCTCTAACCACTAGGGAATATCTGGTTACTCCCTGGCCAAGAGGCAATGCTGAGCAGGACAAACCATAGCCTGCCCTCTAGAGGGGAATTATGGTATTGCACAAAGGTGCCCTGCTGGTCAGTGAGGGGCAGCTTCATCACAATTTTGAATCATGTAGAGGGAAAATGATGAAGTATGAAATCAGGGTCTTGAGTAAAAGATGCCTCCTTTGAAACGTGATGGACAAATAGAAGGTGACATTGGAAGGGGCTCCAACAGGGACACGGGCACAAAGAAGTCCTGGCTATGAGAACCTGCAGGGACAATGGGAAGCAAAGTGAGAGGTGGACAGTGCCTCACAGCCTCTGCCAGGGAGTCCGTGCGATGCCCTGGAGACAGGGAAGTTAGTATGCTCACTGGCCATTGCAGAAGGCAGCACAGTGGAAGGTGCTCTGGGGGAGCGGAGGGGACCGCGGGAGCCGGATGATACCAGGGGTGTGATGTGAGCAAGGGGCAAATGCCAAAGTTTGATTGGTCCGGCTGGATGAGAAGGGAGGAAGGTGAGCAATGGCTCCCTGTGCGTCCCCCCCAGTCCCCCCCCCCCGGTTCTGGTGGTGATAAAGCAAAACCAGGACACTGGCTGGCATGGATGAGCTTGACTGAGTGCTGTCTCTCACAGTAGTCAGCCATCCTGTGCCTCCCAGGGGTGAGGTCTCTCAGCTCTGGTCTCCTGGTTAGCCCCAGAGGCACCTGAAGGTGACAGCACCAAGTGCATCAAGGGTCACTTGAGAGCCGGGACTTCTTCAGCCAGTTCCTCTGGTGACCTGTGTTGTTTCCGTACTCCAGGATAAGTTCATATCCCTGGACATAGAAGATGGCAATCTCATGGTGAGATACAAGCTGAATTCAGAGCCACCCAAAGAGAAAGGAATTCAAGGCACCGTCAACAATGGGCGAGATTATACGGTACGTCCTTGGAGTCTGGTGACTTGGCTTTCTAGAAGTCAGTGAACATTTAAAATGAAATGAGTGCCCCACAAAACAAAAATAGGCAAAATGACAAACAAACCTATTACAAGGGGAACTTACTAATTGAAGGATAGATCCTTTAAAAATTAGGACATTTAGGCATAAGGTATAATATGTATAGCATATGTAAATTACATGAACCTTGATAAATTTCAAATGAGACACGTATATTAAAATGAGGCCATTTCTACTAACATGTTTTAGGAGAGTGGTTCTCAACCATCCTAATGCTGCAATGGTCCTACAGGAATGACGACCCACAGATTGAGAACTACTGTTTTAGGAGCTTGGGGAAATGACTCAAACTATATAAGGAGCCAAGCTAAGATTCTGAGAAGCTAAGTATAAAAGGCTGTGTGTGGTGGGCTGGTCATGCCAGCACTGGGGATTTAAAGGCAGGCAGGTCCCTGGTGCTTGCAGGCCAGCAGGACAGAGCACACCATGAGTGCCAGCAGGCGAAAGACTCTGTATCAAATCAAAGGTTAGCAATGCCTGATGAACAACACCTACAGTTACTTTCTGACCTCTACATACACATAGATGAACATGCAGAAACATGAACACACACACACACACACACACACACAAATATTTTAGTATCACATTTTTACCCCATACTGCTACTGGGCAGTCTTCTACCTTGAATGTAAACAAATCCAAAGGAAAACAAAACCACAGTGACTCTGAGCCAACACAAATAGTTTTGTATCTCATTGCTTGCTGATTCATTTTCCCATTCATTTCAGATTTCGATTGCAATTGGAAAATCAAGAAAACTCATGTGGATATATATGCCTAACCATAGTATAAAAATCGAAGGGGAAATATTTGACTTTGGCACATATTACCTGGGAGGAATTCCAATTGCAATCAGAGAAAGGTAAGATGATACTGTGGAGGTTTTCTTGGGTGGCGGTGGAAACTACTGTATGCATGTGAACGTCAGAGGACCGCTTGTGGGGTGGTTCTGTCCTCCCACCCTGTGTGTCCTGGGTATCAAAGTCAGGTTATCAAGCTTGACTCGCTACCCCAATGTGCTGCATTTTGTTAAAGCAGGTCACTTTTCATGATGGCAGCAATTGCTATAAGTAATTCTAGTCTCTCTCATTTAATCTTAACCACAAATAGTTAACTTAGCAACACTGACAACGTAGTCAGGAAAGAAAAACAGATTGTAAATATTGAATAATGGGACTGGTCATCCAAAATGGGGGGAACTCCATTGTCCCTTTTTGTCACTCTTGGAAGGACAGAAACACAAAGATTCCAGTTGGGTTGCTAACACCAAGGAAAACAGAATGGGATTTACCCATTAAAGAGGTTCAAGAGCCCCCCCCAACAAACACACACCTTTTCTAAATAAGCTTACACTTTTCTTTCTTGTTTTAATTAAAATCACAAGAACAGAGAAATAAAGGAAGTAGATGGAATTCCATGAAAATATTTCAGAATAATATGCTAAGCAGTATTGGTCTGTTTCTGGCATGTCTTACCTATCTGGTAAGGTATTTGGCTGTCCAGTGAGCCCCTGCAACTGTCCCCTGATGAGGGCCATTGGTAGGGCGGTGGCCTAGAGGACCTCAGCAGACCCTGCAGGGGCAGCCACACAGCTCTTCTCAAGGACGCTGGTTTAGTAGAAGGCCCCAGAGGAGAGTCAGGGAGCTCGGTCAGAATGAGGTGTGGTAGAATCCTGCTGTACCCTGCATCTTTGATCTTCAGAGTCCACGTCTCTCCTCCCTCTCAGTCTTCTGGGAATGAGAACCCAGATCTTTGAATGACTTGGTATTATAATTGGGAATCATGTGTCTGCTGACCCAATCTACAAGCCTTCCTGATAAGGCCGGAGGGCCTGGCACCAACCAGAGCATTTTCCCTTGGGTTTGAGTGTAATCATAAAACATGGAAACAAAGATCCCAGGAATGTGCCGGTCAGCCAGGGTCTGACAAACACTGGGCTCAGCGTTACTAGTCCTTTTGCTCTCTCACACCTGCCAACGACAGCCAGCAAGCCAGATAAGCTTTTGTGGGCAGCTGGGCCCAAAGTATGCGTGTCCATAAGTGTAGTAAGTCACTGACTGAACAGCACATGACCCAACATAATCAGGTTCCTCTAGTAAGCTTGTTCAGACCTTGCATGCTGGAGGGAGTGTGGAAGCCTAGCCCCTCAGCCGGTCCAAGAGAACAAATCTATGAGGACAGCAGCCCCAGAACTGAAACACGCATCCCCCCTCTCCAGGGTGAAAGCTGTCTTTATAAAATAATTAAGCCACAGTGCCAACGAGGATGTGCTTTTCCTCTTATGGAATTTAATTTTATGCAAGTTCTCATGGCTCTGCTGTTCATAATGAATCAGACTAGACTGGAGGCAGGACACCTTTCCATTTGCATGTGTAGAACTGCCTTGGGGATTTATAATGAAATCAGCGCTGTGTTTTCTTAGTGCATCATTTGATTAAGAAACATTAATATTTGCCTGGACCTCAGTCAGGTCATGTGTATTAATGTTTTTCATAAATTCAGATCCACACAGGTCAGGAGCCCAATCAAAGGGGAACATCAGGTGCCGCACAGAAAGACCCACTGTAGAAATTGTGTAGGCCAGGGAAGATGTATCATTCCATAAAGGGCTCTGTGGACAAGCCTGAGAACCTGAGTTCAAATCTCTAACACCAATATAAAAAAGCCAGGTGTGCTCGTGTGTGCCTTTAATTTAGTGTTAGGCAGCAGAGGCAAGGGGACCCCTCAGACTTTCTGGGCAGCCAATCTAGCTAAGTTGTTGAGCTCCAGTTTCAGTGAGAGACCTTATCTCAAAACAAGGTAGAGATCTATTGAGAAAGACATCCATTGCTAGCCTTTGGCTTCAATGTGCACGTACACACAAACCCACACCCACAGGGCTAGGTACACACATATACATGCGCATGCCACACAACCAGAAGAAATGGCTGCCATAATGATAATAGTGTAGTAATGTAGGGGTGTCATGTGTAGGGTAAATAGTGAGGTACCAGGTAATACATAGATAGCCCCACTGTTTTGTAATGAGTCCTCAGTTTCCCTAAGTGCCATTTGAGTGTGTTAGACATATTAAATTAATCATATGACAGACTCATGAAGCAGGATAGGACAGCAGGTTTTTCATTTTGGATTAAAGAGGTACAGAGGAACTTGAGCCAGAGAGCCCAGCTGCAGAGCCCACAGCTCCTGCCCCATCCTGAGCCTCTTGCACGCCTATGTTGCTATGTTGCTATGTTGTGTTGTGTTGTGTCCGCCATCATTCCACATTGTTTCTGAGCACTGTACATTTAATCCTCATAGCAACCACTTGCTCATGTGGCATGCTTCGGAGGTGGCAGATAAACCCAAACCCAGGTTGCCAGCTTGGTATTGGTTAGACCAGCCATGCTTTCGGTAATTTAATAGAACAAGAAAGTGAGTTTCCTCTGAGTTCCCAGGGCCGGTGGTAAAATAGAGTCTAAAGTTGTTTAGCACATTCCTGGCTCTTGCATTTCCGGGTACAGTTCTTATAATTCCTGCAGTTTTCAACACATCCGTAGACGCCCCACCCATTGAGAAGTACCAGAAAACGAGCATTTCCGGGGAGCCCAGGCTGATGGCCTCCCTTTCTACTTTCCGTCCCCAGATTTAACATCTCCACGCCTGCTTTCCAAGGCTGCATGAAGAATATGAAGAAAACCAGTGGTGTTGTCAGGTTGAACGATACTGTGGGTGTAACCAAAAAGTCCTCTGAAGACTGGAAGGTAAGTGCAGGCCTCAGAGCCGTGTGACACTGCCTACACACTGTATTTGTAAAGATGATCACCAGCTAGACACACAAAACCTGACTGTGTGCCAAAGTAAAGTGCCAGCCTGTCTGAGCTGCACTAATGGAGCTCGCCATTTCTACGGAAGTGTGCGGTCTGAAAGCCCGTATCGGAACATCCAGGAAATGATTATAATGCCGGTCATTCCCTGTTTGCATTTCAGCTCGTGCGCACCGCCTCGTTCTCCAGAGGAGGACAGATGAGTTTTACAAACCTGGGTGTGCCCTTTCCTGACCGCTTCCAGCTGTCTTTTGGGTTTCAGACCTTTCAGCCCAGTGGTACACTATTAAATCATCAGACACGGGTAAGAGGTAGCATGTTCAAATTACAATGCAAGCCTGGCTCCACACTGTCCAAAGCAGCAGAGGGATTTTGAAGGTAGAGGAGTTAGGCATGCTATCTGCCATCATAGTTCTGGCATGAGCAATCTCCCCCTGGGGCAGATCCTGAAGAAAATCCAGCTAGATGGGGCCTAATAATCTATAGAGCTGGGTTTGTGTGCATTGAACAATCATTTCCATTTGTTAGACATATGTGTTTAAATGAATTGTAACAGGTCTTAGTAACAGTGTGGTTTAGGAAAAGATTGAGATTTATACTTACTATTTCTTCTTGATTACAACTTCAAAAGATGGTCTTTATTGCAGCAGCTACTCCTCAGAAAATATTTATTCTGGAACATTAGGAAATCAGATCCAATGCTCTCCTCACATGCAGTAGAGCCACAAAAATTCTCTTTTGGATGAGAAGATGGCTTGGCAAGTGAAGTGTTTGCTGTGCAAATCTGAGGAAACAGACAGGGCATCCCCTTAGCAATCTAGGGCTCAATCCTTTGAGCTAGGCCAGCCGAAATGGTGAGCTCCAGGTTCAGTGAGAGACCGTGTGTGAATGTGTGAGGTAGACAGTGGTCAAGGAAGACACCTGAAGTCAACCTTGGGTCTTGCGTGCACACCCAAGGAGGGAGGGAGGGAGGGAGGAAGGGAGGGAGGGAGGGAGGGAGGGAGAGACTCTTCCATGAGAAGATGCCCTCTGCAGCTCCAGATAAACCAGTAAGCTTGGAAATCCACTCATAGGAAGGATGAGACTCGAAATAATGTTTTATGATTGGTTTCTTTAGTGTTGACAATCTCAGTGGATATTGTGTTCCAGATCTAAAAGATGACAGTGGCTGTCTCTGTGGCTATGCCCACTAGGAAGGTCACTATAGCCTTTTGGTATCTTGTTTACCAGTCTTTGTAGACTTTTAAAATGATTCCTAAAGAGACGATAGATAGTAGAGGAGGCAGACATCACATTAGTTTGACCTAATATGGGCCCTCCTCCCCTCCCTCCCTCCCTCCCTCCCTTCCTCCCTTCCTCCCTCACTCCCTCCCTCTCTCTCCTTACCCCTCCTCATGTGTGTGTGCGCATGTGTGCGCATTTGCCTGCACTTCTGGGATCATGTGGTCATGTATGTGTAGGTGACTGTGTGTGCTAAAGGAAACTTTGGGTATTATTCCTCAGGAGCCATCGCCTTGCTTGAGACACGGTCTCTCACCAGCTTAGGTCTCACCAAATAGTCTAAGCTAGCTGGTCAGGAAGCCCCGGAGATCATCCTGTCTCCACCTCCCCAGCCTTGGGATTGTGAGCACACCCCACTGCACCCAGTTTTTTCTATATGAGTTCTGGGAACTGAACTTAGATCTTCATGCTAGTATGGCAAGCATTTTCCTGACTGAGCCATACTCCCAGTCCTGACCTAGAACTTCCTCGTTCCTAATCCTTGTTCCCTCTGTCACATGTAAGTACAGTTAGAACACACTCAGAAAAAATGGTCAAAAGCAGAGAGAAGGATAAGATTAGCAACAAGTCAGAGTGACCCTGTGCAGTAGAGGAATTCTAGAAATGTCTTGGGGCATTGCTTTCAAATTCAAAAAGGGTTATTTAAGAAACACAATTGATCCCATTGGAAACAAGTCCTTCAAGAGCAACTAAAGCCATCACTGACGGTGAGTGTGCACTGCACAAATTGCTGTAAAAGAAAAACTCAGAGAACACACACCTTAAGGAAAACTTCAGACGTTAGACTTGATAGAGAAAACTGAATGAAACTGAAGTGACTAGTGCTCTAATGGTAGGCTTTAAGTTACTCATTGACAGGAAGTGGATCATTTTGTCAGTGTTTGGATGAGCACAGCTTGACATGGAAAATTGGGCTCCCTAGAAGTAATGACCAAAACATAAGACATTTATGAAATCATTGTTGTGATTTTCCATAGGAAAAAATGTGAGTGATGATGAATCAACTCTTGGCTGTAAAATTTATGCAGAAATGAATGGATTTTGATAGAAATAACTTCACCAAAATAAGAGTAAAAACAGGGGGAAATTAGATAAGATTTAAATGTTCTGATTAGAAAATTAAATGGGCCTAATGAAAGTAGATTTAGAAGAAGACTGACAAATTCGTCAACATCGAAGTAATGTGTATAACATTTTTATATTCATAAACAAGGAGACAAACTATTTAAAAGTTATTGTTTTTCAGGCCAGGCGTTGGTGGCACACGCCTTTAATCCTAGCACTTAGGAGGCAGAGGCAGGCGGATCTCTGTGAGTTTGAGGCCAGCCTGGTCTACAGATCAAGTTCCAGGACAGCCTCCAAAAAAATACAGAGAAACCCTGTCTCGAAAAAAAAAAAACAAAAAAATTATCTTTTTGACATTTGGATCAAAAGGCCCTGACTGCCTTACTGCTAGTTTTGATCATTTGTTTGTCATCTCTAACTGTACATTCTGGGATGGTTTCAGACAAGTGGCCTGCAGGTCACCCTGGATGATGGTCACATTGTGGTAAGCAGCAGGGACAGCAGCAGCCCAATTTTCAAGTCTCCACAGACCTACATGGATGGCTTACTTCATCACGTTTCTGTGATAAGTGACACCTCAGGGTGAGTGGCGGCTTCTATTGCCAGGGTCTAGTTAACAGAGTTCTCCAGCATAGCTTTTCAGGGTCTGTCTTCTGGGGCTGATGCTTACTGGCTATGTGTTAGCCCTTTCCTAGTTCTGTCCTGATTGAAACATAAAGTCAGTGGTCGGATAGATAAAAATTCAAGACAGAATAACCACCCTAAATACCGGAGGCCCATCATAAACCTGGATATAGGATGGTGTGGATGAACCTCCAAAAATGTGAAGAGAAGACACACCTAAGGGTGTTCCCTGTGATTTTGTGTCTACCAGTTTAAAAAAAATGGGGGACAAATCAGTTGTGTCAGAATTCCGGGTGGTGATTATTCCTGGAGGGGGAAGGGATCTGGAAACTACAATGAACACAAAGAGGGGTTCCTGGGGTACCAGGCCAGTTGGTATCTTTCTGTGAATGCACACTACCCTGGTATATTCATGTTGCAAAGAAATCATTGAGGGGCTAGAGAAATGGCTCAGTGGTCAAGAGCACTGGGTTCTCTTCCAGAGGACCCAGGTTCAGATCCTAACACCTACATGGTGGCTCACAACCACTCTTAACTCCAATTCCAGGGAATCCAGTTTCTGCTTCTGGCTCCTCAGACCCTAGGCACATGCGTGGTACGCAGACATACATTCAGACAAGGCACGTGAGCTCTCACACACATGTGCGTACACACACACACACACACACACACTAAATAAATAAAATATTGCTTGAGCAGATGTCTATGATGTATAGTTTCAGTAAATATATATTATTTAGCTGAAGTGCTATGTGGGAAAATACTTTGCACTTTAAAAAGTATTTCTGATTTGACTAGTCCTGCTGGGTGACAGATTAGAGTCTGTGTCAGACAGTAGATTGTTCCCACAGTGTTGGGAAGGTGGTTGCTGTTTTGTTTTTTTGTGAGGGGTCACATCATTGTCTTGTTTCTTCCATTTTTCAGCCTCCGACTCCTCATTGATGATCAGGTTCAGAGAAGGAATCAAAGGCTCCCTGGCTTCTCCAATGCCCAGCAGTCCCTACGCCTGGGAGGTGGTTATTTTGAGGGCTGTATAAGCAACGTTTTTGTCCAAAGGTGAGGGATCTTTTTTCTGTGGTTACCAATAAGAGCCCACCCACCTGTACAGTGTTACACTTACCCAGTCACTGAATTAGATTTTTCAGTGTTTCCCAAGGCTTTGGTCCCACGTATTTCCAAGATTCATTTAAAGACCAACAAGCAAAGCTCCTAGCAGCTTAGACCTCGGAAAAGATCTAATGAAAATTAATTTTCAGATCATGGCCTTTGGAAAAATATCCACGCTGTTTAGTTCCATTTTAATGAAGACTGTACAGTTGGATTGGATCAGTTCTCCATGGTTTTTAGGGCAAAGGGATTTTGAGGATCTGTGCAGTGCCAGGGAGACCCAATCCCACAGTCCTGAGCATGGTTTTCAGAAGAGTGGGGCTCAGGTTTCACTCCTACAGCTTTAAATGTTATGTCTAATTTGGAACACTTTAGATAAGAGCTTCAGTGTCTCCCTGTAGCAGAGGGAGGTCCTGGCTGTGGCTGGGAACCTTAGCCTTCCAGAATGGCACCATCACCTTCCTGCCATCCAGCAGGCATGAAACTTCTGGGCCAAGGTGAGGCCCACAGTTCTCACGCCCGTCCGTAGTTGATAAAGCGGCTCTCTTGAGCATGTAGTCCAGTGGCTGGAGCAGGGCGTGGGAGGAACGGAGAGCACGGGAGGTGTCTAACAACAGCCTCTGCCATTGTAAGACAACACACACAGCTAAGCAAGCACAGCCACACGGATCTTTCCATAAACCCACTTCTGTGGCGTACTGATGTTCACCAAGATTCCTGTGCTGTCCCATGTCCCTCTCTGCATATCTGATAATACCCATTGCAAAGAATAAACTAGTATGCCAGCCCTGCCATACTTCAAGTCCACGGGGGCTCTGCAGCCCTTCTGTCTTGCAGACGTGACCTGCACAGGTGGAAGGTCACGACAGTAAGAATGTCCTCTGCCGCAAGCTCTCTCTGCCGCAAGCTCTCTCTGCCGCAAGCTCTCTCTGCCTACTGGTGGGTCTCCTTCCCCAGGCAAGAGTTTGGTCATGGCTTTCATTTTTCCCTCATTCTAGGTTGTTACAGAGTCCTGAAGTCCTGGATTTGGCCAGTAAATCGACCAAGAAGGATGCCTCCCTGGGAGGCTGCAGTTTAAACAGGCCACCCTTTCTCCTGTTGTTTAAAGGTCCCAAGAGATTTAACAAGGCCAGGACTTTCGATGTCAATCAGGTAAGTGTCAAAGCCTTACCTTGGGTTTTACTTCTCCTGACTAGGGAGACATGGTGGGAAAGGGTAGGACATCACCCAGTCTCTGGTGGCACCAAAGGCTCACCAGCAGTGGACAAGCACCAAAATGACAAAGCCAGGGCAGGGGGGCTGGCTCAGTCAGCAGGGTTGTAGAGTCATGCACGAAAGTGCAGATCTGAATTCCCAGCACCCCTGTAAAAAAGCAGTGTGTGGTAGCATGACTCCCTTGAGCATACTCATTTGGACATAATGTTCCTTCTGCATATATCATTTGTCCAAAAGTGGCAGAACAGAAACACCCTCTGCAGAGGAATTCGCATTATAGTGAGACCATCCTGAGCAATGTTGACTCTGGGTCACTTAGAAGAGAGACAAAGCAGTCTTGACCATACTAAACCATGTCCTTATAGTTTGCTTTGCAGGAATGACCTAGTTTCATTTCTGTTGCTGTGGTAAAATGCCCTGATAAAAAAGCACTCATGGGAGAAAGGGATGTATTTCAGCTTACACTTCCGGGTCACAGTCCCATCACTGTTGGGAAGTCGAGGCCGGAACTTGAAACAACCAGTCACATCACCTCCACAGTCAAGAGCAGAGAGTAATGAGTACATTCTTGCTCAATTGCTTGCTTGTGGTCATCTGGATTTCTCCACTCATATACAAGTTAGGACTCTGCCTAGGAAATGGGGTCACCCACAGTAGTCTGGATCTTCCTATATCAATTAACTAAAGATAATTCCCTGTAGTTGTGCCCACTTTAGACAATCCTTCATTAAGACTTTTTCCCTGTGACAGGAGGTTGTGTCAAAATGATACATAAAGATAATCATCATTGTCTTAGTTAGGGTTTCTATCACTGTGAAGAAACACCGTGGCCATGGCAATTCATGAATGAAAACACTTGCTTTTGGTGGCTCACTTACAGTTCAGAGGTTCAGTCCATGGTGGGACACGGTGGCGTGCAGGCAGACATGGTCCTGGAGAGGTAGCTGAGGGTCCTACATCTTGAAGGCAACAGGAAGCTGTCTGAGACACTGGGTGGTATCTTGAACATATATGAGACATCAAAGCCTGCCTCCACAGTGACACACTTCCTCCAGCAAGACTACACCTACTCCACAAGGCCACATCTCCTACTATGGCCCCACAATAGCCTCACTCTCTTTGGGGTCCATTTTCTTTCAAACTTCCTTGATCACAAAGGTCTTATCTGAAACAAATAAAAGCCCCCAAAGGACCCTTACTGGTATTTAAAGGTGTAATATCTCACTCCTCAACCCTTGCTTAAGCCAAGATTATTGCCTTTAGCTAAAACTACCTGCCTAGCTGCTAACAGACCTTAATTAGGGTGCCGGGATTTCTGTGGCCGATCCTTGCGTTTATACACTTCATGTATTGGTAGCAGGTCTGGTGGTTTTCTCAAGAGTACATGGGCTATGCCCCCTCTTACATATGTGCCCACAAGTGTCCTCTCTGCCCCTAGTGCAAACTCTACGACAACATATCCACACTCACCCAAGCTTTGTCAAAGCCAGGGTGGCTTAGCTCGGACTACATATTTTAAACAGACAAGGGCTTTTAAAATCACTATGGTCAACGACCAGTGAGGTAAGAGGCATCTGGAGAGGCCCAGGTCGCTGTAGTTTGCCTGGCCCTCCAGTGAGTCTCATGTGCCTCACAGAGACCAAAAATAAGTCATTTTGCTGTCATGGAGGAGTGTGGCCATTGTCATGAATTAAACACAAGCTTAGGAGTTAGGCAATCCCTTACTTTGAGCCTGGCCAACAGGGTGACCCCCCCCCCAATCTGAGGTGAGAATAAGAATGAGCAGCCTTGATCTAGTCATTGTGCTAAGCCCTGGGTGCGTTTTCTTACATCACTAGACACACCTTACAGAGAAGGGGGCTCGGGTCTGGGCAGATGAGCAACATAGCCTAGGAGTAGAAGGCTGTGCCCTCGAAGAGGAAGCGGCTGGGCTGCAGGGAGAACACAGTACTCGAGTGCTCACCTACCATGTGTGAGGCCCTGGTCCAGTCTCCAGAAGCACTAGCTTTTGACCAGGCAGAACATGCTGCTCCAGCCCAGCCCCGGTGTTAGGTAGCACTGACATTTGCTCCTCACCCAGCTGTATTCCCCGGCTGCTCTGTGATTAGTGGCAGTCAATACTGAATAGCAAGTGTTCTGTACTGTTTAGAGGAAATTCACTTCATGGATGCTTGGGGGTTGTTGTCTTACTGTGATGTGAAGACTGCATTTACAATCAGTCCTTCAGAAATGATGTCATGCATTTCATTTCTTCTAAGCTGATAGTACTAGGACTAAGTCCTTAGGATAGTGGGAGCTGTCGGGGAGGGGGCCTAAGTCCATAGGATGGCATGGAGCTGATGAGGAGGGGATGGACTTTACTATTAATCGGAAAGTAGAAAAGTATTTAACTCAGACAATAATTGGATTTGGGAGAGCAGAGAGAGGCAGGAGAATCCTGGGATGTCCAGTCTGAATTGTAGACTACATGGTGATACTATAGAGAGATAGGGGCAAGCACTGGAGAGAAAGAGAAGGAATAGGAGAGTTTGTGGCATTTTGAGCAGGTCACACAGGCAGGGAGGATTGTTGGGAAATTGTTGGTATCTCCTAGGGGGCCTAGGCAGGTAGAGATGGGGGGGCATTGTTCTGAGAGACATTAGCGAATGAATGCATTATCTAGCTTTTCCCTCTTCTGCACAAGCTCCAGATTAGATGGACTATGTTATTTTTGCTGTGAGTAGCTTGGCAGTGGAGAGAATACAAGGTTTATGGTGATCTGCTCACACTACACTCCTCAGAAAGAAAGTGAAAACTGGACAGGTCCAGATGTTAAGTTTCAGACAAATGGGTTTTGTTTGTTTTGTTCTTTTCCAAGAATACCTGGTCAGTAAATGATGGACCCAGGATTCACATTAAAGCATAGTGTCACCCCACTGAATGTGCTCTTCAAGCCTCTACTAGCTTGAAAAGCCAGATGAGCTCTGGGAAATTTGGCAGAGAAAGGAAGCTTAGGGGTGGGGGTGAATCCCACACTGAAGCCAGGTCAGGCTTGTTACATATGTAACTTGGGCATTTTCAGTCGTTGGTGTAGAGCTGTTAAAAGAAGCCTCTTTAAGCTGCTTGGGAGATTACAATATGTTAAGCTGGCAGCAAACATTATAATATGTCGTGAGAAAATTATAATCTCAAGGAGTCAAGCTGGCAAGCTACTACAGCCATCCAGGCAAAGAGCAAGGCTGAATCTCAGGCAGAGGTGTCAGAAGTGACAAAAGAAACAAAGTCCATCACAGAGAGCAGCCATGGGACACAAGGGTGACGCGTGGGAGAAGGAGAGAGGCAGGCTCATGGAGGCCACAGTGCTGAGCCTGGTTTCCCTCAAGGATGATGCTGCTGTCAAGACAGCAGAGGCGTTAACAGTGTCAGAGGGTTTATTTAAACTGTCTCGCTTTGATGTTACAGACGAGGAAGCCTTTCTAAGAGGGAGTAAGGCCTGCTGGAGTGATCCCAGGCACGCCTCAGGCTGGGTTCTGTTCTCTGGAGGAACCGGCAAAGCTCTGAATTGGAGCAGTTCAATTAGATTTCTGATGGGTGTGATTGAACATCTTCAACAGTGCGCAAGCTTGGGTTGTTTTTATTTGGTAGTCTGTCCCTCTCTGCAGCCCTGAATCTGTGTGTAGGTGGTATGTGTGTGTGTGTGTGTGTGTGTGTGTGTGTGTGGTGTGGTGTGTGTGTGTGGTGTGGTGTGTGGGGGCTGTGTGTGTGGTATGGTGTGTTTTGTGTTGGGGGGATGTGTGTATGTGTATGTTGTATGTGGGGGATGTGTGTATGAGTGTGTGGGCACTGTGTGTTTATGTGGTATGTGTGTTTGTGTGGTGTATGTGATGTGTATGTGTGTACAGGGTGAGGGATGTGTGTGGTGTGGTATGTGTATGTAGTGTGTGTATATGTGTGTGGTGTGTGTGTGTGGTGTATTGGGGAATGTGTGTGGTGTAGGGGGATATGTGTGTGGTTTGGTGTGGAGTATGTATGTGGATGGGATGTGTGTGGGTGTATGTGTGTGAGAGATGCGGTGTGTGTGTGTGTATGGTGTGGGAAGTGTGTATGTGTGTGTATGTGTACTGCTAGACAAGCATCCCATCTCTGTAATATGTCCCTAATCCTCTCTTTATTTCATTTAGAGACAATGTCTAACTAAGTTGCCTAGACTGGCTTTGATCTTTCTGTTCTCCTGTCCTAGCCTCTTGAGTAGCTAGGACATGGAGATCTATGCCAAGACCTGGCTTTGGTTGTACAGACAGCTGATACCAAGTATGCACTCTGCCCGCCATAGCTGTCTAGGATCAGGTTGGAGAGGAACACTTGATTGTGAAGGTAGCTTCAGGGGAAGTTCTTTACTGCTGGCTTCCGAATATTCCTTGCAAAACAGCGTTCACAAGGACAACACTTCTACCTGTGATGGCTTGTTTCTCAACTTGACCTAACTTAGAATCACCTGAGCAGGAAGTCTCAATGAGGGATTGCACAGATCAGGTTGACTTGGCAGGTGTCTCTGAGTGTGTCTGTGGGCGTGGTCTTGATTGCCTTAGCCAGGTAGGGAGAACCAGTCTGAAAGTGGGGGCATCATTGCCTGGTTTGGGAGCCTGGGCTGTGCTGGAGTGGAGAGAGCTAGCCGGGCAGTAAACATGCTTGCATTCTTTTCTCCCTTCCTCTGCCAATGGCTGTGATCTGGTTAGCTGCTTCAGGTGCCTGCCTCGATGTCCCCTTTCTCTTTCTAAGTTGCTTTTGTCTGTGTATTTTCTCATAGCAGCTAAAATGAAGTTAGGATCCCACCTAAGGAGCAGTTCAGTGGTAGGTGGGACACGAAGCTTGACCCCAGGTCTGTCTGTCTGTCTGTCTGTCTGTCTGTCTGTCTCTCTCTCTCTCTCTCTCTCTCTCATCTTGATCAGTTCTGAGAAGCACTTGCTCGCTGAACAACGTCCAGCAAGGAAACAACGGATTCTGCCTGGGTTTCTCTCTGCTAGGACAGATCCTTTATCAGCATCCCTTTCTAACAGCTTCCCTCAGGAGTCATTGTTCAGGAGCCAGGGTCATGTGTTCATTCCTGAGCCAACCCCTAGCAAGGCCTTGGCTTGACAGAAATCCCCACTGAGCTCTGAGCCCTGTGGTCCAGACCTGGATCCCAGAATCTGGACTCTGATGTGAGACTTGGTTTCTTCCACAACCAATGCTCAAATGCTGTTGACCATAGGACAGATGTTTATGCCCCGTCAATGGTGACAGTAGCAAGGACAGGTCCAGGGCCCTTGCCCTTCTGTCCCTTTTCTCAGTCTTTGACTTGCCCTTCTTACAAAAGCCCAAGGGAATGGCCTGGAAGGGAGGTGGCAGGAGTTTGGCCCTGTGTCCAATGGCAGGAGTTTGGCCCTGTGTCCTACTGGGCTGTAGCTGCCTCATGCTGGGCGTCTGCTGAGAGCACTGGTTTTCTGATGGTCCACGCTGGGGTGGAGGGCTGGATCCCTGCAGGTTCCACATGCAGTAGTTTCCCCTAGAGAGGATGGACTTGTACAAGGCATGAGTACCACGCACTCTCCCCAAAAGGGAAGTAAGAGAAAGGGGTTTGCGTTCTCCAAAGCCATGCCTTCCAACCCTTTCATGACTCCCTGGACTCCCTGAAGGTAAAAGGCCCCCAAGCCATAGCCACACTGGACACTAAACAGGGTTGGTGGGTCTGCAGGAGAGTAAAGAAGCTGAATTCACCTTCCCCTTTGTCTCCACACGAGTGGCACTGGAAGGACTCTGGGGGAGAGAGTCCCACTGGGGCCATTTGCTGAGCCTTCCATCTCTTTGCTGATTTCATCACTTTGATTCCAGAGTGAATGCCGTAGCCGTGAGCCAGGCAAGCATGCTGTCCCCAGATGCTGCTCCCCTTCAGGTCCTCACGCTCTCTCTTCTCCCTCACAGCTGTTGCAGGATGCACCTCAAGCCTCCCCAAGCAGCATGGCGGCATGGCAAGATGGGAAGTCCTGCGTGCCACCCCGCAACGCCCAGGCCACTCACAGAGCCCTCCAGTTTGGGGACAATCCCACCAGCCACTTGCTATTCAAGCTTCCTCGGGAGCTGATGAAACCCGGGTATTTTCTCCTTTTCTTTTTCTTTCTCTTCAAAAACAAAGTATTTTCTTGTTCCATTCAGTGCTAGTCTCTCCCAGAGAAGTCTCATCCCCAGGACTCCACGCTCAGGAAGGAGGTGGTGTCTCTTTTTTGGAGACAGTAGCCTGCATAAGACAGGGGGTGCAGGGCCTCATGCCCTCCCCCTCCTGTACAGCTGGAATGGAACTGTGACTGCTGCCATTGCCGCTGCTCAGGACCCAGACAATCAGTTTAGCTCTGAGACTTGTTCTAAAAATAAGGCTGCTCTCCCACCCCGCAAGCTAGCTGTTATTTATGTGATTAAGCACCATTCTTCTCTTGCACTCTGTATTGAAAGGGAAATCATTCTCTTAGGTAGCCTCGTGCCAGATAGAACATTCCCAGAGAATGCTTTTAGACGGTTTTTGTGCTAACAGTTGTTGGGGAGGAGGGGCTGAGCGAAAATGCTAATGATGTCAGAAGAAAGGAAGAAAGCAAGGTTTGTTCTTTTCAGGTGTCTTGGAGAAAACCCGAGGGAACAGGTGCCAGCCGCTGCCCCAGACTCGGTTTTTAAACAGCAGCTCAAGCGCCCAGGGGTCAGAAAGACCTGGCTTGAACTCTAGGCTCTCAGCCTGTGCTTAGCTAAACACTGGCTGTGTCATATGCTAGTTTGGCTTCTTGGTGACGTGGATGCCAAGGTCTGGAGAGGCAGGGGCTTAGTATGGGACATGAAAGGCGGCGGGGAGGGGACAAGAGGTACAGGCTGGAGAGCCTGAGGCTGGGTAGGGCCCCCTGGAAAATGGGGTCGGCTTCAGGCTGCAGTGCAGGGTTAGTGCCATCTGTTCCTGCAGGGTGCCCTGCAGCGGAGATCCCCTCAGAAGCATCAGTGTGGGCACAAGTGTCTATATTTTATCATGCCTGTCACATTCAGCAGATCAAAAAAAATATGACCGCTAGGGCCTACCCTGTGCCCTGTAGCAAGCCTTGACATGGGTATGTCTTTGTGGCCTTCATACACAATGTGACTCTTGTAAGTCTACATTTCCCTTCTGGGCCTGCCTGACATTTTACCTACGTCTCTCTCCATTTTCTCACTGGTTTAAAGGGGTTAATACTGATTTTTCTGACAATGGGGACACGTTAGTAGTTTGAAAGGAGACTGGCCCCTGGAAGTCCACTCAGTCACAGGATGACTCATAGATAGACAGAACGATCCAAAGGAAAAGCCCGAGCAAGCAGTGACCCCCAGGAGGAGTCCCAGAACCTTTCATTTGCCCAAATTCAGCTTGTAGAAGACCAGAGCAGGAAGAGGCTGGCTGTCCTTCTGTTGGTCCTTCTCCTAATGACATCATTACTTCTGGGAAGGGAGGCCCCATTGTCTAACTCTGCTCTCTTGGCCAAGCTGACCTTAATGGCAGCAATCACTTGTCTTAAAGAAATGGCATCTGCAGATGCTGCCCCTGCTGTCCGAGCTTTCCCCAGCTCTCCCTAGCTTCTCCCCCTCCAGCTCCCCCCACTGCAGCCCCCCCACGGCAGCCCCCCACGGCGGCCCCCCACGGTGGCCCCCCACGGTGGCCCCCCGGCAGCCCCCCATGGCAGCCCCCCCACGGCAGCCCCCCCACCAGCTCCTCCCCCAGCATTTCTCCCTCCACACATTCATCCAGGTGACCTGCTCACAGCCAACCCTGATGCTTTCTCGTCCAGATACCATTTTGAAAGGTGAAGAGCAGAGCGCATGTGTATGTGGGGTGGAGGTAGGGGGCAGAAAATCGATCGTTACAATGTTGGTTATTTTTCTCATCTCTATGACCAAAACAACTTAGGAACAAAAGGGCGTTTGACTCATGGTTTGAGGGAGGGTGCCGTCCATTGCGGCAGAGAAAGCAGCAGATGAAGTCACATCACACCCACAGTCAGCAAGCAGAGAGATGGGTGGCTGATACACAGCCTCTTGTCATTTAGTCACAGGACCCCAGCCCATGGAGTGGTGCTGCCGACATTCAGTCCGCTAAACCTCTCTGGCACGCTACAGACGTGTGTCTAGAGCCTGTCAGGCTGACAGTCCAGGTTGACATCACAGCAGTACATGCAATCATAAGCTAGCCCAGTCCCAGATGCTTTAACAGGCGTGTCTTGGGGAAGCTGCCAGCTCGCTCTGCTGTGATGTCCCCTCAGCTCTGCTGTGAGTATCCCCTCAGCTCTGCTGTGATGTCCCCTCAGCTCTGCTGTGACGTCCCCTCAACTCTGGTATGACGTCCCCTCAGCTCCGGTGTGACCGTCCCCTCAGCTCTGGTATGAGCATCCCCTCAGCTCTGCTGTGAGCGTCTCCTCAGCTCTGGTGTGACGCCCCCTCAGCTCTGGTGTGAGTGTCCCCTCATTCTGCTTTGCATCCTGCCATGCTTTCACTGTCACACAAAGCTGGTGCCACCACTTTAACCCTGCAATGACTGTGTGAGCGCACTCTTGATCACCCCTGCTTCCTCTGGCTATGACGACTCCTAGCTGCTCTGCCATACTCTGGGATATGAATCTACTCCTGCCTTTTTGAGATGTTAGTTAGTCTTTTCTGTAAGAAGACTGCCTTAAGAAACAGTTCTGGAAAGCAAATGTCAAGTCCGATCACTGAGCCCACGTATGTGAAGTGCTGTGTGCTCTGGAGCGCATCCAGTATTCTCCCAAGTTGGCACCGGCGATCAGACATGTCAGGAGAAATATGGAGCTGTGGGCCATCTGGGCAATTTCATTTAGCAAATATGGGTTCTTGTTCATCCTGAAGAATGTTGCCCTCTGGGAAACCTGTTCATCTGATGAACAAATGTGCATCTTAGACTCACAATGTTGAAAAGCAATGAACTAACAGTGTAATGTTGTCTTCCACACCCAGATCCTCCTTCACTCATTTAGTCACTTTGTTAAATGTGTGCTGTGTAGTAGAACCTGCCCATATAGCTACAATAGCAAGATAAGCCTGGTTTCTGTCCTCTGGTGAGCAGTAGACCCTCCGGGGAGAGGGAACCTACATCTCATTGGCTCTGCATCTCTACTGCATTTTTGTGTTGTATGGAAATGAACTTGTTGGCGCTCCCAAACACCACAGATACATGGGCCCACCTTCTACATGCTGGACCCTCAGGAAATGTTAGCGGGAGGGTTCGTTGTTGTGGGGACAGATGGGTAGGGATCTTTATATAAAGTAGTTTGCTTGGCTTGATTTGGAAATGATGTGAAGCCATCATGTGCATTAATACTAATCAATTTCTAATTCCCCTAATAGGACAGTTGAGGTCTGGGGGTCAGAGAAGTGGGGATAGCAGGAGAAAATGAATCCATACTCCCGTGCCTTTGTGTTAAATATATCCCATAGAAAGTGCTAGTCTGATGCCCTACTCATATTCTCTTTGTTCAAGCTTCCCCTGTCCTCCTGCCGTCTTCCTCCCCCAGGAACAGACACAGATAGAAAGCACATTCATTGGGTTTAAACAGTCTGTATTAGTGAGGGAGCTAGGCCAGTCACAAAAAGACATAGTGTGTAGTACCAAGAGCAGTCAGGTCTGTTGAGACAGAAGCAGAAGAGTGGTAGCCAGACTCTAAGCAAAGGAAGAATAGAGCTATTGGTTAAAGGGTAGAGTCTGTGTTCCACACAAAGAGGAACTATGTACACGGTTTCGTACAGCATTGCAAATTGACTCAACCCTAATGAGCTGGACACTCAAATGTGGTGAAGATGGTAAATCTTAGGTCATGTGAATTTTACCATAATTTTAACGTTGATTTTTAAATTTCCAGCATGTTCCTTCTTGCCACACACTAGGACTTATACCACTAGCTAAACTTGCTGTAGGAAATCTGTGCAATTCCTCAACACAGTCAGGAAACTGTACCACAAAACTACTAACAGCTAGAATGGTCTGGCTTCTGGAAGTCTCTGAATCTTTGGGGAGTGGGACCATCCCTACTCCTCTCCTGAGGTGCAGGGAGCTGAGGACATCTGTCTCCCTCCATTGCGCATTTCTTTCTTTCTTTGCTGTTGCTGATTTGTCTATTCATTTATGAAAATATCTTACTGCTGTATATCTGAAAATGTCTAGACAGGTTGACCTCAAACTCGTAATCCCCCTGCCCCCTGCCCCTGCTCCTGAGAACTGGGATCGTAGGCCAGCATGCCAAGTTCTTATCCCTTCCCTTTCTTTATCCACAGGTCACAGTTTTCTGTGGACATACAGACAACATCCTCCAAAGGGCTGGTGTTTTACACAGGCAGCAAGAACTCTTTCATGGCTCTCTATCTCTCAGAAGGATTTTTCATCTTTGCTTTGGGGGCCGAAGGGAAGAAACTGAGGCTCAGAAGCACGGAGAGATACCATGATGGGAAGTGGCACTCGGTGAGAGTGGGACTGTGTGAAAACGGGTTGAGCATCTAGAAATAATCCAAAACCCAAAATTATATATATATGTGTGTGTGTGTGTGTGTGTGTGTATTATGAATGAATTTTGTGTTTAGACTTGACCCCTATCCTAAGATATCATTATGTATATATGGACATTCCAAAAGCAGAAAACAGACTATACCCCCAACAGTCCCGAGTATTTCAGATAGGAGATTCCCCAGTCTGTACTTCTAGCTGGTGCAGGATCTGTTGTCTTGGTAGCCAAGATGAAGAATCCAGAATTATTTCCAGGAGCCCTGGCCGAGTTCCTCTCTCTGTACCTGGTGTTCTTTCTCATAGCACAAGCAGAAAGCCTTCTCTCTCTGCATCCCTAGCATCCCAACTCTAGCCTGAGTTAAAACATACACTGTAAAGTTAGACAGAAGCCGTGTTTTTGTAATGATGGGACTGTTAATCAGAAAACCTAAGTGATTTGATGTGTTCCACCCATTAATATTCAACAGGATTCAAGGGGTTGCTCTCATGGGGCACAGAAACAAACATCTTGACTGTAATGTCACATGCTAGTCTTTTGGGAAGATGTTAAACTGGTTAGACCACAGGGAAGTCAGTGGGTACTATTTTAGTTAAAGTAGTCAGGAAAGGGGTGCAACCACCATAGGAAGTCATGGGACAGGAGCTGGGGTTAGCTCAGTGAGCAGACCACAGCATTATAAGCAGCAGGACTGGAGGCATGGGGTGGACAGAGATCTGATAACTTAAGCTTTGAAGGCCAAACTGAGGACTGAGGATGATGCTGGCTACATGTATGTATGTATGCATTATGTATGTATTGCTTAGCAATGCTAAAACTGACTCTTGGGCCTCATAGACCTAGGTAAGCTCCCTTCCATTAAGCTATAGGGTCTCAGTTGCTTATGCCTCCAGGTATCTGGGATCACCAAACTGTGCCTCCAGGCCTGGCTATTTTTATTTATTTATGAGCTAGGATCTCACCATATAGCCCACTGTCCTGGAACTTACTAGGTACCCAGACTGACCAAGAACTTTGTGATCCTCCTGCATCAGTCCAAGAGGCTAGAAGGAACAGGTATGTGTCACCACACTCAGCTAGGTCTTTGGAGTCTATTACAAGTGTCCTTGAAGCTTTTGAAGCACCTTAAACTGGAAAAGCACTGACCCAGGAACATAGTTACTTTTACAAAGACCCTTTGGCTGAAGGAATTAGGCGAGCGAAACTAGAAGAAGGGAAGCAGATAGAAGCCACCACCTTATCTAGAAAGGCCGTGGTGGGAGTGGGGAGCAGTGGGTATCTAGGATGGATGCTGTGTGCAGAAGGACGAGCAAGAGGGACGGCCGTCTGTTCGTCTGGTTGCTGCGTGTGGAGTGACCCCAAAGGAGGAAGCCAATGTTGCTTCCTATGATTTGGCCCAGTAGTTAGGCTAGTGGCATGGCAGGGCAGGGAGGAAGGGATGGAGAGATGGAGGGAGGGAGGGACAGAGGGAGGGAGAGACAGAGAGAGAGAGAGAGACAGAGAGACAGAGAGACAGAGACAGAGAGAGAGAGACAGACAGAGAGACAGAGACAGAGAGACAGAGAGACAGAGAGAGAGATGACTGGGGACAATTTCTATCTCTACTGATGGCATTGTCCCCCCACCACCGGGAGAGCAGACAAGGATTCAAACTTGTAGCCAAGAGAACACTTGCCACTCTGGTTACAGGAGGAATGTCTGGTTCCTGCTTAGTCCAGGAGCCCTGCCCTGACTTGCCCTGCCCTCAGCTCTGTGCAAACAGCTCTGACCCTAGGTTGCAGCCTGTGCCCTGGGTTGTTCCTCCTTTGTTTAAATCTCTACATCCCTTGTATCTGTCAACCCATTTGCTTTCAAATAGCTTCTTATTTAACTCTGCTTTAATCCCAGCTCTTCAATATCTGACATAATCTCACAAAACAACAGTGACTAATAAGCAAGGAAAGACCTTTCTCTCCTTACAAAGCTACTGAAGGGTAGAAAACCTTTTTTAAAGTTTCCTATAACCACTACTACAATATGGTAGTAGTTAGCAGAGGTAAACCTTGACTCTTTTCCTCGTCCTAAAGGTGGTCTTTGGACAAAGTGGAGGAAAGGCGCGCTTGGTTGTGGATGGGCTGAGAGCCCAGGAAGGCAGTTTGCCTGGAAATTCTTCCATCATCCCCAGAGCACAGGTTTACCTGGGATTTTCATCATCAAGGAAGTTGAAGGTAAAGCTATTTTTAAAAAGTAATTCTCATTATGGTTGTTATCACGTGAGACATTTAAGACTTCAAAATCCTTTAAATAATTGTTTAATGTAGCTAATGCTCTCAAGCCTACAAAGGAAGTGCCCGTTCTGCATTCTTGATCCTATGCTTAAGGTCCAGGCTAAGACACAAGCATTTAAGAAGTGACTGTGGGCTTCTCTATGGCATTAGCAACATAACTTTCTTAGCTTTTCTTCCAGGGAGAGGGGCACAGGTGTTTGTTTGTTGATGTATTATTTTATGTATAGGCATTGTGTGTGCATGTATGTCTATGCACCATGTGTGTGCCTGGTGCCTGTAGAGGCCAGAAGAGTGCATCAGAGTCTCCAGGAACTGGAGTTATGAGATGCCATGTGGGTGCTGGGAGTTAAATCTAGTCCTCTGGAAGAGCAGCCAGTGTTCTTAGTCACTGAGCCATGTATCCAGCCTGAGGCAGAGGTTTTGGGCTAAGACGATGTGTCCTGAGCTTTGGTAGTCTATAACACCTTTGCAAAACCATAGCAAAAGCGTGTTCTTTCTCCCTAGCTGCCTATCAACTTACTGTTGGATCGAAATCCATTTTAAGGGCCTTTTTTTCTTTCATAAACGGAAACCCAATGTCCGTTATCACAAATAGTAAAATAGTCACAGAAAACAAGTCCTTGGGAATGAAGCAGCATCATTCAAGTCTAGCTAGATAGCTTGGCCTGTGCTTGCTCCTGTGGAGAGAGGAGTTTGCAGGGAAGTCAATTGAGGCACATTAGCATTGGCACAAAGCCAAGCGTGTTCCCTTCCTAATCAGAGGACCCCAAAGAGACTCTGAAGTGGGAGGGGTATTTGTGGTAGACTCTATGCTTGGTGGGCAAGGACCTGGGCTGGATCTCCAGCCCCAGATGGAAAGCACAAAGATCTTCATACCACAAGCATTGCACTGTTCTTCCTAGTGCTAGCCTGAGACTCGAACTAGGGAACATGGCTATGGGACAGTTGAGAATCACCTGACACCAAAGATGAGTCATGGTTCGCTGCCCTTGTCAAGTTCAAAAGGGCCACAGCCCTCTTGCTTGCTCTGACCTCAGTCCCTGCCGACTTCACTGGGATGTCCTAAGGACCTGACCTTGCCCATGCCATTTAAGATCAGTAGCTCTGTGAGCAGCTCAGATCTAGGAGCTTTCCTTCACCGAGATGCAGTTTTTGCCCCCTCCTCAAAAGTTAGGGTCACGTTCTGGTGTGATGTTTGTTTACCATGATCTAGGGAAGGGGCCCAGGCTTGAATCTGGACCTGGAAAAGGTGTTAGTTAAAGCAGGCATTGTCCACCATCTTAGGTTTTAGTGTTTCAGGGTGACCCAGTCAGAGTTGGAGTAGTTCCATGGGGTACGACCTGGACTATTCTTTGTATGAAAGCCACAGCAAGGAATAAAGAATGTCTATCATAAACACTGCATACCATATTTGTATAATATGCAATATAGTGTCTATGACATATGCTGAGGTATCCTTACTGTTAACACTGAATTTTCTCCAACCTCTAAGCCCATTTTCCTCTTAGGAAAATCAAGGGTAATTCAGGGTGTGATTAGAGTACTCTTAGATTATTCAGAGGGTGATTAGGGCATTCTTTTGACCTTGATAGGTTCTCTTAAACCTCATTAACACACCCAGCTTCCTAAGTGAGGTCAGACAGTAGCACCTATTTACAAAATTCTATTTAAAGAACTTTCAGTTGACATACAGAGCAGTTGTTTGGCCCTGTTGCTTTGGCCCTGTGACAAGGCAGGGGATATGTAACAGGGCAAAGCTACTTGCCTTCTGGTGGCCAGGGAGGAAAACAGTGAGGTAAAAACCAAGACCCCAGTGTCCCCTTGGATAAGCACGCCAGCAGCGCCCCATCTCCTCCTAAAGGGTGCATAGCCTTCCAGAAATGCCATGGGCAGGCTTTTAGCACGGCCTTTGGGACCTTTAAGATTCCAACTGTAAGAACATAAAACCAGCAGTGGTGCTGAACAGCAGAACTACAGCTAGCCCCTGGAGTTCACAGTTGCATCACAGCCTAACCTGTGGTGTCTGCCCTTGGTTTCAGATACAGAATTCGGTTATCTAGCATGATAAATGTGCCTCGTTACTGTGACAATATGACAGTAACAACTTGGGAGAGGGAGGGTTTGTTCTGACTCGGGGTTCAGTCACCGTGGTGGCAAGAGTGGGAGATGACTTGCCCACCCCACTCACAGCTAGACACAGAGGTGAAGCAACGGGGATTCTATTGGTTGAAGACCTCAGCCCTAGGGTGGATTTCCAGCCTCAGTTAACCAATCTAAAAACTCCCTTACAGGCATGCCCAATGGCCTATCCATTAGATGATTCCAGACCCTGTCAAGGTGACCGTATTACCCGCTCTAAAAACTAGCTTATGAGGAGGGTTTGCTGGCCACTTGCCACCAGCAACACATGCACCTCCAAGGTTACCGCGTCACCGTGCTCCCTTAAAGTTGCCTGTGAGACATTGGGGGCTTTCGGGAATGTTTTGTTAACTTGGTAAATGTGCTGCAGTGCTCTCCCCGGAGCAGGGGATGTGCACACGTCTGCTGTATACTACAAAGTGCTGTGAGTCCTCAGAAACCTGGATCCAGATTGGAAACTCTCGTTCCAGGCCCACAAAGGTGCTGATGAGGTGCACAGCATCTTGTTTGGACTTCACGGCATCCGTGGTTTATTGGAACTACACCAAACCTAACGAGACAGAGAGCCGTCTTGCACTTTATTACTGAGGGAACATTTTGGCCCTGTTTTTCAGTCAGCCGCCTGGCATTAAGCTATCACGCTGGCTCCCAAAGCACTAAGAAATGGTTCCCGCCTACAAAGAATGGCAAGATATATAAACTGTAAGGTGAAATCTTCCCTGTGTTGCAGCTCAGTCTGCCTGAGCAAACGTCCTAGCTCTTACTTGAGCACAGACTAGCAACTTGCAACCCACCCCCAGAATTCGGTTAAGTGACTCCTTCAAACTTCACACCCACAAGTCTCTGGTATGCCTCATGCCCTTCTCCTTGGAAGCTACCCACCATGAACTCTTTATCCTCTGCTTCATTATAGAGCCTCCCCCAACACAGCTTTATGGGGTGCCTGAGGAACTTCCAGTTGAACTCAAAACGCCTGGATTCCCCCTCTGCGAGCCTTGGGGTGTCTCCCTGCTCAGGTGGCTCTTTGGAGAAAGGCATTTATTTCTCCCAAGGAGGAGGCCATGTAGTCCTGGGTAAGAGCAATTGGCAGAGTTCATGTCTGTAAGTCTGAAGAACTCTGTCTTCTCTCCTTACTATGGTGTTTTAACCGTTTCTTGCTCTTTCTTTTGAAAGCCAATTCTGTGTCCTTGGGGCCAGAGTTTCGGCTCATTTTCAGCATTCGCCCAAGGAGTCTCACTGGGACCTTAATACACATTGGAAGCCAATCTGGACAGCGCTTGAGTGTTTCCATGGAGGAGGGAAAGGTATGCTTACGTGGCAGGGGAGAGGGAGCCAGATTCCACCAAGAGAAACTCAGTAAGTCTGAAGCTAGAGTACAGGTGGAATCAAACATTATACATAACAGACCTGAAATTTTACTATACCTATGCCTGGAATCTAATATCATACCTAACAGAACTGGTTTGGAGACTAACTTTCCATGTTTTTATTAACAAGTCATGTTATCATATTTCCTCTGCTTCATCTTTAAAATTATGAAATGTCAAACAAATTGAGCTGAAATCTAGAGAGAGCATTTAGCTAAAGAGTCCTGGGGAAGCTGCTCAAATTCCTTCAGACCCAGTGTCAGTGTGTATAAAATATAGACAATAACAATAAAATATAGGCAATGCCCTCTGGGTACCAATCTGGCCGGACGTTGCTTGCTTCTGAGGTTAGACAAGATCGGGCGCATTCAGGGTAGTGTGGCGGCAGACAAATGTAGCTAACTCTCGGTTCTACAGCTTTTGTTAAGGAAATGCTGCGTACCCCACCCACGCTTATTTCCCTCCTTTTCTTAGCCCTCCGTGTCCGCATCGGGTCACATCCACTTCTAGGACCCTGAGCCTGTGGAACCCACTCTGGACCCTGGTTCTCGCTCTGTACTTTCCGTGCTCTGTCTCTGTGGCTAAGCCACTGGCTGGCTCCCACAGCATCTCTCCCTGGCTGGCTCCCACAGCATCTCTCCCTGGCTGGCTCCCACAGCATCTCTCCCTGGCTGGCTCCCACAGCATCTCTCCCTGGCTGGCTCCCACAGCATCTCTCCCTGGCTGGCTCCCACAGCATCTCTCCCTTGGCTTTTCATGGATCCTCCCTCCAGTAACGCTTTTGCTGTCTTATGTTCCTGTCACTCACAGGCCTGAGTTGATACCCTATTTACAGCAACCACATTTTATATCTTTAAAATGAAATTCTTCAGGAATCTTCTCTGTAGCTAAGGCCTTGCGTTGAAGATGAACATTGCCCCATTTTTTCATTTAGCTTTCTACAGTTTATTAAAAATGGGAGGGAATATCCCAGGTGACGATAAAATAGCTCAAACTCTGAGAATGCTTTTTTTTTATTTCTATTTCTATTTCTAGGAATCAAACACAGAATCCCTGGCACTCTATTCAAGGAGTCTATTTCACTGCCATACTCTTGGCCCTGCCACTATGACATGTTTTTAAAGTTTTTAAATATATCAGCATATAATTACTTGATAATTATATGCAATAATGGGTTTCCTTACCACATCTCTATGCATGAACATACTTACCCATGATTCTCTCTGGGCCCCTCCCACTCCCCTCTTCTACTTTATCTTTTTGGGGGGCTCAGCCAATTCAGCTGGTTTTGCTCACTGACATATGGGTGAGGGTCATTTGCAGGAACACAGGCAATTTACCAGGGCACACCTCTGAGGACAACCACATTCCTTTCCCAGCAACCAACAACTGCCTGCCAGGCGTTGGTGACGCACGCCTTGTGAGTTCGAGGCCAGCCTGGTCTATAGAGCGAGTTCCTGGACAGCCTCCAAAACAATACAGAGAAACCCTGTCTCAAAACAAAAAAATAACAAAAACAAAACAAAACTGCCCATAGATGGTTACTCATGCTGAAGTGTAGATGTCAGTCAGTGTGAGTCTCCAGTCACGCACACAAAGAAGCAACTGCCTGTGTGAGCATATGGGGCTGGCTTTTGAGAGGACGGCTTGCGGGAGGGGCCTCACTGACCACCTCCAAAAAGGAAGTGATGTTAAGAAAACAAAATCAAGACTTGGTGACCTTCATAACTGCAGGGACATTGGTTAGCTCAAAACCTGCTTGTGAGTAGCCTGCCCCATGTAGCTACAGGCAAATCAGATGTAAATTATTTATAAATACCCTTATTTTAGCCTCTCATTTTATTCACCTTGATTCTACCCTTGGAAGATCTGGAGAAGTCCCCAGCCTGCAGAGTAGGAAGGTGGGATTCTGCCTACAATGTCCCAAGCTCCTGGCACCTGACACATGTCCTGTCCAGTACAATCTGTAACTTAATGTCCTGGATGAGAACCCTGTGATGTGCACTGTACTTGGAGGGGGATGCTAGAATTGGCTGATCCTTGCGGCAAGGTATGGACCTCTGCCAGCGTTTTTGACTTCCAAATTTCAGGTGTCTTTGTCAGCAGGGTCACGGCTGCATAGTAGGATGGTGATGGTTGTTTGCCAGTGAGTTCCGAGGGCTGAGGGAGGAGGGGCTAGGAAAGCTCATTGTGCTGCCCGCAGGCCTAGGTAGGATGTGAAGTACAGTTTGGTGTGTTTCCCTGGAAGGAATGTGAGTGAGAAATTGTTTGGAAACTCTGGGCATTATGTGGTCACCTGGTAAAGAGTCGAGGGGCCAACCTCTAACATGGTCCCGGGGAAGCGGCAGGGAAAGGTGACTCCACATGTCCTTCTGAAGGAAATAGCCAAATGTATGTGTGTTTCAGGTCACGGCCTCTCTGGACAGTGAAGCAGGTGGGACCTTGGCATCAATCACACCAAAGCAGTCTCTGTGTGACGGACAGTGGCACTCAGTGGCAGGTACGGCACTGGCAACCTTTGGTGGATACAGGGAAACCCTTTGAACATCTCAAAGCCAGTCAGTCCATCCGCTGGCAGGGCTGGGCTGGATCAGGTACCATAGCCAGCCCGGTCTCCAGCGTCCGTATCTGCTTTCAACCCCACTGGGCTCATTTTATGGCTGCTTCCTCTGGTTCCCCACAATGCTCTGTGTTTGGGGTGTGGTAGCTTGGTGGAGAATTTTCTTCAGCCCTGCCCAGTGTTTAAGGTGGTAATAACATTGAGGTTTATTTAGGGTTTGGCTCTGGACTCCTTGGCAACAACAACAAAGTCAAGTTTCTGGGGATAGAGAGATAACTCAGTGGGTAGGAGTACTTCTTGCTCTTCTAGAGGACCTGAGTGTGATTTCTAGAACCCACATTGGGTGGGTCACAACTATCTGCATTTCTAGATCCTAGGGATTTGTTCCCCCTTCTGGATTCTCAGGCAATGCACTCACAAACACACACACACACACACACACACATACACACACACACACACACGGGCATGCGCGATTTAAAAAAGAGAAACCAGCTTTAAGTTCCATCCCTTATTATGGGCAAATTACTTACACACTCCTTGCCTCTGTGGTCTCCTTTGTAAAATGAAGATAAAATGCTGTAGGTCTGTGAAAATCAAAGGAAGGAATATTTGTTAAGTGCATGGTTTGCATCTGTCTACAGTGAACATCCAGTAAGCATTCAGGTTTAGTGTTGGGTTTTTAAGATAGTTGTCATTTTCTCAATAATTGTTCAATATTAATCCAAAGTATTCAAACAGAACAATGGTGGGAAGTGAACACATCAACATGTGGGTGTTGCTTAGAGATATGAGCCTGACGCTGGGGCGTAGCCAGGTGGGAGAAAGCTTGCCTAGCAGGCATAGAGCCCAGGGCTCCATCCCCATGAACCGTACATGGCAGTAACCCTGTGATCACAGCACTGGGAAGGAGAAAGACCATTAGGGTTAGGGGTCAGAGGTCCAAGGTCACCTTGAGATGCATAGTAAGTCTGAGGCAAGTATGAGACTCTGTCAACAAGTAAATAAGCAATAAACAAATTTTATCTCTCTTTGCCCTTTTGGCTAAGATAAAGTGTAGCAATAACTGAGCCTAGACTGGCTAAAACACCTTTTTTTAAGAAGCAGTCTTTTCTTGGCTAATTAGAAAGCCAACTGTCTTTCAGTTAGATAATAGTTATCAAGATAGGAGGGCTTTTGTATTGAAGGTCAGTTTGTACAGACTGAACATGGCTGAGGTCAGATCATGTGAACATGGCTGAGGTCAGATCACATGAACATGGATGGGGTCAGATCATGTGAACATGGCTGAGGTCAGATCATGTGAACATGGCTGAGGTCAGATCACATGAACATGGCTGAAGTCAGATCACATGAACATGGCTGAGGTCAGATCACGTGAACATGGCTGGGGTCAGATCACATGAACATGGCTGAAGTCAGATCACATGAACATAGCTGGGGTCAGATCACATGAACATGGCTGAAGTCAGATCACATGAACATGGATGGGGTCAGATCACATGAACATGGATGGGGTCAGATCACATGAACATGACTGAGGTCAGATCACATGAACTTGGCTGGGGTCAGATCACATGAACATGGCTGGGGTCAGATCATGTGAACATGGCTGGGGTCAGATCACATGAACATGGATGGAGACACGGGACCAGAGTCTGAGTTTCACTTCTTTCATGCCACCTCTGCTCAGCCTTCAGTGCGTGTCTCAGTGAGTAGTGTGTCAGTGAGTAGTGTGTCAGTGAGTAGTGTGTCAGTGAGTAGTGTGGAGATGTGGTCTTTGCAGATTCTCTGTGTGTGCAGGCATATGTGTATGCACGTGCCTGTGGAAGCCAGAGGCCAAAAGTGGCTTTCATTCCCCAGGCACTAACCACCTTGGTTTTTGAGACAGGGTCTTGTCAGCCTGGGGCTTGCTGAGTAGTCTTGGCTGGCTGCTGAGTGAGCCCCAGGGATCTGCCTGTCTCTGCCTCCCTGGTATGGGGATTGCAAAAGCACAACCAGACTCAGAACCTTGCTTTCAGGTAGACTCTGAGTGCTTGAACTCATGTCCTCACACTCGCAAGGCAGGCACTTTACCAGCTTCATTATCTCCTCAATACAGGTTCAGTTTAGGGGTTCAATTTAGGAATGTCTATAGAACACCAACCCCTGGCTGCTACTGAGCGGTGTGTTGAATTTCTGCCCAAGGCTGGCCAATGCCTTCAAACAGTTCCCCCAAAGCTCGGGTGGGGATGAGTTCAAAGTCAATGGTGACACAAGAGTACAGATATTAGACAGTGGGAGGGAGGCCTCTCCTCAGGTGACAGACCTAACCACCTTCCTCTCTTCCAGTCTCCATTAAACAGCACGTCCTGCACCTGGAACTGGACACAGACAGTAGCTACACAGCTGGACAGCTTTCCTTCCCACCTAACAACACCCGAGGGTCACTACACGTTGGAGGTGTCCCAGGTCAGTAACTCTAGCCCAAACTTCTACACCTGTGTTACATCCCAGCAGCTCCTGACATTTCTTCTTAACCCAACAGCTATGGTGCCCTAACGCAGGTGTATAGGGAAGTGGCAAGGTACTTTACCTCAGCATCTGGGCACAGGGAAGTGCAGGCCATGTGACTACTGCCTCCCCTGGTCCCAAGCCTGTCATTTATAATCCTTCCTTAAGAGGCTCCATTAGCTCAGAAGCCTATGTCAGCAAATAGTCAAATAAGTTGATGAAAAATAATGGTCTCCCTTCCCCAGGCATTGAGTTGACTGTTGAAGCCAAGAGAAAGAACCGGGCAGGTTGAGATGAATCCCATATAAAGACTGAAATGTTGCCCGCCCGGAAAGGGGCCTTCTATTTCTTTCTTGTTTTATGTCCTTCCGAGTAGTCTGCTTGTTAATTTTATAGTCCTTTTATAACCCATAAAAGGTAGCATTGTTGAGAGTTTTATCTATTGATTCGGGCTGTGGGAGTTCCTTCTCCAGAGGCAAAGAACAGATTTGTTGCTGGTGTATCACAGGCAGGAAGTCAGGAAGCAGCCAGATGGGCGGAGCCATGGCATCTCTTTGGCTCTATCTAATAGTAATCTTAAACTCATGTGCGTTTGCATCATGGCATGAGCTGCCCAGTAAGTGCCTCTTCTTTTCCTCTTTCAGACAAATTGAAAACGCTTAGGCTCCCTGTGTGGAACTCATTTTTTGGCTGCCTGAAGAATATTCAAGTCAACCACGTCCCTGTCCCCATCACCGAAGCTGCAGAAGTCCAGGGATCAGTCAGCCTGAATGGTTGTCCTGAGCACTAACCCTCCACAGCAAGAAAGCACCAAGAGCCCAGCACATCTATCCCTTCCCTACTCAAGTCCAGACACCATCAGCACTCATTCAAAAACCAATCTCATTTTGCCATTTGGTGCTACACATGTATTTTAGATAAAAGTCCCATTTGTTGAAGAAAATGAACAAATTGTTACTCAAAACATGTACACAATGCTTTTGTTAATATTACTTTTTCCACTAAGAATTAAATGCCTCTAAAAGAACATTTTTTTACCAATTGCTAAAAAGAAAATCTTGTTTAGAGCACATTTGAATACAAAACTTTAAAATGTTAAATTGCTACAGTTCATGGGAATTAAATAAATACAATTTACTCTTCAAGTTATGTTTTACAAGCAGGGAATGCCAAGGGCACTGCTAATTATATTAACTCCTCAGCACCTGCTCAAAGTGTCATCTGCAACACAATTCGCTACAGATAATTTTTGAGCACATGCTAAGAGGTTATCTGTGTGTTCAGTGTGTGAACTACAATGAAGTTTAATAAGTCAGTCCTGCCCTTAAGGGACATACACTTCAATTGCAGAAGCACACAGTATTCATAAAATAGGAACTAACAAATTTCACACTGAAACCATTAACTAATGAGCCTCACTGGCTTCCCAATCCTTGCCTTGCTCAGTCTCCTACAACCAAGTCTGAATTATGACTGTGGATGCATTGAGAACACAAGCCATCTAGCAGAGGTGCTAAGAGAATGCGTGTGCCATAACTGAAGCTCTGAGTATCTTCGTGCAAGAATACGGAGGTCATGGTCCACATCTTCCTCCATCACTTTCCACCTCTAAGTTTTTGAGACAAGGTCTTTCACTGAACCCAGAGCTCAACATTCTGACTGGACTTGAATGCGCAGCAAATCTCTCCAGGATCCTCCATCTCCCCCACAGTACTAGGATTACAGATACACGCCTAGCTTTTAGACAGGTGCTGGGGATCCAAACTCAGATCCTCATGTGACTCCACCAAGCTGCCGAGCCCACTTGATGACTAAAGCTGTTATGGCAAGCCAACAGGACCCAACAAGAAGGAGAAATCACTTTTACACTATCTACAAAATAATACACGATACAACAGACAAGCATTATTACCCACTTACCCACTTGTGCTAACAAAGATGATGCAAGCAGTTTCTGTGTCTTCTAATCTTTGCTAGGGAAAACATAAATATTGGGTGGTGGTGATCTTTGGGGATGCTTTGTTGACTCTTGGGCTGAATTGCTTGACTGTAAGTCAGGTGCTTCAAAATATATTGATTTTCAGATGAAAAAAAATCCTCAGTGGTGGTCTTGGCATGTTCTGGAACCTCCTCTCTGCTGCCACCATCAGCAGGTCCTCACAACATGTGCGGTCTCTCTCCTTGATTCTCACTGTTACTCAGACAGGATCTGTGAGGTTATGACTCAGTAGTTCTGCACACTTGTAAGCGGTATGCAGACTCAACAGGATGGTTACTTCTTTTTAAATATTTCCTTTTGTGTATCTGTGTTTTGTCCTGTATGTATGTCTGTGCACCACGTACATACAGTGGCTGCTGACACCAGAAAGATGTGTTGGATTCCCTGGAACTGGAGTTCTATTACAGATGGCTGCGAGCTGCCATGGGCACCCTGGGAATCGAACCCATGTCCTCTGGAAAGGCAACAAGTGCTCTTAGTCACTAAACCATCTCTCCAGCTCTGGCAGTTCTGTGTTGACTAATCTCAGTGATTTCCCCCTCCGTTCTGTAATAACAATATGTAGAACAGCCACTCATCTGGGTTTGCTGACGAAATCCTAACTGCCAGTACTGAGCAGAGAGCCCAGGGTGAATTCAGCCAGGGCAACCTCGGTGTGGCCAATTCTCCAGTTGGAGATGTATGTTCCCTGAAAAGAATGTTTCTGCCTCTTCAGTGGAGCCATCATGGGGGCTTTTATTCCTTTCTCTGCCCAGCCATATCACTCCTGTCTCTACCTCCCTAGTGCTGGGATTAAAGGCCTGTGGTCCCCAGTTTTGGGGTCAAAGGTCTGAGCTCTGTTACTCTTCACTTTTGTCTAGGCCAGGGTGGCCTTGAACTCAGAGAGATCCATTTGCCAGTCTCCTGAGTCCTGGGATTAAAGATGTATGCCACCACTGCCTGGCTCTATGGCTTGCTAGTATGGCTGCTGGGATTAAAGGTGTGTATCACCATTGTCTGACCTCTATGACTTGTGGCTAGCTTTGCCTTCCGAACCCTCAGGCAGGCTTTAATATCATAAATGATATATCCCCATATAGAACTATGTGTAAAAGCATAAAAAATCATTCACAGGGGCCAGAGAGATGGCTTAGAGGTTGAGAGTACACAAGACCCAGATTCAGTTCCCAGCATCCATGTCAGAGAGCTCCCAGCTGCCCATAACTTCAGTTACCAGGCATCTAGCATTCTCTGCTGGGCTTCATGAGCAATGCACTCACATGCAAAAACCCATGTTTACACACACACACATATACATACTTAAAATCTTTAAAAATCACCTGTAATCCCACTAACTCAGAAGTCTGTTACATTTAGTTATGTGTCCATTGGTCATTTTAAATTTACATGTAACTCCTTACGAAGTCATGAGTGTGCAATACATCTCCCCATGACTTTAGAACTGTGCTGTTTCCAGGTCTTTGCAAGGTGTTTCTTTCCATCTGATAACATTTCTACAATGTAACCATAATGTAATGTAATCATCACTTGGTTGGGAATTTTAATATTTTTGAAGTTGTAAGCAATGCTAAAATGTAGCCATCTTGGGATATAAATTTATTCTCTTAAGATAATTTCTTAGCAGTGAAATCACTCATCTAAAGACATGAACATTCTAATGGTTTTGTGGTTAGCTACGGCCAAGAAGATGCATTTTGGAATGATCTTAGCCCTTGAATACACCTCCCTCTCCAAGCTACCTGATGTTCAAACCCAGAGCAGTCCTTTCTTTGGGTGAGCCCTTGGTGGTCCACCATGATGCCTGCAGGTCTCCTTCCTGGAACACATGGCCGGTGATGGATGTTTGGCTCTGATGACAATTCTAACAATGCTGTAGGAAAGTGAAGCTTTACTGGAGTCTCTGGCTCAGAGCCACAGACTGAGCAGGAATTGCAGAACATGTCCTGTCTGAGACCTCCATGCCACTGTCAATGTCAATCCATTTTACTAAGTGGAGCAAGACACTAGCAAGGGGATTTGGGTGTTGTACTGTCCTCTCTCCCAGCAGCCCTGGGCCTCACTGGAGATCCAGCTGTCTCTTCCCCTGTGGAAGTTTGCAGTTCTTTCAGGAAAATTTTCAGGACATAATCTTTCTCTCTCTCTCTCTCTCTCTCTCTCTCTCTCTCTCTCTCTCTGTGTGTGTGTGTGTGTGTGTGTGTGTGTGTGTGTGTGTGTGTGTGTACCTTGGCACACATGTGAAGGTCAAAGGACAAGTTGCAGGGGTTGGTTCTCTTCCTCCATTGTGTGGTTCCCAGGTATTGAACTCAGGTCATCAGGCTAGGCAAAAAGCATCTTTTCCTGCTGAACCATCTTGCCAGCCCAAATTCTATTATTTTAACTGGCAAAAACCCAAGGCCCCATCTCTCCAACTGCCTTGGTCCCCAAAAGATAAATCCAAAGCATAAACTCCTGTAAAAAATTTAAAACTGTTACATAACCATACATACTTATGGGGTTCAGCGTGGTAATTCAGTACACACGTGAAATGCCCAAGGCTCAGCCCAAAGTAATTAGTGTTTCCACCTCATCACTCACCATCTCCTGGCAATGATTCCTCCACACCCCTCTTCTAGGTCATTACAACATACATAATAAATGGTGTGAAATAGCATTACCCGCATGTGCTGTAGGCAAGGACTTACCCCAACCAGCTATATGTTGGTGCCATCATCCTCCTTTCCTCCCTTCCTTTTCCCCTCCCTCCCAGCCCCTAGTCCCAGCCCACTATCTCAATCTTCACCACATGAAATCAACTGTTTAGCTCCTATGTAAGAATAAGCTAAAGAAGAACTTGTCTTTCTCAGCATGGCTTACTTCTCTTAATGTCCATCCATGTTGCCACAAATGACAGGATTTCATTCCTTTTGATAGCTAGATACTATTCGATTTGCAGCTCTGCCACGTTTTGCTGTCTATCACTGGGAGCATTGGTTGGTTGCTGTACTTGGCTGTTGTGGGTAGAGAAGCAGTAACATAGGATGCTCTCTCTGATGTCGCTGACACGCTAACCCTCCCTGCTTTGTCTATCAGCCCAGTAGTGGGCTTGCCAGATCATATGGCCATCCTATTTTGAACTTTTTGAGGACTGTCTGTAGCACAAGTTCTAAAAGGTCTGAATAATAAAAGCCTGGGGGAAAATGCTGAGAGATCAGAGAGACTAAGGGCCAAAACCACAGTCCCCTTGCCTACTCAACTTCCCAGTCGGAAAGAGCCTGAGCTCCTGTCTCCTCCTGCCTTATCACTTCCTGTCTCTGCACAGCCATCTCACTTCCTGTCTGTATAGACCTCCAGACTTCTAAGGCTAACTAGTGGCAAGCTCTGCCCTCTGATCTTCAGGCAAGCTTTATTTGTACAAATAAGATATCACCATATTTCCCACTTTTGTATAAAATTTTAAAATAAGGCTATAACTAATATAAGAAAAACTATACTCAATAAGTATAATTACTATATACAGGGAATAACTACATCAACAATGTCTAGTTCATTAACAATTGACAAATTCAGAGAAGAATTGTCATATGGAGAAGATACTCCATATCTATGCTATCTTGATGATCCAAAAGGTTGTACATAATTCAGTTTCTCTTTTTATGTCTCTCAACCTTATACACTTTACATTTCTTTAGTGAATTTATTTTCTCAATCTGGTAACGAGGAAAACTATAACTATAGCTTTCAACTCCGTCAGAGACCCAAGAAAGAAATAATATTACCTGAGTAAGCAGGAAGTGCAAGTAAGTGATTTCCAAAATATGTGAGAAATGAAAGAAACAGCTGGTTGCCTAGACAGTCACCCAAGATTCCTCTATAACTATACATAGCACATCTGTCAGACATTTCTGTGAACCAGGATAATCTAAAGGACTGGACTGCCTTGCCTTGGCAAGGTTTGCAGTCACTCTTTTTGGTGTCCTGTGTGTCCAGTTTGGACAGCATACTGTCAGCAGTCAAGGCAAGAGCACTTTGTTGCCCAGTGGCTAACCTTTGCCACAAAGAAAGTAAACTCCATGTGGAGTTTCTTCAATGCTCATCATCTCCTCTTAAGTAGATTAGTGCTGCCAGGAGCAGACATGCTTCATTATCATAAAAAGAAAAGAATCTATGTTATTAAAACATCTTAAATGTCATATCCTGTACACCTCTGAAGTGTTTGAAGACAGCCATTTAATATATACATATATACACACATATGTATATATATATGTTTGACCTTGAAAACATGCCTAATACAACTACAAGTTTGATTGTAATAGGTGACTAATTACTAACTTACATTAATAACTTTCAAGGGATAAAAATTTGGATTACATTATAAAATGAGTTGTATAGGTACCATACCTTGAACAAGATTAGAAATGTATAACTCACCATACTGTTTTCCATAAAGGCTGCACTAATTTACATTGGGTAGCAATATATGTCAGTGTCCTTTCTTTCCACTCTGAGCACTCATATTACAGATTATAGCCATTGCAGCTGGGGTGAGTTCTGTGTCACCGCCTTTCTGATTAGCTCTGACCTGAGGTGTCCTGGATACTGAGCCCTGGTTATCTGTGGCTGTCCTCTCTGTTCTCCAGTTGTCTCTCCACTCTTTCTTTCTTGCTTCCCCTCTGGAAGTTGTTTAGTTTGTTATAGCTCTGTTTGTCTGCATTTGCTTTTGTTATCTTACGTTGTGGCTCTTACAAAAAACTATTTCCTTAATTTGCTATACTGAATCGCTTACCTGCATTTTATTATAATAGCTTCATGTTGTTGGTTCATTTTGAGTTAACATTTGCACACAAGGTTCTAATCCACCTTCTGTACATCCAGGCACCATTTACTGAAGAGACTGTTGTTTACACAGTGTCTGTTGGGAGCGTCTTTTTCAAACATCTGGCTATAGGTGCATGGATTTGTTCCCAGGTTC